TTTTTGACATTCACTCACAAGAAAATCCCCCTTTAAGTTCAGAGCCTGCCATGCAAGGAACCGCTGCCTGGCCTCACCCCTCTCTTCTCCCATCTGCAGAACGCCTACAAGGAAGACTACAACACCTGGATGAAAGGCATCGGCTGGATCCCATTGGCAGTCTCGACGTAGAAAAAGTGAAGAAGGCGGGTGATGCCCTGAATGAAAAGAAGTACCGGCAACATCCAGACACCCTCAAATTTACCAGCATCGTGGACTCCCCGGTTATGGTCCAGGCAAAACAAACACCAGCAAGTCAGTGATGTGAGTACAAGGAAAGGGAGAGGAAGAGGAGACAGAGGAAGCTTTTGGAAAAGTAAATATTGATTGGTTCAACATTTTTACTCTCTGGGGCCAATATTGTCACTTTAATTATTGTTTCTTAATAAAAAGCACAATTAGAATTATTTTAGTTGGGCATTAACTTTCTTTTACTTCTATCTGGCATTTCACATCCTTTTAAATCTTTTTCCTTTTTGACTGCCATTGAAATACTGTGTTATTGGATAAATCTGATATGATGAGAAAAGTTCTATTCTAGGAGTGCAACACACACATACACTCTCTCTCTCTCTCTCTCTCACACACACACACACACACACACACACACACACACACACACACACACACAGAATTTAAGCTTCAGTCCCAGACACTTTTCTGTGGCAACACTCATTGTATTCAGTTCTATATTGAGTTGCTTGTATTTGCTTTTCCTGTATAAAATATTAATACAGAGAAGTAATACACATGAAAGTATGTTTTTGCTCCTAAGAATTCAGCATACACAATCATTCTAGAGACTTTTAACTTACGTCTTGGTGGAGATTAGTATTGCTGGCCTGCCTGTCCAGGAACAGTGTCTATGCTCTGGCTAAATCAAAGTTTCTAAAGGAAAGTTTGATATATAGAAAAGTTAAAGAGACATCCAAATCACTCACTTGTTAATTCATTTAATGAATGCTCTTTGAACACCTACCATGTGTCAGGCACTGTATTATGTGCTGATGGTATAAAGATGAGAGAGATGAGGATGGGTGGTCTATAGGAATTCACAAGAATATAGGACAAGCTATAAGACAAAGATGTGGATAAAAGAGAGGCACTGCCATACAGAGGGACGAATGCTGCAGGAGAGGGATGTGTTAGGTAAATATAAGGAGTTTCCTGACAAATAAGGGAAGGGTGCATTCCGGCAAAAGAAATGATGGAACAGTCAAGAGGAATGAATGGAAGGACAGTGAAGGTTTAAGACTGTAACCTGTTCAATGAGGGTCTTGTATGCTATTTTTGAGTCTGGATATTATGGGGTAAGAAATGGGAGATATTGAAGATTATAATCCACGTGGTTGCATTATCAGGCCTGTGTTTTAAAAGATAACTTTGGCAAAAATTTCGGAGACTTTGCAGAGGGGGAGGTTGGAGGCATGAAATGAATTATCACGAAAGGCTGCAATAGAATCCCAGGAAAGGGCCGGCGTGGTGGCTCACGCTGTAATCCTAGCACTCTGGGAGGCTGAGGCGGGCGGATTGCTCGAGGTCGGGAGTTCGAAACCAGCCTGAGCAGACCCGTCTCTACTAAAATAGAAAGAAATTAATTGACCAACTAAAAGTATATATACAAAAAAATTAGCCGTGCATGGTGGTGCGTGCCTGTAGTCCCAGCTACTTGGGAGGCTGAGGCAGGAGGATCGCTTGAGCCCAGGAGTTGAGGTTGCTGTGAGCTAGGCTGATGCCATGGCACTCACTCTAGCCTGGGCAACAAAAGTGAGACTCTGTCTCAAAAAAAAAAAAAAAAAAAAGAAATCCCAGGAAAGACTTAGTTGGACTTAAACTAAGGCAGTAGCAGTGGGAAAGAAGGATTCTGTGAATGCTTAGATATTGTTAATAAAGGCAGTGAGGAATTAAGCTAATTCTTGGGTTCCTAGAAGAAATTATTTAGCTATCAGCCATTCAGATTTTATTTTTGGTACATATATACCGGCTTACATATGATATTTACATAGACATGCCTAGGAAATGGGGGTATATATGATACACGGCAATTAAGAGATTGAAAATCTACTTGTCATTCTGGTTCCAGTTTTAGGAATTAAGCAATCTATTTCTATTACCAAGAGGAGGATATAGTAAGATTCCTACATCATATACTTTTATGTCTTTCAGTGAAAAGTGTATGTAATTCTTTAAAATAACAATACAGGGTAGATAGGAAGTGGTAAACCTTTTAAGTGTACTGGATTTGTGTATAAGAACCCGTATATTATCAGGAAATTATTATACGCTTTCACTGATACAACTATGATTGGAAAGTTTTTAGCAGAAGTGAAAGACTCATTCTAATGACTATTTTCTCTCTAGGGATAAAAAACCAAAAATGAAAAAGAAAAACAAAAGACTAACCAAACTTTAAGAGTTATTAACTCCACTGGCAAAGAATAAACTTACCTGGCTTTAGTGAATTCTGTCATTGATGTTAGGGTTTCATAGTTGAATTTATTTTCCATTGATGTCTGGCAGTCAAAGATTTTCATTTTTTCAAGGATATTTTTTCTCTCAGTTTTAATACACAGAGTTTTGGGATCTTCCTAAAGATAAAAAGATGCTTGGGTTTTTGTTCTGTTTTGTTTTCTTTTGGTTTTCAGGAGAAAAATACTTAGCATGATTTTTCACAACAGAAAACAGTGGGGAATTGTGCTAGGAATAACTGTTTAAAGCATGCAATGAATAGAGTTTCCTTTTTGCACTATGTGTAATGCATTTTATTGCAGATCCTATACAAAGCTAAAGGAGAAGATGTGAAACACAAATACACTATGAGTCCTGATCTTCCTCAGTTCCTCCAGGCCAAATGCAATGCTTACAATATCAGTGATGTAAGTAGGGTCTTTGGTGGGGTATGAAATCCAGATCTGACAATAAAATAATAGAATTTTAGAGTAGATGGTGCCTTGATAACTATTTAGGTCACTTTCCCACATAGCCCCAACCAAAGTGTATCCCATCATGATGGTTCTTCCTCTCTTGGCCCTTTCAAATGCAGGACAACTCTAAAGTATGTAATATTCTTCTTAACCTAGAACCCACCAACTAGTCCTCCAAAACCACTATTTAGTTTTCCTAGTTTTGCACATAGGGAGGATTATTATCCTTCAGAAAAATAAGAATAAGTGAAATCCTTTTTTTTTTTTTTTTTACAACAACCCTAAAATTTCTAATGCTGACCACTGGGTCTTCTCTTGACCTTCGTTTCATAAGACCGAGTAATTTCATTTTCTCTAGTTGGTCCTTGCCTAGCATGGTCTCCAGAGCCTTTATTGCTTCTCTCTGGGTCCACTGCAGTTTTTCAATATCCTGCTTCAGTACACACCAAAACCAATTTGGATGCAGCGTGAGTACGGAGTCCAATAATTTCACGCTACCCACAGAGTGTGACACTTTGCTAATGTGACTTCCTAAACCCGTACGTGCCAGAGGGGACTCCTTTAATGTATATCTGGGAAAGAACAGAACAAACCCGGCAGCTGAGGAATCACTTCAGCTGATTAAGGCGCAGACGCTGACATCCTGTTTTGCGTTTCCATCCAGGTCTGTTACAAACGAGACTGGCATGACTTGATAGCCAAGGGCAACAACGTGCTGGGTGACGCTATTCCCATCGCCGCGGCCAAGGCCTCAAGAAACATTGCCAGCGACGTGAGTAAAAATCTTAGGCGAAATTTAGGTGACTGCCTTTTTAAAAAGTAATCAAATGTGTTCTTTAGATTGGTACCTTATTAAAAGCAATATGTTGAATTCATGGCATTAAAATACTCCACAAAATATTGTTTTGAAAACCTGTAACTTTTTGAACATTTTTTTTGTGATTCTTTTCGATTGACCCCACTTGGTGACGCTGTCATAAATCTGACAGTGGCTTTCTCCTCTGATTCATAGCCCAAATTACCTTCGCTGAGACATTTCCCTGACAGCCCACATTTATTTTCAGTGGGAACACCCTGACTGACACTAACACGTTAAATCCAAATGACTGCCTGCGTTATAATTGTATTCAGAGGATTGAAAGATGTTATATAAAATGTGCAGTTTTTATAAACCACATAGGGAGAAGCCCACTTTTTTAGGGTATGATTTTGATTCATGTGAATCGATGCCCATTTCATCTATAACAGAAAAATATGCACTTCTACTTCTTCCCATCTTCGAAAAAAAAATTTTTTTTAAAAAGCACACATGCCCTGCAGAGTTCACTGTCACATACTGTCCCAGGGGCTACAATCTTGGTTTGAGAAAAGAGAAGAAATAAACCAATCAGATGTATAGATCATGTAGAAGACAGGTTGTAAAACTCTATAACTTTCCTTGCGGGGATGGTTCCGAAAATGTCTTCCTCGGAGGTTTGCACACAATACACATCACTATGAAACGTATTTTTAGTTTAAGTAGAAAGTGAAGGTCTAAAGTATAAATTTATCCCTTATCCTTCTCCCTTTTTTTTTGGCACTTGCACAGTGCTTTTTTTTTTTTTTAACATACCTAGAAATTACTTGATAATCATTTTTCCTGATAAGCCCTTGTTTATGAATTGATGATTAAATTGCAGGAGCTGAGTCTGTAGTGTTTAGGTGTATTTGAATCCTCTTGCATAAAAATTGAGGTTTTGACCTATTATAGGATAGCTCAATATCTCAATATTTATCCCATCAATGACCCCATCTATGAGAGATCTTGGACAGCAGAACTTTTACAGTTAGGTTTTTATTAATGGGAAAACGCCATGGCAGTTCCTGCCCTTCCTGTAGCTCCTCAATTCATTTGCAGCTGCCTCAGCACTGAGCTTGGGGAAGGGGTGCTGATAAATGGGATGGGTGAAGGCCCAGCTACCTGCATAGCTCGTACTCACATCCATGTTGTGAAATAATGTGTTAGATTAGGAAAACTCACATCCTTGTGAAACCAAGAGATATCGATCTTATATTTGGAATGTTTCAAGCTCATATTAGGTGTGAAAATTCAGTTGGTTTTAGATAAAGTTCTATGTGCAAATGATCTGTAGGAGTCATAGCAAAAACCAAGAAACTGGTCTTGAATTTATCATGACACTCCCTTGAAACTCCGACAGCATTGGAAATAAATGTTTTGGACTCTGAACGTCCCGGAGGTGGGTGTGGTTTGCACGTTTTTGCACACTTTTCAGAAAGCCGCAATGTTCTGAGCGCATCTTTGTGTGAATATAATTGCTGCACTAATGTTTTCAATGCCTAGGACTTTGCTAACCAAATTCTGTCTCCGCAGTATAAATACAAGGAAGCTTATGAGAAGTCAAAGGGAAAGCATGTGGGCTTTAGAAGCCTCCAGGATGATCCCAAGCTGGTCCACTATATGAATGTGGCGAAGCTGCAATCCGATCGTGAATACAAGAAGAACTATGAGAACACCAAAACCAGCTACCATACCCCCGGGGACATGGTTAGCATCACAGCTGCCAAGATGGCCCAGGATGTTGCCACCAATGTCAATTACAAACAGCCGCTACATCATTACACATACCTACCTGACGCCCTGAGTCTCGAGCATACGAGGAATGTGAATCAAATTCAGAGTGATGTAAGTATGCGTAACGTAACAGACCCACAGACGTTTGTGCTGAAAGGATGATCATTTCTCTCTATTTTATTAGACTTTATAATACAGTAAGATATTTGAGGCCTGGCGGGATGGCTCATGCCTGTAATCCTAGCACTCTGGGAGGCCGAGGTGGAAGGATCACTCAAGGTCAGGAGTTTGAAACCAAGCCCCATCTCTACTAAGAAATACAAAGAAATTAATTGGCCAACTAAAAATATATAGAAAATAATTAGCCGGGCATGGTGGCGCATGCCTGTAGTCCCAGCTACTCGTGAGGCTGAGGCAGAAGGATCACTTGAGCCCAGGAGTTTGAGGTTGCTGTGAGCTAGGCTGATGCCACGGCACTCTAGCTCGGGCAACAGAGTGAGACTCTCAAAAAAAATAATATTCGAAAAATACACTTTAGAATAAACTACCATATTGAAAGACTACCAAAGGCATGGAAGATATTATTGCTGGCTTTCTGTGGTTACAGCATAATTATTGACATTGTCTCTATTAGCATATGGATGAAAGATAAAACCATGTTCTACTAACTATGTAAGCCACCTTGATTCTCAGCAAGAGGAAAAAGGTGCTTCTGGTGGGCCTGCTTCAATGGTGACAGGTGTATAATGCAAAATAGGAGAATTCTTTATTCTTTCTGAATTCAGGAAAGGCTTCTTTTTTTTCTTTTTAACTCAAGGTCACATTGTCATCCATGTAAATCTATATAATGAGTCATCTAAAATGAACTGGAAGGCTTTGTGCTTGCAGCATGATTCATGGAGAGCTGCACAGGGAGGTGTTTAACATTCAGGGCATTTCCTTCTGCAGGAGCCAGATTTCTGGAAGAATTGTCCTCTGTAAAGGGAAGAAGCGGTATTCATTTACTGGTGCTCAGTGAAAATATCTCTCCCCAGCTGAGATCAGGAATAGCCTAGGTGGACAGAACAGGTGAAATTCAGTTTTGGAGTCTTCAGTGAAATCAAAAGGAAAGCCCAATTTATTGTCAAAAGTGACAAAATATTTTTTTTAGCAGTACCATGGAAATATGTGACCTAGATTCCTTTCTGTGTTATATAATCCACTCTAAAGGATGATCATTTCTATTTTATTAGGCTTTACAATACAATACAATTAGCAAGGTATTTGAAAAATCCATTTTAGAATAAACAACCATTATTGAAAGACTACCAATTTATTGTCAAAAGTGACAAAGTTTTTTTTTAGCAGTACCCATGGAAATATGTGACCTAGATTCCCTTCTGTGTTGTACAATAAACCCTAATGACAGAACTGCTTTTTCTTATTACTCAGGTTTCAGGTAATAAGCTCCGAGACAGACATAGTTAGACATGAGCATGCTGAAGAGTGATATTCATTTCCCTTGGATAGAATTGCAGGTCCCAGAAACGTCTTTGAATATTCGCCAGGATACCTCCTCATATGAGCTTATTGTTTTACAGAATGTATACAAGGACGAGTACAATAACTTCTTCAAGGGCATCGGATGGATCCCTATTGGTTCTTTGGAGGTTGAGAAGGTCAAGAAAGCAGGTGATGCGCTAAACGAGAAGAAGTATCGACAGCACCCTGATACCATCAAGTTCACCAGTGTGCCTGACTCCATGGGCATGGTTTTGGCTCAGCAGAACACAAAGCAGCTAAGTGATGTAAGTGGTTTCCCTTCAAAAGAGTTCATCCATAAATAACCCCCGCCCCTGTGTCTGAGCCACTCCACCAATCCTTTTTAATGCAATATGTGAGGATGCATCTATGTTAGCAAATAAACTCCTTTCAGAGGTATAAGGGAGAGGTTTTACTTTGGAAACAACTAGGAACTTGCACACAGGGGGAAAAGGGAGGGAGAAAAGGGGGGTGTTTCAAATTTGCTTTCTTTTGTACACGTAGAGAGTCCATGCTTATTCATGAGCAGACTGCCCCTCATACATATGAAATGACATTATTGCAATTATCATCTGCAACTCTCTGAATTGCAAAACAAGCTGTCTATTGCCCAGTTGCAGGAGGTCTACCTAGCTGTATAGCAAGAGGCACAATGTCCCAATCCCCTTGCCCAATGGCCCCTGTTCTGAGAGGCAATCTTAGAATGAGGCCTCTGGAGAGGAGATAAACTGTTTGAAGCCACCTGGGGTCTCATTCTGAGACCATGTCTATCTGGATTCTTATCCTTTCAGTCTGAGGCTAATTGCAATGCTCAATCTCACATGATTCGGTAATTTCAGAGTTCTCTTAAAATGCCTCCTAGAGAGAGGTAAGTAAAAAGCAAAGACAGGAAGACTTTGTGTGTATGTAGCCCCAGATTTTGGAATGCTTTGCTTGCCTCGGATTTGAGGGTTATCCGTGGATTTCATTTCTCGGGGTAGTCCCTGTCCCCACATTACCATGGATGTTTAAGGATTAATTCTATTTTAGGGGTAATAAGTGGAGCAGATTCTTTCCATTTCTTTTGCACTGAGCGAGGCATCACTTCTCCTTGTGTTTTTCTGGTTAGCTAGGAAAACTGTGCAATCGCTATGTTAAGTCTTCCCCATCCCAATAAACGCCATCAACATCTACCTGGTTACTCGAGCCAGAAACTTGGCAGTTACCAAGTCACCATTAGCATCTCCTCCTGTGAACTCCCGCGTCTAGTATATCTGCCAGGTCAGCTTCCTGCTATCTCTCAGCCAACTTGCTGGAGTGCTTCTGTCTCTTAACCACCACCAACCCTAGTTCCAGCTTCCATCTCTCTCACCTGGGTAGCTGCGGTGACCTGTTATCTGAGCTCCCTGCCTGGGGTCTCAAACAACAACCAGAGAGACTGTCCTAAATCATGTCCCCCTTTCATGTAAAACCTCTTAGGAATTTCTCCTTGAATGTAAAGTCGTTAACTTGGCTGGAAAGGTCCTCCTCTCTGTGGCCCTGCTGTCTCCTCTGTCTAATCCTCCTGGCCCTGCCGGGCACGTTCCAGCCCTGTGACTTGGGCTGTTTTCAGTTCCTCAAGGCGGCCAAGCCATTTTCAGCCTCGGGGCCCTGAATGCTTTTCTTCCGCCCAGACTCCCCTCCGTTCTCCAAGTTTGAGCATAAATGCTGCCTCCATAGACAGCCTTTACTGACCATCCTTGTTTCGTTGCTATAGTTATCTACTGACAACACATCACAAATTCTAGCGATAGTTTGTAGTTTGCGTGTTCATTGTCTGTCTCCTCTACTGGACTGTGTGCTCCAAGAGCACAGGTCTGCCTCGCCACTCTTAACACAGAACCCACCGCCCTGCCTGGCCCTCAGTGCTGTTCCATAAATATTGGTGGAATGAAGACATGAATATGTCTGCTAGAGTCCCCTCCCCGCGATGGTGTAGGGCAGGCATTGGCCTTGTACATGGAGAACACAAATGCTAGCCTTCCTTTTGAAAGGAGCATGTACTCGAGGAAACTCACATTACATCAGCTAATAGCATTTACACGCTGCCTCCTTTGTTTCAGTTGAACTACAAGGTGGAGGGGGAGAAACTGAAGCACAAGTACACTATAGACCCTGAATTGCCTCAGTTTATTCAAGCCAAGGTCAACGCCCTCAACATGAGTGATGTGAGTATTTGGCCTGGGGCCAGTCTGATATTGCTTACCTGGGCCTTTGCCTTCCAGTTCTGTGTAACTCCTGCATTGAGAATTTTGGGAGTAGCAAACTGAGTGTATATAGCCTTTGGGTCTCCAGTTGGACCCTCATCATACAACATAACACTAGAGGCCACCATAGAATTTTGGTTAATGAAGTCTTTTCCAATCTATGGGCTATGACTCATTATTGGGTTGTAAAATCAGTCAAGTAAGTTGTGCTCCATTAAAAAAAAAGAACAAAACGAGATACACAATATTGGAAAATATAGAATTGTATAGTTCATAGTAAGCATAAGTATTTGTATGATTTTTGTTTCAATTATTTATTTAGAATTTCCAAACATGTTTAATTTTCTTTAGAAACTCTCTTTTTGTATATAACTAGCCCCTCTTGGGTAGTCTGGACACCTAATTGGTGGCAATGTTTAAATGCACTATTATGAATTGTTTATTTTTTTTTAACAAAGTGGGTAAATTCCAATTTAAAAACACAATCAAGGTCAGGCACAGTGTCTCATGCCTGTAATCCCAGCACTATGGGAGGCTGAGGCAAGAGGATTACTTGAGGCCAGGAGTTCAAGACCAGATTGGACAGCATAGCAAGAACCTATCTCTATACAAAATAGAAAAATTAGCCAAGTGTGCTGGCCCACACCTGTAGTCACAGCTACTTGAGAGGCTGAGGCAGGAGGATTGCTTGAGCTCAGGAGTTTGAGTTTGCAGTTAGCTATGATCACACCACTGCACTCTACCAACGGCAACAGAGTGAGACCCTGTCTATAAAAAACAAACAAACAAAAATATGCCTTAGTCATTCTCTGCAATGATTTTAGGCTCCATTTTGTCTCCGAGTATACATTTCTGTGCTTTTGGTTCATTTGAATTTTTTTTCTAATTCTATAAGTAATATGTAAGCATTAAGATAAATTAAAGCTGGATGGTACTACAGTTGAATTTTTAAATTTTGGTATCCATACCTTTCTACAAGTTTGAAATACTTCATTACAAAACAACTTTTTTCAAAAGTATCATGTGCTTATCATAGGAAAGTTGGAACATACAGAAAATTATGAAAAAATAAATGAAAAAACTTCTGTTATCCCACATTCAAAGCATTACCTTTCCTTGCTTTGTTATGCAAACATATACATTTTTTGGTCAGTTGAGCTTATACTGTATATATATAGTTTACTGATGCTTTTTAATAAAATCTGATAGATACATAAAAGATGAACTAATAATTCTAATGTTGTGGATTCTCTTAATAGAAAGGGATATATTATAACATGTTTTATAAGAAACTGGCATCCTATTTTATTTCTCCTTTAATGATATCAACTAATAAAATAATCTTTTTTTTGAAGGCTCATTATAAAGCAGACTGGAAGAAAACCATTGCTAAGGGCTATGATTTGAGACCAGATGCCATTCCAATTGTTGCCGCAAAAAGTTCAAGGAACATTGCTAGCGATGTAAGTCTAATTTGAAAGTACTAAACACTGGTCTCTGCATATTTTTAAAGTCTATACCTGATATATGAGACTGTATGAACTATATGAAAAAGCAAGTAAAGAAATTATAATATCAAAGTATTTCTTAAAATCTAAATGTTAATGATTTTTATATTGCTTCACATAAAATATCTTTAAAAACTTAATTGTTACAAAGAAGAAAATTCTGTGTTTTTAAACTAAGAAATATTTAGAATTTTCATTAGTATTATTGTCATGAACTTAAAACCTCCCTTTTATTTGAATTTTATCAAGCAAAAAAGTTTTGGTATACTAAAATATCACTAAATCAAAAAAGTTTCCAAGTATTTTAAAAGAATACAGTGTTTCATTTAGATAATTTCCACAAAAAAAGAATTTAATAAAATATGGAAAACCAGGAAGAACTATAGATTAAATAACAGGATTTCAGTTAATTAATTAATTACTTTTTTCCAAATTAATTATATTTTCTATATGAGTTGATATAATAAATACCTTGACAGGGTAAAAACGCACTTATTTCAAGTACAATACACTAATTTGTATTGGAGTTTGTGGAAATCTAGTCATAATAACGAAAAGATAATAAAAAATACATTAAATGCTTAGTAAACAAAACTCTTCAGGAACCTTTGAGCATATTCAAAGAACTTACTTATGCACAAGGTAGACATAAACTACAAATTATTCTGTTCTTCATTATTTCTAGAGCAGATCTCAAGACCATCCATTAAAAATATTTTGCTAGTTGTTTATTTAAAAGTACTAAAAAAAAGTTAGATGTTACCTAGATTAAGTCTGAATTTGGCTTTTGCTTAATTTTTACATACACTAAGTTTATATCAAACTCCTACCCTATCAAACTTCTGTCTTCCCTTCATTTCCAACAGTACAAATATAAGGAGGCCCACGAGAAAGCCAAAGGCAAGCACATTGGATTTCTCAGTCTTCAGGATGACCCTAAACTGGTACACTACACGAATGTGGCCAAAATGCAATCGGATCGTGAGTACAAAAAGGGCTACGAAGCCAGCAAGACCAGGTACCACACACCTTTGGATATGGTCAGTGTGACGACTGCAAAGAAATCTCAGGAGGTTGTTACCAATACCAACTACAGACAACCGTTCCACCACTACACTCTCCTTCCCGACGCCTTGACCGTGGAACACTCGAGGAATGCCATGCAGATTCAGAGCGATGTATGTACCTACCCATCACCAGGCTGTCTGCGTGGAGTCAGTCATCCGTTTCTAGTGGGTGGGAAGGAAAACCAAGAACCACTTAACCACTTACTCCATCCTCAACCTGGCTGCACTCACTGTAGTTAAGGGTCTCCTTCAAAACTTGGAGTTTTAGGATTACATTCATTTGAATTATATGCAGCTTTGTTGTTATTATTATACATATATTTGAAACTTTGGATCTTAGCCCCAACATATGATGTATTCTCCAAAAAATTAAGAGGCTCAAATAGGTGACATATGTAAATATTATAATAACCCTTTCAGTGTGAAATTCTGTTAATTTTTCATTTCTTTTCCTCAAAAAATGTTAATTTTTAAAAGGAATTGTTAGGTCAGGATTTCCTTCCCCAAACCACCGTGAATGAATTACTTTTATAATTAATTTTTTTTCCAAAAAATCCATAAGGAGTAGAAAACAGGTTATTCTCTCCTCCCTCCCTTTTCTTTTTGATAATGAGGACATCCTGTAGGCAAAGAAATCCAAGCCCTGGCTCTTTCTGAAATGAAATTTCTTTTTTGTTGTAAAGAATCTATACAAATCCGACTTCACCAATTGGATGAAAGGGATTGGCTGGGTCCCCATAGAGTCCCTGGAGGTGGAGAAGGCAAAGAAAGCGGGAGAGATTCTCAGCGAGAAGAAGTATCGCCAGCACCCCGAGAAGCTGAAGTTCACGTATGCCATGGACACGATGGAACAGGCACTGAACAAAAGTAACAAACTGAATATGGATAAGGTGAGAACTCATTTGCCAGCCTCAGCCAGAGAGCACTCAAGGTGCTGATGCTATTGAGCCTGGCCATACCCACATTATCGTCTTCTGTTTTCTTATCTTTCTGATGGTCGTGGTGGTGGTGGTAGCTTTCACCGTGTCTAGAGAACATTCTCTAGCACTGACCCTCAGGTTGCCTCTCAACACCATGCTAAAGTCGTGCTGGAGCCACGGAACCCCACGTGGTTTTGCAGTGCGGGCAAGATGGCATTTGGTGCTTCCAAATAGACGAGGGTTGTTTTATTTGATGATTTCTTTTTCTGTTGCATATCCAGTTTCCTCGGCCCATCTTCTTGCTATTTCATACATTTTCCAATATCAGATTTGACCTCTTCTGCCAGGGAGATGCAAATGTCTTCCTTTTGCCAGCTCTATGGCAAACGTGTCCTCCTGTGTGATCACGCCTTTCTGTTGCAGAGACGCTACACGGAAAAATGGAACAAAGACAAGACCAGCATTCACGTCATGCCTGATACTCCGGATATTTTACTCTCCAGAGTAAACCAAATCACCATGAGTGACGTAAGTAGCGTAGCAGCAACAGAAGTGGGGGCAAAGGTTGAAGGGAACTCACACTTACGGAATGTCTATCTTCAACCCGCCACCCGCTTCGAAGTCACGGTCCCCATTCTCACCCGAATCACAAGATGCTGCTGTTGTTCTATTTTGTTGTTTAGAAATTGTACAAATCTGGCTGGGAGGAAGAAAAGAAGAAAGGATATGACCTGAGGCCTGATGCCATCTCAATAAAGGCTGCAAAGTCCTCTAGAGACATTGCCAGTGACGTAAGTGCTTCCACGGGGCCTTCTTGGGGCTGAGCGAATAGAGCAGGTGCACCCAGCCTGGGGCTATTCAGGAGCCTCGGCCAGCACCATTCGGGGTTGGTGGGAACATCCTCCCGTGTACCACACAAGCCACCTCCCTCACCCAATCCAAGTACCCTCTCATTGGCTCATTATTTAATGTAAAAAGTGACTGAGTCTTGTTAAGATGAGTTGCTTTTGGAGTATTCACATCATTTGTACACAATTCTAAGCAAACGTTAGGATGCAATCTACATATTTTACCCGTGAGACCCAGGACCAGGCTCTTTCATGAATTTAAAGACGCTCCATGAGAAATCACGCCTGCAGCCCTTTCTGTTGCTTAGACTGCTGAGTGGGAAAATCTGCTTTCTAAATCCCCCTAAATCAACTTATTTACCCATGTTTTTGATGAACTCTGAGCTCGTTTTCTTTCCGTGGACTTCAGTCTGGAAGGAAATTTGAAGTAAAGACTTTGCTCCCTGCCCCTCACAAGCTCCTCTGTGTCTAATTTTAGAGTGGCTCTAACACCTTTCACCTATGACAAAGCTACTGTCACCTAATGAATGATCTTTTGTTCTCCTTTCACCATTGTCATCACCGTGGTTTCTTCTCTGTCCACAGTACAAATACAAGCAAGCCTATGAACAAGCCAAAGGGAAACACATCGGCTTCCGGAGCCTGGAAGACGACCCCAAGCTGGTGCACTTCATGCAGGTGGCCAAGATGCAGTCAGACCGGGAATACAAGAAGGCATATGAGAAATCCAAGACGTCCTTCCACACCCCGGTGGACATGTTCAGTGTGGTGGCAGCCAAGAAGTCTCAGGAAGTGGCCACCAACGCCAATTACAGGAACGTGATCCATACCTACAACATGCTTCCTGATGCCATGAGCTTTGAACTGGCCAAAAATATGATGCAGATTCAAAGTGATGTACGTGAAAGCCACAACATTTGCAGAGTGTTTACTCTGGATAATAAGCAAATCATGGGTGACCATAAGTAATGACATTTTGAGAATCCTGAAAGAAATTCAGGTGCAATTTTCCAATGAGGACTTTTACTTGTCAGCCTCAATGGAATTTATTTCTTTTAACAAAAGGAGATCAATTCTAGAAACTGACGTTTTATTTTCTGCTATAGTTGTTTGAGCATTGTTGGGTTCTGAATTCAGCAATAGCGAAGGAAATTCGGTTTCAGAAGGAATATATTGAAGGAAATATGTCTAGCAAAGAGGGTCAAAAGCATAATAGGCTCTTGATTGAGGAATAAATGGGAAAGTAAGAAATCAGAGGACCTAGGCCGGGTGTGGTGGCTCATTCCTGCAAATCCTAGCACTCTGGGAGGCCGAGGCGGGAGGATCACTTGAGCTCAGGAGTTTGAGAAATCAGAGGACCTGCTAGCACCAGTCCTTCACTCCCAATCAGCTTTCCTTCTACTACTTCTAACTTGCAATTGCCTATGAAACGTTGAGGAGGAGATGACTGCAGTAGCTTTTGGAATGAATATAGGGAAGGTAGAGAGGGTATAGAGCCAAGAATTCAGTCCCTTTGTGGCTGGAGGAAGTGAATTTAAACTACAAACCCAAAGCAGACCACACTAAGCCTGCATTTCTTTCTGGGAAAGCAAAAGCTGAGCTATTCATCACCAAGGAGGTACCTAAGGGCCCTCATGAAAGCAGCCATGGTACAGTTTTGATCTCTCCTCCTCATCATTTTTCCCTTTTGCAGAATCAGTACAAAGCTGACTACGCTGACTTCATGAAGGGCATCGGATGGCTCCCTCTGGGCTCCCTGGAAGCTGAGAAAAACAAGAAGGCCATGGAGATTATTAGTGAAAAGAAGTACCGCCAGCACCCAGACACTTTGAAGTATTCCACGTTGATGGACTCGATGAACATGGTTTTGGCCCAAAATAATAAGAAAATTATGGATGATGTAAGTCCTTCAATAACGGAGTGTTTCATGTGCATCAGAGAGAATCTAGCTATATCTGACATAATCTTCAGGTTTTGCTGACATAGATATAGGGCATCACACTTGAGGTTTACTTTACTTTGAAAAGGAGTCTTGTGGTTGAAAACAGGAATTATTCCTAATTAGTGCCCCTCCCCACCAACTGTTTAATGAACCATCCTAGCTCACTGACATAACCAAAAATATAGGGATCCTTTCTCCTTATACGTATCTTGCAAATGAATCCAGTTCGTCTAAGGTGCGTTTGAGCAGAAGTTCATGACGCTGAATCAGCAGATTGCCTGATGACAGCTAGTATTGCAGCCCACCCTTGCTTCCCAGCTCCTTTGATGGGCTCAAAGGAAACTAGATTATGTGGTAGTAGCAGCATTTCAAACCAGGACCTTTCTTGCGCAATTATGAGAGTAATTGTTCTGCATCAGTATTTCTTTGGTTCATTAATTATTCTAGCCTTTAGAAAAGGCTTACTGTATTTTTACATTTATTTACCATAAGGTATCAAGACCACCAAGCAAATCAGTCTTGGATACCTAAAATGATGAAATAATTTTAGCACCACTTGTTATATACCGTGGATCACAATTAGAGATGCCTTTGATTAACAAAAGAGAAGAAAAACGTATTTGGACCTTAACATGAAACAGTTGCAGAAAATAATGGTCCTAGTTGCACTAGAAAGAGAGAGCTGTTACGCTATGCTAAGCTGCAGAGTAAACCTCCTCAAGTCTATAGAAAATGGACTGACTTGTCAAGAAGATCAACTTCCTTGAAAGGGACCTGCCTAAAAGACAAGGCACAAATCTCAGTGCCTCTTTTAAGATTTAGAATCTAAGCTACCATGAGGATATATTTATTTTTAAAATATTAGATACTTTCATTTTGTCAATGTTAATGACATTTCAGGATAACGATGCCAAGAGAAGAATCACAGAAATAGCAAATTCTGGCATTTAGAGCTCTTGGTGATTGTTAAGTTGAATCCCTTATTGTAGAGTTGGGGCAAGTATAGCCCAGAGAGGCAAAGCGCCTCCCCTAAGAACACAGAGCATATTAAAGGCTGGGTCTGGAATAGAACAGAGATCCTGATGACTAGCCACTACTCTTTCCACTGGAATTGCACTTTTCAATACTATAACCACTAGCCACATATGCCAATTTGTATTTACATTAATTAAATTAAATATTAATAATTCAGTTCCTCATTCACGTTAGCCACATTTCAAATACTCAACAGCCCTACACGGCTAGGGGCTACTATATTGGATTGTGCAGAACATTTCCATCATTGCAGAAAGTTTTGTTGGGTAGTGCTCGTCTAAAACTCGAGTCAGGAAACTACTGTTTGTTTTGTAAATACAGTTTTATTGTAATGCAGCCACAGCTATTCATTTGCATATTGTCCATACAGCTTTTGCATGACAACAGCAGAGTTGGGTAGTTAATGACAGCAGATTATAGCCCCCAAAGCCTAAAATATTTACTATCTGGCCCTTTACAGAAAAAATTTACCAACTCCTAGTGTAGAAGAAAGATATTCTTATTTTAATTAAGTCTGGCTAAAACAAAGAGATAGCATTTTACACCTCTCAGATTTGCAAAGAGTAAAAAATTGTGTTATATACAGTATCAATAAGGACGTTGATATTAATGCAAACTTTTAATTTGTTAGTATTTGTTAAAATTAAAAATTCAGGTATTCATTACAGAAATCCTCATAAATGTGTGCAAAGGTATACATACATACACACACAAAATAATATTTTTTGAAGTTTAGAGTTTCTGAAAGGAGATACTGAGATAGAATTTGGGGTGCAGGGTATTATTCAGAGATCAGTACCCTGGGAGAAAGGGCTGGGCAGGGGGAGAAGTTGAATTGTGATGCAGGCCCCACAAAGCCTTGGCCAATACCACGGAGGGCTCTCAAGTGTGGCCTGTTAGAAGTGTCCTGTGTTGAGCCCAGATGGCCAGACCTTTGTACCCCCACTTTGACAAATCACTGGATATGGCCATCTGGGAAGAGCATGCTCTTGAGCAAGGCCTCTGGTAGCTGGAGGCGTTCTGCCAGAAGCCTAAGTCCTTCCTTGAATGAGTGTCTGGGTGGTGCATCTCCATGTCCCCACAAAGATCATGACATTATTTCTAGTATTAACAATAGAAAAAGAGTAGATACCACAAATTAAATATCCATCAACAGAGAAGTAGTTAAATCAATTGTATTATACCTCCTGAGGAAATACTATGCAGCTCTTTAAATGAATGAAGTGAATTACTATAAGAAGGTTCAAAGATGTCTAACCTGTATCATTAAGTAATAAAGGAAGATATAGAACATTATGTATTACATGACCTCATTTGTATAGAAAAGGACTATATGCATATTTTAATACGCATAAGAAAATTTTAGGAAGGAGCTGCTGTCTCCAGTCTGTAAGATAAGAGAAAGGGCACTTTTACTTTCCATCTTACATCCTCTCCACTGTAGTTTGAATGAATGACTTTTCCATTTAAAAAATTTTGTAAAAACCTAGCTAATAAAAATACATAAAATATTGTCATATATATGTACAATGATGTATATGGACTAAGTGAGTTCCTTTTAAGATTTTAAACACTAACTTGCACTTTTTTTCTTCTAGCACCTCTATAAACAAGCATGGGAGGCTGATAAGACCAAAGTCCACATCATGCCCGATATCCCCGAGATTATTCTGGCAAAGGCAAATGCAATTAATATGAGTGATGTAAGTATAATTCGCCCACTGTCATCTTTCTTTCCAGCTGATTTGAACCAGTAAAAACAAATTAATTAATTAATGTCTCTCAATTATGAGAGTGGATGTTTTAAAAACAATAGTGGAAATCCACAAATGAGACTCTTTCTCTCTCTAACCTTGCTTTACGCAGATGTGGAGTGGACCTGTGGATAGGGTTGGGCCAAGCAGTTAGGAATTTGAAAGGGGGTTGAATTTGGTTCCAGGTGCAGGCACTGCTTGTCAAACCAAGAGATTTGGCAGGAAGAGAAGGGCTTGGCGGCCAGGAGAAGAGAAAAAGGAAGCTAGAGTCTCCAGACCTCGTTTTTAGAGAGCCCCTCCACCAAGCTTTAGAGATGGTTCTAAAGAAGGGGCTAAATGGAATAGGAAGATAAACATTTTGAAGAATTTGGGGCAAGCCCCATAACGAGGAATGTGCAACATGGATTAGAGAATAAATGCGTTGATGTTTTATTTCATTTCCTTTCTTATCCTATCCATAGTTGCTAGGAAATCCTCTAATCTTACCTGTTTTTTCTCTTCTTGTTTTTGAATTCCACAGGGATTTGGAATAGCCAAGACTTCTTTTTTCTTTGACTATGGAATCCACATAATTATATACATAAAAGTGCTGAACGTAAAACAGTGCAGTTTTCTTTTGATATGAGCATATCAAAGTAATTTTTACTTTTTTTGGTATTAATAGTTTAATGAAAATGTTTGATTTTACAGAAGATTTTCTTTCAAACGCATTTTTGTTACTTGCAAGAACATTCAGCCACTGAACCACCCATGAAGCATTCTGCTCAAAAATGCAAAAGATGCCACAGTGCTAGTTTACTCTTCTAAAATATACCCAGGCTTTCCTATTTGGAAAAAGAAAAACCAAAAAAACTATTTTTTTCCCCCTGCCTCTCTTTACAGAAACTCTACAAACTTTCTCTGGAAGAGTCTAGAAAGAAAGGCTACGATCTCCCAAGTGACGCAATTCCCATCAAAGCTGCCAAGGCCTCGAGAGATATCGCAAGCGATGTGAGTCCACAGCAAAGCGGTCACCTGGCTGGGCGTTTCCAGTTGACCGAAATCATAAGGGCTGACGTTCTAGAAACATCGAGTGGATAAAATAGGGGGGAAAGTGTGCGTCACTCTGCTCTGTGAATACTTATTATCTTCCCCATTCTAGCAGTTTAGAGATTCTTAAAAGAAAAGGAGCTCCACAAATACAAAGCCACTCTAAAATCATACTGTGTACCTCATAACTGAAACTGTTCTCATCAGTAAACGACTGGCTGGATGCTTTCTTGGGGCAGCTTTAAAATTCTTAGAACATTCTGCCTTTTTCTATCATTTTTTTGTGTTCTTATTATCTACTAAAGGCCTCTTTAGCACGAACAACACAGTATGTGCATGACTCAGTGTGGTGCCTCATCACATGATCTGTGTTCTAATCCTTAGTGACCTTAGCAAGTCACTCACCTCTCTGGGTCTCAGCTTACTCATCTGTCAAATGGGGGCAGTAATCAGAACTTTGCTATCCACCTGACGAGGTATAGTTGTGAGTATCACATTACGTAGGTAATCGTGGAAAACACGTTTTGTGAACTGTAGAGCTCTATACAGATATTACTTTTTATGGAATACAGAATATTAACACTAAAATGATTTTTAGTCAAAGGAATTGCTGTGTATACATGTTTATGTTTTCTTCGCAGTATAAATACAAGTACAACTATGAAAAGGAGAGGGGGAAAATGGTTGGTTTCCGCAGCCTTAAGGATGATCCCAAGTTAGTCCATTCCATGGAAGTGGCTAAAATGCAATCTGACCGGGAGTACAAGAAAAACTACGAGAAGACGAAGACCAGCTACCACACCCCTGCCGACATGCTCAGCGTCACGGCCGCCAAGGACGCCCAAGCCAACATCACCAACACTAACTACAAGCACCTGATCCACAAATACATCCTCCTCCCGGATGCCATGAGCCTCGAGCTGAGCAGGAATATGAATCACATACAGAGCGATGTAAGGCTCTCTTCTGTTTGCATGGTGCAAATGGAATCCCAGTGTGGAAAGAGAAATAGAGTCTTACCTGCCATACTTTTGCACCTAAATTGATAAAATAAAGTAGAATGTGCTTCTTCTCTTTATAGAATGAGTATAAGCAAGACTACAACGAATGGTACAAAGGGCTTGGGTGGAGTCCAGCCGGCTCCCTAGAAGTGGAGAAGGCCAGGAAAGCAACTGAGTATGCCAGCGATCAGAAATACCGCCAGCACCCCAGCAACTTCGAATTTAAGAAGCTGTCTGATTCCATGGACATGGTGCTCGCCAAGCAGAATGCACACACCATGAACAAGGTAGAGAGAGCACTTGCCATTCTACACAGCTCCCAAGTGACCAAACGCTAGCAGGCTCTGCTTCTGGTTTGGGAAATTTAAGTCGGGTCCACCACTCCTAGGCAGTGGCAAACAGTTCTAGATCATCTCCCTACACCATTTTCTTCTCCTTCCCACCTGTTGCTTTTTCTTCTCTTGCTCTTCTAATTGGGTTAGAAATTATTTATATTTTTAATTATTATATCTTAAGTACTTTTAATCCATTCTAGAAGATAGAAAATCCTGAAAAGATTATTTTTAAAAATCTGAGTTTGCTTTTAGTGTCTTTTCTGAATTATATGCTACTTTAGTTACTATTTACGACTTAAAATTAAGTACATTCAAGTATTATATATATATATTTTTTTCTTTCCTGTTTGTCCTAAGCATTTATTCAAGTTTGTATGTCTTATTTTTTTCACTTCCTAGTATTTATACACTGTTGATTGGAATAAAGACAAGACCAAGATTCATGTGATGCCTGACACACCAGATATTTTACAAGCCAAGCAGAATCAAACACTGTATAGTCAGGTAAAGCTACATAAAAATTGCCTTTAAGTTGTGCCTTGAAACTTATTAAACTTCCAGAAAGATATAAGAGTGAATAACTGATAGAATGCTGAAGCAGTGATCATGAATGACTCACTGGTTAATCCAGGGATGTTGCAAAACCCGGTGGTTAAGAGCAAGGGCTTCAGCTACAGCCGTATGCCCCATGGAGGCAGGTACTTTGTTTTGTTTCTCTCTGTACTCATTGTGCTTGGTACAAAGTAGGAAATCCATAAATAATTGTTGAAAAAAGTTGCATCAAATAACAGGATGCAGTAGCACGCATCTGAAGTCCCAGCTACTCGGGAGGCTGAGGCAAGAGGATCCCTAGAGCCCAGGAGTGCGGGTCCAGCTTGGGCAATATAGGGAGACTGCCCCCATCTCTAATAAATAAGATAAGTAAATAAATATTGCATCAAACAGACCTGGGATGAGTTTTAGCTTTGCTATTAATGAGTTGTATGATATTGGGCAAATCGCTTACCTATCTAAATCTCAGTTTCCTCATCCCTAAAAGTGGGACCATAAAAATGCCTATGACATTGGAGTGCCATGAGGACAAAATGAGAAATTCCATGTGAGGTTCTCAGCGCAGTGCCTGGCACATAGAAAGTACTGGGTGACTATTAACTATTTTATTTTAATGGTTTTAACACTCATACATCCATTCAATGGATTTGACTAAGGAAGATTTAACTCGTTTATTACTACTTATGAAAGGCATTTTATCATCTATTACTTTTGCCTCTTAGATAATTAAAATTTTGTGACCAGATTTTATTTTTGTTATCAATTATCTTAATATCTGTGTTCAAAATAGTGAGCCCAGACTATACATAACATCAGAAAGGTTATCTGATATACCTGATGTGGCCATATTGTTTCTGAACAGTAGAGGCTGTGCTCAGATGTACCCCCAGGGAGTCTTAGAGCCAAAAAAATTAAAGCCAGGTCATATGATACTGAGTCAGTACTTCTTCTACTCTTAAACATCTCGTTTTGTTTTTATCCATATCTTTTTAAAGATAAGGTAGATGACATTCGAATCTGATACCCACTCTCCGCGTAAACTTTTGCTAAGTAATCTATTGGGGTTTTTTATATAGACAGAATAATGCTAAAGAATTTCTTTAAATTTCAGAAACTCTATAAACTTGGATGGGAAGAAGCTTTGAAGAAAGGCTATGATCTCCCAGTCGATGCAATTTCCGTACAGCTGGCCAAAGCTTCCAGAGACATTGTTAGCGATGTAAGTACTAGTTTGACTTCTAAAAGGATATATTTTTATCTGAATCAGGTAACTTAATGTTGGTAACTATTTTTATAGATAGGCTTTACCTTTCAAGATGTAATGTTCCCTTCATTTTCTCTTACCCTCTTGGTGTACCCAGAATTCACTCTTCTTTCTCACCCTTCGAATATCAAAAGGAACTTCACTTCGTGAGTAGAGGTTGGGCCAGAGGACCTCTAAGATGATCCATTATACTAAGATGCTATATTGTGGGATATTACAGAGAAACCAGAGATTTCAGTTTTCCTCTACTTTGCCTGAAAATAATTTTCCTGTTTTCTGCTTGTCTATTTTAGAACAAATTCAAATGGCCAGATAAACAAATCAAGTACAGAGAGAAAGAGTGCCTAAAGACAGAATCTGACAATAAATTCTAAGAATATAAGGGAAGATTCTATCTCGCTCAATTAATTTGTGGCATTCCAGAAATGGTGGAAAGTTAATTTGATGATATATTATTACTCTCTGGCTTATAGGTCAATCCTTCATTAAAATGAGTTAATGAGGTGATAAACCTAAGGCAATAATGATGCTTGAATGTTCCCCAGAAAATAAACTCATTTTGATTTAGTGTTGTATGCCAAAGATAGTTTAACAATTGAAGAAAAAGGATCAGTAATTTCCTAACACCCCAACATTTGATAGTACCTAATTTCCTTTCATGTGGACCCATTAGTTAGAACATTTTGAAATCTTACTCTAAAATTAAATTAACTATAAGTGGACTTCACCACCATTATAAAGATTGTATCTCCTCTCCATTTCAAATGTTCTTATATTTATAAAATCCCCCCAAATTAGAACTATTTTTATGAGTACTTACTTTAATAAATTGGAATCATAGAACTTAGAAGATAACATAACATTTATTTAATCTAATCTCCCTCTCAGTGTCTTACCTTCTCTCTATCCCAACAGCCTGTGGATATTTTATCTAAATAAAGTAGATATTTTACTTAAATAAAGGATATTTTATCTAAATATTTTACCAATCAGCTCTAGGTCTCCGTTCAACTTCGTGAAGTGGCTTATTTGCCCTTCCACTTGACATCCTCTTCAAACATTTTAAGTTTCTTATTTTGTACTCCTTTGGTTTTAGTCTTATACTCATCATTCTATATTTGTGATTCATCCTATTTTTTCAAAACTCTTCTCAAAATAGAGCGCCTCAAAATTTAGTGTTGTTTTCTTGACACAGGAGGTCAGGCCAGAGTGAATGAGCTTACCCATTCCTCATACAGAATCTGCAGCACTACTTTATTATAAGCAATTTTATCAGATTGCTTATATTGAGGTTATAGTCCACTTAACCCCCTGAGTATTTATATATAAATAATCATGAAGCTGGATCTCATGAGAGTATAGAACCCACTTCTGTGAGGTATAATATGTGTTCAGCACCTAACATCAAATAAATGCTATTATTATACTCATTATTATCACTATTGTCATTGTCATCCAGGACTAATGTAATTTTTCTCAATTGAATTTAAATACTGGATTTTATTTTTACTCTCTTAAACTTATATAGTCATTTCCACCCATTTGGTAATATGTTGAGCTTTTGTGGAATTTTCTTTCTAATCTAACATACGTAGCTATTTTAAACTACTGCACATGCAAGATGTAGATCCCAAACAGGACAAGGGTATATGACATAACCATATGGCAAACCACTAAGAATTCTGCTGTTTAATAAATAATTCTACACTATTATGTCTGTTTACTGAGTCATGTATCTTCCTAATTTTTCTGTCATTCAGCCCATATATTTTCCCATAAGGATATCATTTTCATAAAAATATCACAAAAGCTTTATTAAATGCTACCCTAAAGTCACCATACACAATGTCCAGCATATCTAAGCATATATTTCTCTTTTTTTAATGTCAGTAGATTTAGTGGTACAAGTGGTTTTTTGATACATGGATGAGTTGTATAGAGGTCTAAGCATATATTTGTGCCTCTAGCTGGAATTGATTTCTCATTATAAACTCCCTTGATATTCTACTACATTCAGTTTTTTGTTTTTGTTTATTTTTTTGGAAGCCTTCACTTAAACAAAGCTTACTCATTTAAGTAAGTAAACATTTCTTACTAAGTTATCATAGACATACCTTCTCTCATTTCAGTTTTGGAAAATAAACATGAAAACAAAGCAAAATGAATTTAACTTAGCCTTTATTTATGTTAATAAAGAACTGTGTTTCCTCTGATTTCAGTTTAAATACAAACAAGGCTACCGAAAGCAACTTGGCCACCATATTGGATTCCGGAGTCTTCAAGATGACCCGAAGCTTGTGTTGTCCATGAATGTAGCCAAAATGCAGAGTGAAAGAGAATACAAGAAGGACTTTGAGAAGTGGAAAACCAAGTTCTCCAGCCCTGTGGACATGTTGGGAGTGGTGCTGGCCAAGAAGTGTCAGGCCTTGGTCAGTGACGTAGACTACAAGAACTACTTACACCAGTGGACATGCCTACCCGACCAGAATGATGTTATTCAAGCTAAAAAAGTTTATGAACTACAAAGTGAGGTCAGTTTCTGTTGAATTCCATATCTTACGTATTACTTTGTATTTCATATGGGTAGCCATTTAGTCGTAGAGATGCAGAAACTGGAAAGAGGAGTTATTGTTGAAAACCTAATGTGCATCTGTTTGTAATGCAGCCAATCACTTGAGTCAAGGGCCCAGGGGAGAATGGGATTTTGATGGCTTGCTCTGTCTTTTCACAGAATTTGTATAAGTCTGACCTTGAGTGGCTGAGAGGCATAGGATGGAGTCCCCTGGGTTCTTTGGAGGCAGAAAAAAATAAGCGGGCTTCAGAAATCATCAGTGAGAAGAAATATCGTCAGCCTCCAGACAAAAACAAGTTCACCAGCATTCCTGACGCCATGGACATAGTTCTGGCAAAGACCAATGCCAAAAACAGGAGTGATGTGAGTAACTTTTGGAAATGAATAAAATATATTATAGTGCCTGCTACCTGGTAGTGGCTCAATAACATTTACTGAGTTTGTGAGTAGAATAGCAAAGCATTGCATCACACGGCACAGCATAATGGTTTCTATAGAGTTGCTTTATTTGAATTATCAACTATCCTACATTGAATCATGTAAAAATAGGTTAATGTTGATTGTTGTCACCCAAAGCTTATTTTATTTTATTTTTATTTAACGAGGATGTAATAATAAAACTATTGAACATTCTTTCTTTGAAACTTGAGGGCATGAAAGCTCCAAATTTTTTGGTTAGGGCACAGTGTATGAGGGGAAAGATTCTGAGCAACTTACACAGGCATGGTGGGTATGTTATAAAGAGTGTATTTTCTACTAAATGATTATAATGCATTTAGTGTAACTGAATCAAAATAACTTGATAATTCTATGTCACAGTCAGCAAATATACATTCCATATTCAACTTTCTTTTTCAGCACTGACACCAGTGTCTAGCACATAGTAGGTGCTTAATAAATATTTATTGAATAAAGTAAATGAAAGATAGTAGTGTGGAGTAATTCTATGCAAAGAAGGAAAAGATTACTCATCACTGTTCTGCTAAAAGCCTAACCCTGAACATTACAGAAAGTTGAATTATGAACAGTGAGATTCTGGAGCTGGTAAGAAAGTTTAAATAGATATACATTAGTCTTATCATCTGGGTCTTAGGAAGATCTAAATATATATACCATATGTAATATGCTATATATTTAATATATCATATATAGGGAGGTTTTAAAATAATATATAAGCCCATAATCAGCTTATAGTGAGTATCAGTAAATTGTAGCTGCTCTCTTCCCTACCAACTCCCCACAGAACTTTTGAAAACATTTACTATACATTTCCAGAGTGTATAGTAAATACTGACCTGTCAGCTTCATTATGAATGTTTAAGTATTCGTTTGTTCTTTTATTGTTTTTATGATGGCAGTTTGAATCCAACAGACTAAGGCAAGAAATTTGTGCAAAATATTAATATGTCCCCTTTCTTAGAATCCAAGTTTCTTTTCTCACCATGAAACAGGAGAGAAAAAGCTATGAACTAATAAGGTGACCAAGAGAGAAGCCATAGGTCATAAAGTTTATCAACGTCAATGCCCCAGGACAGAATTCTCCAACAGTGCTCTAATTTCAGGAATGCTGAGATATTGATCCACTCAGGCCTCAGGACAGCTAGGCAGAACCTGGGCCACTCGGGGTCCTTGAGCCTGCTGTCTCTCCTTTTGAATAGACCGATATATCTAGCCCAGTGCAAATAATATTAGCATTTTCTCTGTGTTCCATAGCGTGAAAGTGCTACATGCCATTGAAGAAATGGTGTAGCTTAGTGGTTCTCCACCAGGGACAGTTTTGTCCCACTGGGGACATTTAGCAACATCTAGAAACATTTTTAGCTTTCACAACTTGGGGGTGACATGCTATTGGCATCTAGTAGGGAGAAGCCAGGGACACTACCAAATTTCTCACAAGGCACAGGGCAGCCCTCCACAACCAGGAACCCAGTGTACAATATCCATAGTTAGGCTGGGCGAGGTGGCCCATGCCTATAATCTTAGCACTCTGGGAGGCCAAGGCTGGTGGATTGTTTGAGGTCAGGAGTTCGAGACCAGCCTGAGCAAGAACAAGACCCCGTCTTTACCAAAAATAGAAAAAAATTAGCCAGGCATGATGGCTCATGCCTGTAGTCTCAGCTACTTGGGAGGCTGAGGCAGGAGGATCTCTTGAGCCCAGGAGTTTGACGTTGCTGTGAGCTAGGCTGATGCTATGGCACTTTAGCCTAGGCAACAGTGTGAGACTCTGTCTCAAAAAAAAAAAAAAATTCAATAGTTATAAGGTTGAGAAACTCTGGTGTTACTTAATTAGAAAAGTTAGTGCAGAACTGGTATAAATGTATAAGGAGATTAACCAGCCTTGCTTTGTTTTGGTCCTGAAGGTCTTAATCAGCTTCTCTGAGTTATATGCACTGTAATAATCATGTTCAGGAAAAAAAAGTGCCAACCCCACACATCTCACATTGTATGCTTCAAAGAGAAATTGATAAGTCCAAGAAATCAATGAGATTTTTCAAATTTTTATATTGAAATAATTTCAGGCATACAGAAAAATTGAAAAAATGGTACATATAATTCATATGTATGTACATACACACATACACACCTTCACCCAGATTTCCTAAATGTAAATATGTTGTCACATTTGCTTTCTCTATCTTTCCTCTTTCTTTCTCTGTGTTTTTTCTCTCTTTCATATTTATGTCTACATCCATATATCTATATGAGAAAGTAAGCTGCTTCATGGTCCCCCCTACCCCTAAATATTTCAGTGTATATTTCCTGAAAATAAAACATTCTTTTACATAATCACAGTGCAACGATCATAATCACAAATTTAATTTTGACTAGTCCACTAGTCTACAATACTAGTTGATCGAATTTATTTGATTTTATCACTAATGTCCTTTATAGCAAAAGAAAATAATTTTCTTTCATCCAGGATTTAATCCAAGACCACACATTGCATTACTTGCCATGTCTTTAGTCTCTTTACTTTACACTTGTTTCTTACTATTTCTTTGTCTTCCAAGTCCTTGATATTTGTCAAGAGTATAGGCTAATTATTTTGTAGAATCTCCTTCAGTGTGGGTTTTCTAGTGTGCCCTTATGATTAGATTCATATTATGTCTTTTTTTTTTTTGAGACAGAGTCTCACTTTGTTGCCCAGGCTAGAGTCATTGCCATGGCGTCAGCCTAGCTCACAGCAACCTCAAACTCCTGGGCTCAAGCAATCCTACTGCCTCAGCCTCCCGAGTAGCTGGGACTACAGGCATGTGCCACCATGCCTGGCTAATTTTTTCAATATATATCAGTTGGCCAATTAATTTCTTTCTATTTATAGTAGAGACGGGGTCTCGCTTTTGCTCAGGCTGGCATCGAACTCCTGACCTCAAGCAATACGCCTGCCTTGGCCTCCCAGAGAGCTAGGATTACAGGCGTGAGCCACCGCGCCCGGCCCAGATTATGTTTTTTTAGCAGGATTTCACACATGTCTTCCTCAGTATCTCATATCAAGAGGCACAGAATATCAATTTGTCCCACTATTGATAATTTTAACTTTGATCACTTGGTTAAAATGATATTGTCATGTTCCTTCACTAACAAGTAACCGTTTTATCCTTTGTAATTGTTAAATTATCTGGCTGTAATATTTTCTGACAGTGTAGAAATATTATGGTTTTCATCAGATTTTCATCTCCCAGTTTTAGTAAATCAGTGAGATTTTCATTTGGGTACCTTTGTCATTTGTTGAAGATAGACATAAGGATGGCTCTGGGATATCCAAGAGATTTTGATAAATTTTCAAATCCTAATCTTCCAAAATAATCATGAGGTATTGCAATAAATAGTAAGCCACATAGGAAATGAGACTGCTTAATTTCTAGGCATACTTTCAATAAGTCATCTTTTAAGAAGGCCAGGACTATATCCTAATTAAATATTAGGGGGACTTTACAACCCATAGATGGAGAACTCTGTTCCATTTGATGATGTTGGCAACCCAAACACCTGGGTTGGTTTCTTACACGCAGGATTATCTTAACTTTGGAAAGATAAGCCCTAATCTGTATTTTGAAAGGCAATTATGTCCCAGATAAGTCAAGAAAGATTGCTTCTATTTTCTTCTTATGTTGTCTGTTTATGTTACTAATTCCGTATAATGTTTAATTCAGATGAATTCAGTAATTCTTTTTGAAGTCAACTATGTCATTCACTAATCTAACAACACCACTGAAAAGTTCTTCTCTCTCATTTTAGAGACTTTATAGAGAAGCTTGGGACAAGGACAAGACTCAGATCCACATCATGCCTGACACACCTGACATTGTTCTGGCTAAAGCAAACTTAATCAACACAAGTGATGTAAGTTTCCAAATTTGGCATGTGTTTTCAGAGTGCTCACTTTAATTGCTTCTGAGTCAGTGAAGTTGTTTGGAAGTTCTTTTGAATCCCTGAATCATTTTAATTAATAAACTACATGTGACTTAGATTTCTTATTTAATGGTCTTCAGATTGAACATCACAATGTTGGCAGTCCTCATCTCAGGCCATGTTGGAAGCCACAGTCTCTGTTCCTTGCAGTCTATTATTACACATATCATCATAATGTAATGGTTTCTGTCACTCTCCCCAATGTGGACCAGGCAATCCTTTCAGGCAGAGACAATTCTGATTGAATCTGCAGTTGCTTACCCAGCATTCTACCTGACATATAGCAGATACTCAATGAAATTTTGGATGAGGAAACATACAAAACCATGCAGGAGAATTTCACTTTTATTTTTATTTCCATCATAGCATAAACTCCTGAAATGGATAGATATAAAAATTAAATGTTTTAAAAGCAAATTCTAAACTCTGATAGAACGACTTTAACATTAGAGAATGTATTAATTAAAGTAAAATGCCATGAAGGACTAAATTATAAACACAAGTCCAACATCAATAGGCATTTTAAATAATCTGGTGTCTGGATAAAAGTGAATTTAAATTATATTCTCAAGTATTTTATTATGTCACAAATCTGAAGAAACAAATTATTTCACTTAAGACTTTTTATTCGTTATTTGTGAGACAGACACTATTTCACAATGCATTAACTACACGGAAGAAATAGCCCCTGAGGTGTGATTTTTTTCCCCACAAGAAGGGTTATATGGAAAGGCATTGCTCTTTTCTAATAAAAACTAACAAAACCTTCAATGTTAGTTGGAAAACTGCACCTAAATAATATTTCATTTCATTTTTCTATCAATTTAATACTGCCTGATTCTCGCAAGAACAGTCATGCACCACATAACAACATTTCAGCCAATGACTATTCATGTATACAAAAGTAGTCTCATAAGATTATAATACCATATTTTTACTGTACCTTTTCTATGTTTAGATACACAAATACTTACCATTGTGTTACAATTGCCTGCAGTATTCAGTGCAGTAACAAGCTGTGCAGGTTTGTAGCCTAGGAGCAATAGGCTATAGCATATAGCCTAGGTGTGCAGTAGACTATCCCATCTAGGTTTGTGTAAGTACACTCTATTATGTTCACACAGTGATGAAATCAGCTAAGAATGCATTTCTCAGAACACATCGCAGTCCTTAAGCAATGTATAACAGTATTTGGGAAGAGCTGACATTTAATTTTAATCTGGGTAATTGAAGAGCTTTAAAGTTCAAAACAGGATCATTAGCAATCAATGTAATTTCCAATTACATTTGAGTATTCTGGAGCATAGATACCATTCTCACGGACACTTAAACTATTTAGCACATTGAATTCATTATGCTGCCTTTGTCTATGGAGAACAGTTTTTCCCAAAGTGATTTCTTCATTTCTTAACAGAAACTCTACCGAATGGGTTATGAGGAGCTGAAGAAAAAAGGTTACGATCTTCCTGTTGATGCCATACCCATCAAAGCAGCGAAAGCCTCCCGGGAAATTGCCAGCGAAGTAAGCCTTTATCCTCTGTTGATATTGATGTGATTGCAATTTATCTCTTCAAAGCAGTCTCAATTTAATTTTAAATTGAACAAAATCTAAGGGGTAGCATTGAAACAGAGCAAAATGATGCTAGACATACAGTGTGGAATGCGGATAAGATCAAGGATGCACTTATTATATATGGAATTTGTAGTTGAATTTAGCCTTTAATCGTTCTTACTGAAAAACTCTCTAGGCTTAGTAGAATATTTAGAGTTAATGTGCTTTGTAACTTGCCATAAAGTTGGCAACACAGGTTAATCTTGAAAGGAATAAGAGGCATTTTTTTTTTCTTTAGTACAAGTACAAAGAAGGCTTTCGAAAGCAGCTTGGCCACCACATTGGAGCCAGGGACATCAAAGACGACCCCAAAATGATGTGGTCCATGCACGTGGCCAAGATCCAGAGTGACCGGGAGTACAAGAAGGACTTTGAGAAGTGGAAGACCAAGTTCAGCAGTCCAGTGGACATGCTGGGCGTGGTGCTGGCCAAGAAGTGCCAGACCTTAGTCAGTGACGTGGACTACAAGAACTACCTGCACCAGTGGACGTGCCTGCCCGACCAGAATGATGTGATCCATGCCCGGCAGGCCTATGACCTTCAGAGCGATGTGAGTCTAAGGTTTTTCTTTGTCCAACAAAACATTATGTCTGCTTTCTTCAGTAGGAAAGTCCTCTTATAGCGAGGGGGTTGAATTTACACAACTGAGCTCCCCTTCCCTGGACAAATGTCCAAGCGCTAGCGAGTCACGCCAACATGTAGAGGCACCATAATTCCACAAACAGCGAGCCAGAAAAGACCCCATTGCTTTGGTGGAGGTCTCTAGATTGTTGATCTAGGCAATGTGCATCTGTTTCAAATGTTTTACAAAATTTACTTCTGATCTACATATATTTTGTTGATTTATTATTCCTACCAAATTTTTAAAAATTTCTCAATATTCAAGTATTAAAATATATTATATATATAGTATGAACATTTATTTCTTTAAGGACATATGCTTACATTTAGTGGTTTATCACTTGCAATTGCAGAATTTGTACAAGTCTGACCTGCAGTGGCTAAGAGGCATTGGCTGGTTGCCCAGTGGTTCTCTAGAGGATGAGAAAAACAAAAGAGCCACCCAGATCTTGAGTGACCATGTTTACCGTCAGCACCCAGATAAGTTCAAGTTTTCCAGCCTTATGGATTCCATACCGATGGTTTTGGCAAAAAACAATGCTATTACCATGAATCATGTAAGTCCTTTGTTTGAGGGGGGTATTAATTTTTTTTTGAAAACACTAAAATCTGTTTCTATCAAAAAATTACATTCCATTCTTTTGTTTGATATTAATGTGGTTTTAAGTAGGCATTGTGCTTCTTACTGACAAGAGACATCTAGACCTGAAAGTGTCACAAATACCAACTCACAGAGCAGAATTTCTTTATTCTCAATAAGAATCAGACTACTTTCATGTGTTCGTCTATTCATTACCAGCCTGTACTAGTGATATCTTTTTATTTTTCTTAGCGCCTCTATACAGAAGCTTGGGATAAAGATAAAACCACGATTCACATTATGCCAGACACCCCTGAAGTTGTACTAGCTAAACAAAACCAAATAAATTACAGCGAGGTAAGCAATATTCATGAATATTCACGGTGCATGATATATTTTCCTTACAATGCATTTGTAAATCCAATTTATGACTGCGTGTATCTGTTTTAGAAACTATATAAACTTGGCCTAGAAGAAGCCAGGAAGAAAGGCTATGATATGCGGCTAGATGCCATTCCTATCAAGGCAGCCAAGGCTTCCAGAGACATTGCCAGTGAAGTAAGTACAACCAGAAAATTCTTTGCCTTAGTGCTGGCCCAAAGATTTTTTTTCTCTCTCCTTGATTTATAGTGGAGCAAGTAAGCTATTAGGGTAAAGCTGTTGCTAACAGTTTATTTTTTCAGTAAATGACTTAAAATAATGGTAATGAAATTCCCAACACAAAGGCCAAATTCAAGCCATGATTGAGTCCACGGGGACATGCATTTCAAAATATCCCTTTGTTGCTGAGCAAAGCATTGGATACTCAGCAATAGCTCAGATAATTTTTTTGGCTTTTCCAATGATGTATTTCTTTTTTTATACTTTGATAGATTTGGAGGTACAAGTGATTTTTTTTTTGTTACATAGATTAATTGTGTAGTGGTAGTGGTTGGGTTTCAGTACACCTGTCACCTGAGTAGTGTTTATTATACCTGATATGTAGTAATAGTTTTTCTTCTCTCACCCCCCACCCACCCATACCCTCTGGTATATTTCTTATATACAATCAGACTCATTGCAGGGTTCCTTCAAAACCCAACTTATGCTCTATAAACCAAGGAATCTACAAAGGCTGTGTGAATAGGAACATTATTCAAAGTTCAACCATCTATGTGGATCATGTTTATCTCTGTATCCAGTGATTGGCTGTGGATATTGGCTTTCTTTAAAAGTATTTCTACCAATTTTATTCTTCCATTTCTTTTGTCCATGAAGTCAAAAATATATTTTTCCTTTATTTGCAAAATATGGAAATTAATCATTATAATTTAAAAATAAATATTTGAAAAGCAGAAAAGAATGAAATATATTAATGGACACCCATAGAATGAAATGCCTGCTGCCATTATAAATCATACTTATGAAGAATATTTGACATAGAGAAATGCTTATATAATAACTGAAAAGAACAGGCACAAACCCATATATAGTATGATTCCTAATTTTATTCTCCCCATACACATGCACCATAAAAAATTAACTCTGAGTGGCAGAATCGTGTATTAAATTTTATTTTCTTTTGGGGGATATATATTGTATATTTTATTTATTTTCCAAATGGTTTATAAGATGCATACGTTGTATATAATTTATATATTTGGGGAAAGTCATTATTTTTTTATGAAGAGGAAAATTTAGACCTAGTAATTGCTTTTTACCAAAAGTTCAAACAGGTGACTATCAGTCTTTTCCTTCTTCTAGTTCAAGTACAAAGAAGGTTATCGCAAGCAGCTTGGCCACCACATTGGTGCCCGAGCCATCCATGACGATCCCAAGATGATGTGGTCCATGCACGTGGCCAAGATCCAGAGTGACAGGGAGTACAAGAAGGACTTTGAGAAGTGGAAGACCAAGTACAGCAGCCCAGTGGACATGCTGGGAGTGGTCCTGGCCAAGAAATGTCAGGCCCTGGTCAGTGACGTGGACTACAAGAACTACCTGCACCAGTGGACGTGCCTGCCCGACCAGAATGACGTGATCCACGCCCGGCAGGCCTATGACCTCCAGAGTGATGTGAGTACTGAGGATCATAAACACATGGAAATCTGGGAAATCAGTGAATTAACTCCCTTTGGAGGAGATCACAATAGGTAGCACCAAGCCCACCAGCCCCTGCAAGTGGAGAACAGCATGCCTTCCTTTTTTGGGATTGTTAATTCTTTAACCCTCCAGACCAAAATGGAATATTGTCTAATGCTCTGCCTGTCCACCAGACTATATTTTAGAGAGTACTTTTACTTGATTTCATACCCTTCAGACGAAAATGCATTTCCAATGCAGGAATAAGTATTTATTGACTATTTGTGTCAACAGAATATGTACAAGTCAGATCTCCAGTGGCTGAGAGGCGTCGGCTGGGTGCCCATTGGCTCTTTGGATGTGGAAAAATGCAAAAGGGCAACTGAAATTTTGAGTGATAAAATCTATCGCCAGCCTCCAGACCAATTCAAATTTACCAGCGTGACTGATTCTCTGGAACAAGTGTTGGCCAAGAATAATGCCATCACTATGAACAAGGTGAGGCTTCAAATTTCAGAAAAGCAAGATGGGGGCACCTAAACTAAATCAATGAAAAAGATGCATTATCAGGAAAAGAGAGCACTGAGCAACAAAAGGCATCTACCATCTGTCTATTTATCATCTACTTTATATATGTCATTTATATTCTGATAATTACTGCAGTTACTGTTTCATGGTTTTGATATAATGGCATATTTTTATAGAAAAATAGTCTTTGCCTAAAAGATTCTTATTCTCACTTTCCTTTTAATTAACATACATTTCAGATTATCAAAAGGCACTTATAAATATCTGTTCCACCATGAACTAATTACTTAAAGATGTGAATAAAATACATGATGTGTAAAAAAATCATCATTTGTGTCAGTACAGTGGCTCACGCCTGTACTGTTCCACTCTGGGATCTGAGTGCTAGGAGCTGAGGGGGGAGGATCATTTGAGTTCAGGAGTTTGAGAACAGCCTGAATAGGAGTGAGACCCCATCTCTACTAAAAATAGAAAAAATTAGCTGGGCATGGTGGCACAGCGTGTTGGCATGCACCTGAAGTCCCAGCCACTTGGAAGGCTAAGGCAGGAGGATTGCTTGAGCCCAGGAGTTTGAGGTTGCTGTGACCTGGTCTGATTCCATGGCACACTAGCATGGGCAACAGAGTGAGACTCTGTCTCAAAAAAAAAAAATCACCATTTGTTTTTTTTGGTTACACAGTTTTTGTGACTCTGAAATTCCTATTAATTATACATGGAACTTTTTTCCTGATGAATGCATGTATTTTCTTTGATAGCGTTTATACACAGAAGCCTGGGACAAAGACAAGACTCAGGTCCACATAATGCCAGACACACCAGAAATTATGCTGGCAAGAATGAACAAAATCAACTACAGTGAGGTGAGAGCAGATGCTAATTCTTTGATATTTGCATGCTATTTCTTATTTCAATTGATCTGTTCCATTGTGATATAATACCAAACGGCAGCTTTATAAAGAATCTTTTTTTCTAGCTTCATGTGAATAACAACTCTTGCATTTCTCATAAATATTAAACTTTAAGTAATATGAATAATCGCTTGGGAAGTACAAATTACAAGAACTAATGATTTAAGCAGTAACCATAAAATTATATAGACCATATTATTTTATTAATTTTTAAAGTTAGGAAATTTGCAGTAGACCAAATATACATGTATCTTCCCCCTTATGCTAAAGCATAGCTCTAGTAAACATATTTTCTGTATATTGTTCCTAAATTATAGTTTAGGGACAAAATTTAAAATTTTTAGTGTATAAGATTATAGTGAAGGACTAAAATCACAGTACCACCAGGTAACAGTGAGAGAGAGAGAGAGAGACTCCTGCTCTGTGCATATGTTAGCAAGCCCATTTCCTTTTCACTTTCAGTGAGCATAGGGCCACGTGCCCTCATCCCAGAAACACAGATGCTTAGGCAGAGAGGTCAGCCTTGATCCAGTACAGAAATTCGCCTCCCCCATGCAATGGGTTGCTGGACTGCCTTTGCTTAAGAAGTCTCAGTGACAAGGAATTTATCTCATAGATCAGGCCATTTGTTTTGGAAAATGTATTATTAGAAAAGGCTTCCTATGTATTGAGTCACAACACTTCTCTCTGCAAATCCACATAGCCCTTGGAAGCCATGCAGAACAGATCTGTGCCCACCCCAGAGAAGGAGCCTTCTCTGCCACCTGCACCCCAGTTCTCTTTCTAATCCACGTTCCGGGGCCTTCCTCACGTGACATCCCTGGTATAACGTGACTCTCAGAACTGAACAAAATACTGTGAGTGAGGACTGACTGGTGTAGGATATAGTCGATTATCATATTTTCTCTTCTGGACATTTGACTTCCATTTTTATACCCTGTGCTCCCTGGGCACATTGGCAGCTGTCACTGCTGGTGCACACAGACCTTGGGATCCACTGAAACTCACAGATATCTTATGTAGGTTAAAGCTACGTTTCCTTTATCCTGCATTTAGGCATTTGGTCATTTATCTCAGTTCAAAGATTGACATTTATCTCTATGCAATTTCTTCTTCTTAGACTGAACCTGTGTGTTTAAGCCTGTGGAGATTTTTGTGAATCTAAGATTCTGTCTGCAGAGTATTAGTTACCCAGCTTTGTGCCACCAGCAAGGAAAATATTGTTGCTTTGGCAGAATAGATCAACAGAATATCGCTCTTCTGTGGAATATCATCTAGAGAATTTAGATAGGATTGCCACCATCTTAAGTAATTTCATTTTTGTGGTGATACTGCAATTTTAGTGCTTATGTAAGAAGTAGCTCTCAATTGTCACCAAAAACTAAAAGCATCAAGTCCTTGTGTCAAATCAGAAAGGATTGAATTTTTAGCTAAACCTGTAGTATAGGTCCTATATTGTTGTTCCTAGAAAGCATGTGTTGTATGTGCAGAAATTTCAGGAGACAAAGAGACCCCTGCGTCTAGCCACTTGGCATTTCTGGAATTTCTCAAGTCTGTCTCTTTGGAAAAGCTCAGAAACCAGGACGTGCCCAACGGCATTCCCCTCTGATGTGGAGAAGAAGAGAACGTTTGTGTTGGTTCCCTATATTCTGTAGAACGAAGCACCAACTTCTTATCTTAAAATCAGGTGTCCGACTCCAGACTCTCCTCAGTCCTCTCCTGCCACGTGTCGCTGGGGCCTCACCCCACTTCCTTCAATACCCCTGTCCTTCCACCGCCCTATGCCTTGACGCGTGTGATTTCCTCAGCCTTTGACATCTACTGAAACCCTGCTCATCACTCAAGGTCCAACTCAAAGGTCACCCCATCTGCAAGGACTTCCCTGATCCTCTAAGTCAGAGTAAATGACTCCTTCCTGGAGCTCTTCCTTAATAACGTGGTTTGACTTGTCAGCCGTCGGTTCCACGGGTTTTCAATCTTTCCATCAGTTCTCCCAGGAACCTTAAGTTGAAAGAGGTCTCAACCTCATCTTTGATTCCCAAGTACCTCACACAGTCACAGTCCATAGGCAGTGCAGAATAAACGTGAACTGAATTCATTGCGATGGTCAGTAGTTCATCAGGTCTTTGTCTTCTATCCACATTTTGCCACCTTAGACCTGTGAGTTTCATCTTAATTTTTTCCAGTAATTTTCAAACCCGATTCATTGTTTTAACTAAAAATTTTAAAACAATATTTAATATGTACATCTAGTTAATTCAACATAAGCTTTACAGTGAAAAATAAAGGTGCAGTGGTCTCCATAGGCATCATTTTTAAGTCTTCACTTTAGCAAACATGCAGAAGGCTTAGAACTTTCAGAAGTAAGATTATTATAGGCATTATCTCTGGAGAACTTAGTGAATTATTTCAGTTCTCAATCAGTTTTTAGATATGAATGTCAACACCTAACTGATTTTTGTTTTTTGCCCCAATTTAGAGTCTTTACAAACTTGCCAATGAAGAAGCAAAGAAGAAAGGCTATGATTTGCGAAGCGACGCCATCCCAATAGTGGCGGCCAAGGCCTCCAGGGACATCATCAGTGACGTGAGTTGTCAGTTCTCTTCTGAGTATGTGATCAGTCTGCTGTGACATTTTCACCAAACTAAATCTTGAGAAAGAACTTTCCTGGACCTTTGAAAATATATCCTGATGTATTTGTGTGGGAATTTTCAAAAGCCTAGTTTTGGGGAAAATGAAAACATGATGCTCGTAAAAGGGGTTTGTAACCTGTAGGATACAGCATCTTTGGTGAAAACTGGTCTACTGAGAATAGAGAAAGATTCATTCATGTGTAACTGTTAGAGTGCAGCTGCAGGCCTGGAGATGCTAATATAAAAGTTATCGTTATGCATGTAAAAAAGCATACAGAAAGTGTAACTTGTAAACTTAAGTTCTCCCAATGAGAATCAGGGCCCGGCTTTGTGTAGCATTTTAATATACAATATTTAAAAATGCATAGGACACTTGCTATTGCAATTCAACTTTGCAAGATTACAAAAGGAAGGTAGCTGATTGGTGCTAGAGGTGGCTGCTGACCCAAGCACACGCCTTTATCAATAGCTCTTGGCCATGTAGCACGTACTTCCCAGAGTAAAAAAACTATCATCTTTTCCCCATCCTTAGTGATTCTTGAGGAACAGAATACTGCTGTGAAAATCAAGGCCCACTATTCAAGATTATAGTAATATGTAATATGTTGTCCTTTATGTTGGAATATCATGTTAGTGACTCACTTTATATTGCACCCTCCCAGCAAACGGACTTATGCCAATAATAATAAATAATGAAACAATAATTACCAAGAAGTATTGAGAACTCTGTGCTAAGAGCTTTACATGCATTATCTCCTTTATTCTTCATAATGACCCTGAGATGTAGATTTCATCATTATCCTCATTTTGTAGATTATTTAAGCAACTTACCTAAATTAAACTCTTAGTGGGTGGTGGAGTTGAGACTCCAGACAGCCTCATTCTTTTCCACTGTACCATATTGCCTCCTGCTGATTCACCTATACTTTCTCAGGCAGTCGTCTTTGAGACTAGAAGAATGTATTTTTGGATAATTGGCTTAGATTCCAGAATCAAGTCACTGGACGTGAATAATAAAAATGTTGTTGGCCCATGTGAGGCTAGAACCCATGGCCTTATTAGGAGCATGCTCTGACCAGTTGGGATGCTGCAATAGCTTTACTAGCATAGTGACTTTTCAAAATGATGCCAAAAATTTGCCTCTGCCACTGTGCATGAATCCAATAGGAAATAATGAATTCTCCTCTGTTGCTACTACAGGTAGTTCTTGACATAGAGTACATCATGCTTGTAGGAGCCAGTCACTCATTTTACTGCTTATTAAATACACAATACCACCAAATGCATCCCTTTCCTGATATGCTTTTATATATAGGATGCAATTCTCCAGCTTCCCTGTTCAAATGGCCTCTCCCTGACTTCCACAGGTTACCTTCCCCAAGCAGAATGGTGTGTGCTTACTGTTTCCAGAACTGTTCCTTATCACCAGGCTATCGGTGATTTTGCATATATACTACAATTATATGAATTTTATCTATTTTACTACCTTGACAGGCTTCCAGGATAAAGGCCAGGCTACTGGCTTGAGTTGGTCCTTATTAACAAAAGTCAAGTGAACTATGATATAAGCAAGATGGTTTTGTATAGACTTGTGGTCTCCAAGAGTTTATAATAAAAACCTGATGTGTGCATTTTCATTTCAGTACAAATATAAAGATGGTTACCGCAAGCAGCTTGGCCACCACATTGGAGCCAGGGACATTCATGATGACCCCAAGATGATGTGGTCCATGCATGCGGCCAAGATCCAGAGTGACCGGGAGTACAAGAAGGACTTCGAGAAGTGGAAGACCAAGTTCAGCAGCCCCGTGGACATGCTGGGCGTGGTGCTGGCCAAGAAGTGCCAGACCTTAGTCAGTGACGTGGACTACAAGAACTACCTGCACCAGTGGACGTGCCTGCCCGACCAGAATGACGTGATCCACGCCCGGCAGGCCTATGACCTTCAGAGCGATGTGAGTGCAGCGTCTTTAAAGGAGCTGTGTGTAGAAATGATTCAGACCATGTGAAAGTTATCTTTTACATGCAATCCATTGGCCTACTCTAGTTAAGATTTACTGACCAGCGAATAAGATTTGAATCAGAGTGCAGTTTTATTGCTTTGTTATAAATACATTGATAGGGTTCATAATTTAAAATAAAAATGTATAAGGTGGACTTGATCCTAATTAAAACAAAACTGGAATGAAGTTATGTTAGAATTCAGGGTCCACTAGAGGGAGACATTTTCTTGTATTCTTTTAAGGGAAAAAGGCATATTTTTATTTTAAAAAGAAGTTACTTTGGAATTTGTTTTTGGTTTCCTTACAAAACAAGTGAGGTTATAATTATTAGAATGCTAATGCCTACTACAACGCTAAATGCTATTCTTATGAAATTAAAGGAGTTGCTGTGTCCATGAGCAACTCAGATACTTCTCTGCCTGTGGCTTTCTTTATGGAAGGGCCACGTGGAACTTAGTACCAATGGGAAACAACTGCACTATCTCAAATCTGGGTGTGAGAAGCACATTTCCTGCATGATATATTTTATAAACATTTAAAGGAATTAAAGCACTAGAGAGCTTTGGAGAATAAAACTAATTTATAATAATTATTCATTAATCAGATGTTCCTAGAAACTTACAGCCCACCTGACAAAACTCCCACGTCTGTTCTGTAGCTTTCAACATACAGAACTCTGTGTTTTGCAATTCTCTTCAAAAAGAAAGGCTCTGCCTGCACAGCAAAAGGAGTTTAAAAAAGTTGATGTCACCCATAGAGTGACAGCATTAACAGACTGCTTGCCATCTGTCTGTTTGTTGGGTACCTTCTCTAGATTGCCTTCCTCACTCTGCGGTATGGCCTTCATAATATGGGAAGTATTCGAAGGTTAAAAAGCACTCCGAAAGTATAAAATGTTACTGTTTTCTTTCTTGCTATTGTTATTTAGGGGCAATAACTTGTCAGTACAGGGCAATTCCAACAAGGTTTTTGTCTAGACTGCAAAATACCAGTTTTTATTTTCCACTTAGTTGCTGTTACAGGTGAAATTTTTCCGACATGCTAAGCAAAGGTCCAATACCATGGTTGTGAAGTAGTTATGGATACTTAATGAGTATATAAAAATCTTTAGCAAAAAAAAATATGAATTAAGGTGAGAATAAAGACATGGCAAGATAATTCTGAAAAAGAGTCTGTGCTTCCAACCTGAGAACTTGCTGGGGAAGGGCCTGGGGCCCTGGACTAATGAAATGGTCATTTACTGGCCTGAATCACGGACAGAGTGACAGCTGTTGAGGGTCCTCCTAGGGGCTTCAGAGGTTCTACATCATTATTATATTTTAATTTTTCTTTCTTTCTTTCTTTCTTTTTTAAAGAGCATTACAAGGCCAGGCATGGTGGCTCACGCCTATAATCCTAGCACTGTGGGAGGCTGAGATGGGCAGATCGTTTGAGCTCAGGAGTTCGAGACCAGCCTGAGCAAGAGCGAGACCCCACCTCTACTAAAAGTAGAAAGAAATTAATTGGTCAACTAAAAATATATAGAAAAAAATCAGCTGGGCATGGTGGCGCATGCCTTGTAGTCCCAGCTACTCGGGAGCCTGAGGCAGGAAGATTGCTTGAGCCCAGGAGTTTGAGGTTACTGTGAGCTAGGCTGACACCACAGCACTCTAGCCCGAGCAACACAGCAAGACTCTGTCTCCAAAAAAAAAAAAAAAAAAAAGAGCATTACAGATATTTTGAAATATAAGAAAAAAATATGGAATGCAATAATAATCAACATGATCCAACCACTAGAAAAGCCCACTCCTAGTCCCATAATTTATCTACTCATGTTGTTTCATATGCTACTTTTTCATTTAATATTTCTACTAATGACATTTCTATATGTCATCAATATTCTTTAAAAATGAGGCTTTTAATAGCTACAGAGTGTTTCATCTGGCTAGGCCTACAATTGATTTACTGATAGCCTGTTGTTGGACGTGTGTGGTTTCTCTGTTTGTGAGTTTGCATTCTTCTGCCCGGGCACGTTGTAATAACGATAATATTCACTCAACCAACTGACAGAGGGTATCAGTGGATATCATTCCTCTCCTAAGAATCTGGAACTTTATTTGATAACTTTTTATATGGCTAGGAGACATTTCTGGGTCGTTTTTGAACATAGTTTCTCTTTCAGTTTGCCTAATACAGTGAGCTTGCTTTCTATAAAAAGAAAATAGACTTGCACTTTATTATGGATTCCATTTGCATCTTGACCCTAAATCTTTTCATCTTGATGAGGAGTTTCTGCCTTTTTCCTCTTCTCAGAATATTTACAAGTCAGATCTCCAGTGGCTGAAGGGCATTGGCTGGGTCCCCATTGGGTCCGTGGATGATGTCAAGTGCAAGAGAGCTGCAGAAATCCTGAGCGATGCCATCTACCGCCAGCCCCCAGATAAGCTGAAATTTACTAGTGTAACTGATTCCCTGGAACAGGTTCTGGCCAAGAACAATGCCATCACCATGAACAAGGTGAGCCCCAGCAGCCTCAAGCTTTTCCAAGATGCCCAAAGATATTATTATATTTTAATGACCAGTGGGGTCAAAATTATCCATAAAGACTTGGATTCACATTTACCTTTTAAATTACATATTTGAAATCCTCTAAATAATTTCTATTCTTCTCAGTTTCAATCTTGACAACTAACGATAAGACTTAAACTTCCAATAGAATACCTTGTATCCAAGTCTGGCTTATTTTTCCTAATTAGGTCAATATGAACCTTATTTTATTATATAATTTGACTTTTTGTAGTTCCGATTTCAAATGGCTTTTGATCAACATCTTCTCTTCTTTTATAGCGTTTATACACAGAGGCCTGGGACAAAGACAAGACTCAGATTCATATAATGCCTGATACACCAGAGATTATGTTGGCAAGGCAGAACAAAATCAACTACAGTGAGGTAGGAGCAAAATGCTGTGGTGCTATAGTTACTTGGTTGTTGTTATTTGTTTTTCAGCACTTAGTTTTGTGGAGATTCTTGGGCCTCAGCTGTCATGGTGGATGTAGCTCTTTCATATACACACTCAGCCCATCCAACTTTTCATCTCCGGATCCAATATCATATTTTATAGGATTCCACAGGCAAACCGAAGTTACACTGTCCTTTCAGTTTGTGGCCATTTCTAGTGTGAGTCAGTGGAACTGAGTAGTATTTTTGGCATTTCCAAGGGATAGGATTGTCAGATAAGATACTGAACCATTATTTATATTAAACTATTATTTGTTGATTATATGAAATTCAGGTTCAGCTGGGTATGCTATATTTTTATTTGCTAAACCTGTTACCTTTACTAAAGAGGCCTGTAGTAATGTGTACCTCTTCCCTACCTGGGTCCTGAATTAAATTAAGAAATAAAACAAAGGAGTAGAAAGAGAAGTCCAAATCTCGCATTTGTTTTTTTACTTCTAAAGTTAAGTTAAAGGACACATTTGTATGACAGCCAGATGAGCCTGCTAACTGAACATCAGAATTAGGTTTCCTCACCTAGGCCTGGGCTTCTTTGGAACAGGTGACCAGTCCACCCACCAGCAGAGAGGCCCTGGTTAGGGTGCAGAGAAACTGAGGCAGGCAGGAGGCTGGATCCTAGAGGGGGGAAGGGAAGAGCTGGGCAGAGCATGCCCGCTAATGCCACCCCTACCAATTAGGTAGTCAGTAATTCACTGACCCTTCCAGGGCTGAGATAAAGGAGAGTGGCAGAGAAAGGTCACTGTCAAAATAATTGAGCTTCTTTTATAGAAAGAAAACCTCAGGCATGGGGAAGAACTGTTCTCCATCAAAAACATTGATTGCTGGTTTTATAAAAAAATTTAAAACGTAATTTTACGGACACATGTTATACTAATATGATGCAACCAGAATTTAGAATCTTAAAGTTGTGATTACAGTGAAATTAACTGTATTTTAAGTTACACTTTAGTATTTATTTTTTAATATTATAAAATGTTACATGATTGTCATAAAATTTTTAAGTCATAAAAAAGAATAAAAGTGTGTATGTATTTCTCTATATAAATGAGTAATAATATCAAAGATGCTGTTCTGCGTTTTTTCATTGAGCAGTAAGTGTGGATTGATGCTTTTTGTTCATCAATCAGTATTACTAGGTTATGTTAATCTATGTTGATGTGTATATCATGTAAACAAATCTATGTGTGACATTCATCTATAGTGATATACAATAGATTAATGTATCTGTTTATGTTAATATTCATTGCCATATCTCATTTGTTTCTAATGCTATGCAGTATTTTTTGGTAGGATATAATATATTTGCTTTCCACCATTGTCAGAAACTTAGATTGTTTCCAGTGTCTATCCTTTTTTTAAGTTATGTGATGTAGCTCTCTTGATAATTTCTAAAACTGCCAAACCTTTTGCCTTAATTTTTTACTTTCTCCCTATAGAGCCTGTACAAACTCGCCAACGAAGAAGCAAAGAAGAAAGGCTATGATTTGCGAAGCGACGCCATCCCCATCGTGGCGGGCCCATGGCGCATCATCGTGACTGAGTAGCAACACCCCAGATATCTACGTGGACAGATAGGGTGAGCAGGCAAAATGATTATTACAACAGGAAGAAGCATCCGGCGCCAGTGAGAGCACATTTCCTGACTTATTTTTCTAAATCAAAGAAATGTTTTCATTTGAAAAAACTCTTTTTTTTTTTGAGATAGAGTCTCACTCTGTTGCCCGGGCTAGAGTGAGTGCCATGGCATCAGCCTAGCTCACAACAACCTCCAACTCCTGGGCTCAAGCAATCCTTCTGCCTCAGCCTCCCGAGTAGCTGGGACTACAGGCATGTACCATGATGCCCAGCTAATTTTTTCTATATATTTTTAGATGGCAAATTAATTTCTTATTTAGTAGAGACGGGGTCTCTCTCTCACTCAGGCTGGTTTCGAACTCCTGACCTTGAGCGATCCTGCTTCCTCAGGCTCCCAGAGTGCTAGGATTACAGGCGTGAGCCACCGCTACCGGCCTGAAAAAACTCATATTTTTTTAACTCTGAAAGACTTTGGCATCCAGGTCCCATAGGGGGGAGTGTCTTAAACTTCAGTATGAATTGAATTGATTCTACAGTTTTTTATATCCACAATTATGAGAAATTCATCTCCACATTTTGAGCATGGAGCCTCGCAGAAATAAAAACAATGCCAGAAGAGTTTTTTTTTTTTTTTTAAAAACTTGGTTACATGTACCAGTTAAGCATCAGCTGGTATAGCCAAGTCTAGGAAAATCTACTTTTCCTCAAGCTTGGTCTGTATTTTTGCCAACTCTTTCTTTGAAAAATTACCTTAAATACTTCCTGTTGAGTTCTTTTTGAAATGAAAATAGAAAGGCAAAGGCAAACAACCAAAAACAACACGTTGGTGAGCCTGGTTTCTCTTTCTGTGATCTCTTGAGAGAAGTGAGTCCTCTGGTGGAGAAGTCAGACTTCTGTAAACATATGTCGGGATGTGTGTGCTGTTGTTGCCTAAAGTAGAGAGAAAACATCCAGAGGCAGCCCTGACCGACCGTCACCACCCACAAATCGCTTTTTTGTAGGTGTAGAGTCCATTTTCTCACTTGAGGAATCCCAGACAAACCTCGGCCAAATTTGATGTCCGACAGAGCAGGGCTTGCAGGGTGAAACATAATCCACTCATCTCGGGCGTCAATGACCCAGTCTGCAGAGCCAGATTTAGGGTGGGAAGTAATGGGTGGTTTGGTGGGGGGGGTGTGAAATTGTATCTGTGGACTCAGGAATAGCATCTCAAATCAGCGTAATTTCTCGTTAGGATTTCACCAGCCCAAGATGAAAAAGGCAGTATATAATTGATTGATCTCGGAAAGGGTTGCTCCCTTTATTTCCAGGAACTTAATGTGTGCAAACCACAGGACTTTGTAGTTTGGCCCATCTTCCCATTAGAATATGCCCATTAGACTAATGCTGTTAGACCCTTAGACTTCCTGTTAGATGCTCAGACTTTCCGTTAGCCTGCTTTCCAGTAGACTACAGCTGTGAAGTCTAATTAGAGTTTAGGATGAGGAGATAAGCCAATACTCAGATGATTTCATTCCTCTGCAAGAATTATCAATTTTCAAATAAAGTTTTCAATTAATGAGACTTTAACTCTTTCTACTCATTTTTATTTCTGAAATGAACTTTTTGTTTTCAGTACAAATACAAAGATGGTTACCGCAAGCAGCTTGGCCACCACATTGGAGCCAGGGACATCAAAGATGATCCCAAGATGATGTGGTCCATGCACGTGGCCAAGATCCAGAGTGACAGGGAGTACAAGAAGGACTTCGAGAAGTGGAAGACCAAGTTCAGCAGCCCAGTGGACATGCTGGGCGTGGTGCTGGCCAAGAAGTGCCAGACCTTAGTCAGTGACGTGGACTACAAGAACTACCTGCACCAGTGGACATGCCTGCCCGACCAGAATGACGTGATCCATGCCCGGCAGGCCTATGACCTCCAGAGCGATGTGAGTACTAGAGGACTGTAGAAACCATGCTCATGACCGTAACACATAGACAATGGTCTTGGATTAGATAAAACCCTCTGAAGGGATGACATTTCTTCTCTCTGCTCCTCATTTTTTTTAGGTCCCTCTGCCCCTTTGCCTCTTTTAGAGAGAAAGAACATAATACTATGAGAGTTCATCCAATTTGGCCTTCATATTTTAAAAGACACAGACATGAAGTTTGATTGTCCAAACTTTTCAGTGCTTTGCTTTTCCATTTTTTAAATCAACTGTCGAAACAACTTCAGTAACACTTGCTTTTGTGTTTGATCTCACCAGAACCTTTATAAGTCTGATCTCCAGTGGCTGAGAGGCATTGGCTGGGTCCCCATTGGGTCCGTGGATGATGTCAAGTGCAAGAGAGCTGCAGAAATCCTGAGCGATGCCATCTACCGCCAGCCTCCAGACAAGCTGAAATTTACTAGTGTAACTGATTCCCTGGAACAGGTGCTGGCCAAGAACAACGCCATCACCATGAACAAGGTGACATCCAAATTTGCGGGAAAGTAAAACGTAGCTGTATGTCATTTGGAATACCTATGCCTAATTAAGTTAGCCTTTTTTGTTTTATCCAATTAAATTGCTATCCAATGTGGTTGAGTTCTCTATTCTGTTACATAAGGGTTTCAAAGGCGTATGGGAGCATTTCTGCTTTGACATCTCTCGTGAAATAGCCAGAGTTAAGAATAGGACAGCTATTTGGGGTTCAAATTGTTTGAAGCATATAAGAATTAGTCATACATGGTTTGGTATCAAGGTTTCTTTCTTGCTGGGTACATATTTAGGTTAGCATAGAACAAACAAGTAAGATGCAAATCTCCGTAACATTTATCAGAAAGAGATCTAGAGATGGCATAGGCAGGTACATTTGCAGTTAATAAACAAGCTAACAACAAACAACATCAAATAAACAAAACATGGGTTGATTTGTTAATATAGCGGTAGTACAGATATGCATGCATATATATGCTTGGGAAATACTTGCTTTTAATTTAATTAATGTGGGGGTCACCTGGTTACCAAACACACACACGTGTGTGCATGTGCCTGTATTTGATTATACACACACACACATACTACAGATATATTTTTTCTTTTCATAGCTTAATATACATTTATATTTAGCTACCCTATAAAAATCAAAGAGGTTGGAAAGAGTGTTAGTGCACAGCACCCAGTGCAGATAGCAAGGAGGCTGGCTTTCAACACTGTCATGATTTCTTAATTGAAAACTCCTGTTTACAACTGTTTTTCTAACTTCATTAACTTTTTTATCCTTCACAGCGCTTATACACAGAAGCCTGGGACAAAGACAAGACCCAAGTCCATATTATGCCTGATACACCTGAAATTACGTTGGCAAGACAAAATAAGATAAATTATAGTGTGGTAAGGCCATTTGTTTTATTTCTTTGATCTGGTCACATTGATTTTTGCTGATGTAGAACTGTCAGAATTATGGAGTTAATCTTCGTGTAGGCCAATTAGCTTAGTTTTGGTTTTTCAATGCCCATTACCCTACCTTGAATATACATATTATTTTACTTTAAAAATAGGTAGATGGAAAGATTGATGAATAGATAAGCACAAAAACATCTCCTTATCAGTAAGGGAAAAGAACTTCTTAAAATTAACTATTAATGGCTGAAACATATCATAATTTGAATTAAAAATAATTATTGCTATTTGTCAAATTATTACTTGCTTCAAAATTTTTTCTGCAAGTTTGTTTTCTTCAATTATTTCATCTGTAAAATGGATTAAAAGTGCCCATCTTGATGAGATGAATTTTTATGAAGACTTAAGGGGGGTCCAAAATATAACATGCCCAGTATGGGGCTTGGTTCAACATAGTTGCTTAATAAACTTTAACTTCTTCCCTTTATACTCAAGTCACCATGAAAATTAGATTTATTTAATATGCTCAAAATAATTTGAAGTTTATTTACAAGAACTAAAATAAGAATTCTTAAATTCAACTTATTTCAAAATGGCCTGAGGACAATAAAATTCATTCTTTTATAAACTATTTCCAGCCTCACTAAATTTGTCGCATATCTTTGCAGTCCAGAAATACTGCTGCATAAATAGCTTCTTGCTCAATCGCTCTTGCCAAAGTCAAGAATTTACATGGTTGATTTCAGAAGAATACTAATTTTTCTCCATGTGTATGTGTCTTCATTTAAAAAAAAAAAAAAAAGGAGGGCAGAGTTTTCTTTAGTTTGAGAATGCTGGAAAATTTAAGTACTCATTTTCGACTTGACCAAATGTATTATTTTACCCATATTAATTACATTTGCCTATAATAATGTAGCCCTAAAGAAGAGGCACACTTATATCAAATAACCATGACAAGTAAAATGAGGAGGATGTGATTTTTGCTTTCTCCACGATTATAAATCAGACCAAAGGACAAGCCTGATCATAAATATTTGATTGGCCTTGGCTTCAGTCACTTTGGAATGAGCAATTTTCTCTTGGCCACAGTTTCTCAGTTGGATTAGATTCTCCTGGGAGGTTTGCCCTACACAAGGCAGATAAAGTTAGTTTCCACCCCAGATTGTGATGAAGCTCTTCAACTTCTCCCGTTTGTTTATATTAGGAAAGTTGAGGTTGTTGGGTGTTTTTTCCAGACTGCTGAGAGGAAATTGAGCTATTTCTTAATTCTAAAATTTTCATCTGGATTTACTTTCTTCAAAATTGCATGATCCTACTAATTCCTTAAGAACTGTCATCTGAAGATTAGATTTCGGAATGGGCCACTTGAATTTGTTATCAAGCCACTGCCAATGGTACTTTATTCCATATTTCACTCCATGAATGTAAAACAAAACAAAACAAATGCATCTTATTTTTTCTTTCAAATTCTCATTTACCCATTCTAGTTCTCTTGGGTAATAAGCTTTAAAATGTAGACTTGATGATAGCCAAAAGTGTGCTCTTCTTTGAAGCACTGCATCTTTTTCAAATGTTGGAAGGATTAAAGCACTCTATTTGTTTGGCCTGAAGCCATGAGATGATTCAAGCACATTTTTTCCAACTTACAATATATATATTAAAAAATTGAGAATTTATTCTTCAAAAAAATAATAGATGAAGTATTTGATTCTCCAGTTTCAAAAGAAAAATTTCTGGAAATTTTTAAGAAAAACAAATACCCACTGGATTTTATCTAGAGATATTAAATTTAAATTTATTATTATTTTTACTTTAGCTTTTTCTTATAAAATCTCATCTTGAAAGGACACAAACTGATACATCTCAGAATCTACTTTATAAACATACAATAATATGCCTCTAGGACTCATACGTCATTGAAAAATTAAGTGCCTCTGTATCATATTTAAAATCCAGGTGCTATTTCAATATTCTTAATTCAATCTAATTTGAGACTGGGACATAAAATTAAAGCAATTATTTGTGCTGCACTTTTTGAGAATTTTCCTTACATTTAAGATTTTGTTTTTACATTGCCCCAATGGTGAAAAGCATACTGAACAAGATAAAATAGAAAGAAAAAGCCAGCCCTATAAAATTGTAGATCATTGTTGTTTTTCCTTAAAACCATAAGTTATTTCTAAATTCTTTTCCAGAACTACCTACTGGTATTGTCTGCTTTAACCAATTCAATAAATATAATGGAGAAAAGGGGGAAGTTGAAATTAAAGATTAAATTATTCACTTATAGACTGATTTAAGAGCCATGTCTCTGTATTTGGGTATAGAGATGAGCTGCCTTCAAACCTTAGTACCCCTTGAAGTTACACAAAAGCTTTCCAAGGGGTACTCTGGCATGGATCATTTTAAACAAATCAGTTAACATAGCTTCAATTTCCATACATATACTCTTCTAAATTATCTGCCTGAGAAGGCCCCGGAAGTTTAAGTGATGTTTCACTTCCTTCGTACTCTTCTTTCACTTTAAAACAAGAAAGGCACCGTTTAAAGGTGTGAAAAGAAACTAGACAACTAAATGCCACTCAGTCTCTTGAATTGAATTCTAAATAGAAAAACAACATTGCTATAAAGGACATTATTGGGACAGTTGGTGAAATTTGAGTATTCATTGTATATTAAACAATAAAAGAGAATAGTATTGGATAATAATATTGTATTAATATTAAATTTCCTGAATTTGATAAATATATTGTGGTTATGTAAAAAAATCTCTTCATTCTTAGGTGGTACATGATAAAGCATTTAGGGATGAAGGACATGATTTGTACAATTTTCTTGTAATCGGTTTAACAGTTGAGAATAATGAGAAGAAAAAAGGAAATATATCCCCCCATACATACATATATAAAGAGAAAGAAAGAGAGAAAATAAATATTGCAAAAATGTTAATAAATTGGATATTTGGGTGTTCATTGTACCATTCTTATAACTTTTCTGTAGGTTTGAAATTTTTCAAAACCTGGAAAATATATACTTTTAAATATTAAAGCATACATTAAAATATTTGACTAAGTATGATTATGTATTTTATTTTTAAAAAGAAGGAAAAGAAAAAGTGATACATACCCCAGTAGTTACCATGATGTATGCCTGCGAGTATTAAAACAAACAAACAAAAATCTCTGCCAAATAATTTAATTCCTTAGTGACTATCAAAACTTTCTGAATCAAAGCACCATGAGCTCCTATAATTCCAAGATCTCATTAAGAGATCCAATACATTTAACTGTTTATGTTTAAAAATTATCGTATATTTATTTTGTTTTGATATTGAACACCAATATTAGCAATTATTTTAAAATTTATTTTGTTTTAAGAGGATACAGAATTGGTAAAATTCCTATAAGTGGTTCATGAACATAAAAGGCTAAAGACTATTAGTAGAGATGATTTGTTTAATGCATGGTTCTCAAACTATTCTCCCGTGGAACACCTGCACACACGTGTCCTGCTACAGAGGCTAAATAGTGGTGGTGTTTTCTCAATTCACATAAAAAATTAATAAATAGAATTTTATCAGTTTTGTGCTTTTGACTCATAAATCTTTGATACCTGCTATACCAGTGTCTTCTAACAATTTCTAGTGGTTGCGAAAATGAATAAACAGGAAGCAAATCAATATTAACAGAGAAATTCAGAAATGGTAGTTCATTCTTTGTTCAGCACTATTTGATTATGGACACATGCTCATAGTGGTATTATTATTATATATCTTATTCTCTACTCGTAAAATTGTTCCTAATTCAAATATAGAGCTAAATAAGTCAACATTTCTTAGCTGTTTCATGAAAAAAGCAAGTGCTGAGCAATCTAAACACATTTAGAGCTATTAATACAATGTATAAAGTCTATAAGCATCTGTGCAAAGGGAAGTTCTGATGTTAAAACTTGGTGAATGTCTTCAGTCTATTAGAATAAAGTCTATTAGAACAAAAAAAAAGAGAAAAGAGAATAGTAAAATTAAAATAATTAAAAATTAAAAATAAAACTTGGTGGATGTGAAATTTCCATTTAAGTAAATAGTTTGGATAAATAGAAAGTAAAAGAAGGAATCTTTTTAACTTAAGGCTGAACATACTAGTGCAGTTTTGCATCCAAAAATAGCCTTCCTTTGACAAAAATACATTTTCAGAGGGAATGTGGTTCCGTATCTAAAAGCTGCTACTTCTTTCCTCAGAGTCTCTACCGCCAGGCCATGGAAGAAGCCAAGAAAGAGGGCTATGACTTGAGAAGTGACGCCATTCCCATTGTGGCTGCCAAGGCCTCCCGGGATATTGCCAGTGATGTAAGAGCTGATCGAGTCCTAACATTTGTTACCAACAAGCCAGCCACAGGCATGGGGGGCATGCAGCTGGAAGTCCCTTTAGTCATCATCCATCTTAACTTCATCGCACATGCAAATAAACTGAGGCTTGAGACAATGGAGAACTTGCCCAAGATCACAAGCATCATAGTGGCAAAGCCTAGGCTGGAATGTTTTAAACAGTTCCTTTGACTCTTGTCTTTGGTCTTTGCTTAATAGGAGTGAATGTCTTGATTAAAGTTAGACAGATATATATGCTGAGCTACTTACAAAACCTTGTGAGTTCTCTTTGGGATACACTCAAGGCAAAGATGCCAGAAAAGAAGCAGGCTTAACTGGGTTCTCTCCTCCCATGACTTGAAGAGAACATAGGTCAGCAAAACACCTAAAAGTCTCCTCTCTATGGGGTCCACAGAATCAATATTTCTTTACTAAACAGGAAGACATCAGATTCTTAGACATCTTAAAATTTAATCCAAGAGGACTAAAATTGCCCACTTTTATGGGTTTTTAAAATGTTTAAGTTGTGATAAAAATACAAAATATAAAATTCACTGTCTTAACCATTTTCAAGTATACAGTTCTGTAGTGTTCAGTGTATTCACATTGTGCAACAGATTTCCAGAATTTTATCATTTTGCAAAACTGAAACCTCTATACCCATTAAACAACGGAAATTGTCATTTTAAAACTACTCTTCCCCAATTCTTTGTGAAGGAAATTATTTCTCGAACTGCCCTGGAAAAAAAATTTTAATGAGGCACACCCCAGGTGTGTTCTTATTGAGTGGGTTTTCTCACATGACAGACTTCTGAGACAAGTCATGGTTTGTCACCGTAATTGGGCTCTTCCTTTCAATGTTCACTTTTTATCACTTTTTGCCAACATATAATTCCCTAGCATATATAAAGGAATCATTGTGGTATTCTTCTGTAGAGATGTGCCAATGAGCACAACACCCCAACGTGTAGCATCCCAAGCAGTACGTTTCATGGAGTTCCCCTGTTGTCTTAAAGAGTTCATAGAAAGCGTCACCACAGAAAGAACCAAAGGGAATGGCCATTGGCGCCTCCTCCTAATTTACTGGGTTCTCTCTTCCAGTACAAATACAAAGAAGCTTATCGTAAACAGCTGGGTCACCACATTGGCGCCCGAGCAGTCCATGATGACCCCAAGATAATGTGGTCCCTCCACATCGCCAAAGTGCAGAGTGACCGTGAGTACAAGAAAGAATTTGAGAAATACAAGACGAGGTACAGCAGCCCGGTGGACATGCTTGGCATCGTTTTGGCCAAGAAATGTCAGACCTTGGTCAGCGATGTGGACTACAGACATCCTCTCCATGAATGGATGTGCCTGCCCGACCAGAACGACGTCATTCAGGCGCGGAAAGCTTATGACCTGCAGAGCGATGTGAGTATCCTCGGTGCTGGCTCTGCATGTTAAAAGCAGACCTGACATCTGTCCGTGGGTTTTGACTAGTGCCAGTGGATTGGAATTTGTGTGTATATTTCCAACACTGTATAACTGAATATCTAAATGGAGTTTCCCATTGGAAAACTACAATTTGTTTTATGATTTGTTTTGTTCTCCAAAAGAAAATAAAGTAAATATTATCAATTCTATACAGGTATAAGTCTTGCTAGTGATTCAGGCTTCCTGCATCTGAATCAGATGAAACTTAACCCTCAAAAATATATCACTACAAACTTGTGGCTAAAGAGATGGAAATGCATGTGTGTGGCAGAGGGTAGTATGCAAAAAGTGGGAAGAAAAGTATATTATACTAAATTATTTAAACAAACATTTACATTTTATATTCACTGACAGAAAAAGTTTAAGGCTTTCCTGTGTTTTTTAAAAATAATCATCTGGCCAGGCATGGTTGCTCATGGCTGTAATCCTAGCACTCAGGAGGCTGAGGTGAGAGGATTGCTTGAGGTTAGGAGTTCGAGACCAGTCTGAGCAAGAGTGAGACCTTGTCTCTACAAAAATTAGAAAAAAAATGGGCATGGTGGAGCATGCCTGTAGTCCCAGCTACTCAGGAGGCTAAGGCAGGAGGATTGTTGGAGCCCAGAAATTTGAGGTTGCAGTGAGCTATTATGATGCCACTGCACTTTAGCCTGGGAGACAGAGCAAGACCCTGTCTCAAAAAAAAAAAAAAAATCCAATCATCTGATACTAACAGCGTATCCTATTGAGGGTAAAATAAAATGATTAGGAAATATCTAATATATTATCTCCACAACACCACGTTTCCTTTACATACTTGATACTTTGTGATTTGTGAAGACAGAAACAATAGTAAGAGTTTTTGTGACTGTGATAGTCACACATCATTGGTCTGAGTGTGTGGTTTTATTTGGAGCTAGTAGAGCACATTTCCCAAAGCTAAAGAAGCACTGCTCCTTAATCTTGTAATATTCTATTTTTTTTTACTCGAAGCATTTAGCTGGATTAATCTTGTAATATTCTTAAGGGCAAGACTATGTCTTTTACTTTAAAAATAAAAAAAATATTTCATTATTCTTGGTTCACACTCCTCTGTTCCAAAAAAATGCTCAGGAAAAACAATATACCCAGGGTTCAATAATATTTGTGAGTGAGTGATTAACTACGCTGGGAGCTTCATCTATTCATCAATACTTTTGTATTTCTCTAGTATGACCCATTTGGTGGCTATGAATCTGAAATACTAATTAATAAATGTGTTTTTTTTCTGTTGATCTGCAGAATTTGTACAAGTCAGACCTTGAATGGATGAGAGGCATTGGCTGGGTTCCAATTGGTTCCGTGGAAGTTGTTAGAGCCAAGAGAGCTGCAGAGATACTGAGTGACAATATCTACCGTCAGCGGCCAGACACAATGAAATTTACCTGTATAACTGACACTCCGGAGCAGGTGCTGGCGAAAAGTAATGCTATAAACATGAATAAGGTGAGTCTTCCATCCTCACTGGGGTAGATGTCAGAAGTTACCATAGAAAGAGGTAAAAATTCTGACATGATTACACTTAAAGGTTGCTATAAGATTCATGGTATCTTTTAAAATGATTTTTCCAGTATAATACCATAGTTACTTAGTGGTACTTCAAAATATTAAACTGATGTTAAAAATACTATGTGCCATAATTATTTCATAGACATTATTTTAAATACTGCAATCCAATTATACTTTCTATAACTGTTAAATTCTTTAACAGTTTAAAGAACTAAATTCTTTAAAGAATTTTAATAAGAAACAAAGGTAGGAATATATGCAGCTTTCATAACTTTATTTCTACTTTGTATGCAAAAGAGCTGAACTGGCACATAATCCAAAGAAAAATGTATGTGAACACCAAAATAATTTTTCTCTCTCTTTTTTTTTAAAGCGCTTATATACTGAAGCCTGGGACAATGACAAGAAAACAATTCATGTCATGCCTGATACACCGGAAATCATGTTAGCCAAACTCAACCGAATACAATACAGCGATGTAAGTAAACCGTTGCCCTTGTAATGAACAGAAAGGCAAAATGAACTGTATTAACTGTATAGTGCAATATTTTTTGACCGATTTATGTACATATTCAAAACTAACACAGTCAGTAAAAGAGATGGTTCTCATTTGATTCAATTTGGGGGTATTGTGGTAGGTCCACAAAGTAGGCCAGCCTTTCATTATTAACAGGCTGTCAGGTAATGGGAAGTTTACAAATAAATATCCCAATAGGAAGTATATGTTTAAAGCCTTCCCCAACAGATCAGTGTGGACATCAAGCCATTATTTTATTCAACAACTATTTAGTAAGCAGGTGCTGGATTGGAACCCAGTGAGTTATTAAGCCCTGCATTGTTTTACTGCTTCAGTGTGCTCTAGTTGTCATTTCATGTTACTTGCAAGCATTTTTCTCATCATCTTAGTCAGGACCAAAATTTTCATAAGGGCAGTGATTCCGAAATCCAGGTCCACAGATTGATCATGGTCTGAGATGACAGCCCGCAGCAAAATGAGAAAAAATGAGCACAATACATTGAGTTTTTAATATTATAAAATCAAATATATTCAATTTTAAGTACTGTCCTTATTCTTTCTCCTTCTTTAGTATTAAGATGGCCTATGTGTGTATATATATATATATATATACACACACACACAAACACACACACATATTTATTATAACAGCAATATTAAATAGTTGTTTTTACATGTGCTTGTTTGGCAAAATAAAATTTTGGCAGCCAAATGTTGATCTCCCTCCAGCTTTTTTTTTTGAAATTTACAAGTAATAAAATCCCAAAGTTAAGAACATGTGCCTTTAAAATCCTTGAACATCTATGAAGCAAAGCCATCTATAAACCCACCTGAATACTTGACTTTGTGGATTGTTTTCGTAGTTTAAATGAGGACAGAGAAAATGTGATAATAAACAGCTTCATTTTTCATGAATGGAGTGATGAATAATGACTTTCTTTTCTACAGAAACTCTATAAACTTGCTTTGGAAGAGTCCAGGAAGGAAGGCTATGACTTGCGCTTGGATGCCATTCCAATCCAAGCAGCCAAGGCTTCGAGAGAAATTGCAAGTGATGTAAGTTGATGTTTTTGGAAAAGGCATTTCTTTCTCAAAGATGTTGACAAATAGCAGCTTTTAGAATTTTTCCTGGCAAAAATGTAGTTGCCTCAATTCCCATATGCAAAGTTGCAAATGGACCAAAAAAGAAAAGAAAAACCCCCACAAAACCACAAAATTCTCTGTCCATTATATTTGTTAATCAAAGACAGAGGCATATTATTTTTTAAGTGTTTTATGGACACTAAAAATGGGTTTATATCTTTAAGCCTCAGAAATTGAGCATCAGTTGATCTAGGATGTTTGTGAAATTAAAGAGATTAATAGCAAATGAAATCAGCCAATAAAAATGTGAACTCTTTCCTTCTACTTCTATCCATTTACTCTGGCATTAAAAGAGACTAGATGATAGATATGTTTTTGAGTTTTGTTTCATCCTTTGTATAGTAACTATCAGTGAGGCTTTCACTGCCAAGATGCCCCTAACTGGATGCAAGAACAGCCTTCACAGTTGGCAAAGCTTTTCTTAGCACCTACTTGCTCTTCTCTCTCTTCTTTTTCTTCACATGAGAAACACCTTCTGAAGATGTCCCATGTCCTCATTCTGTACCAAGCCTGTTTAGCACCCAAATCCACACTTTCCTTCTTCTGGAAGGGCCCTGTGCCTTGGACTTATGCTTCATTCCTTCTATTATCAAAACTTTTTCTTGCTATTGTAGAAGTCCACACCATGATATTCTCATGGTAAAACAGACCATAATGTATTATTCTTGAATTTTAGAAGTAGATAGCTTCACCCACAGTGAAAGCTCAGTGACATTGACAGGCTAACAAGGAAGTCATTTCCTGGTGACACATAAATGCTGTCTCAATGTAACATATCCTTGACGAGGGAATTTATTATAAATTCTAATAATAAAGGAATATTCTTAAAAATTCTTAATATCAAACCCTTTTAGAGAAAGTAATCATGTCTTTAAGTAGAGGCTCTACTACAATGTACAAAACATTTTACCTTTACCTGTTAAGGAATTAAATATAAATTAAGTAGTATAGGACAGAGAGAGGAAAAGCATTCAGAATGAGAAACATTCCATTCGAGGCTCAGCCCTGCCACCTACTTGTGATGTGACCTCAGACAGATCCCTTAACCCCCTCTAGAGTTCAGGTTCCTATTCACCTTTCTCCCTCATGATAGTGATGGGGAAAATAAAAAGAAGTCATGTGTGTGAATCTATGAACTGTGATATATATATAAGACATTCTCATCATTAGACTCTTTCTCTTTTTTCAGTACAAGTACAAGGAAGGCTACCGCAAACAGCTTGGCCACCACATTGGGGCTCGGAACATTGAGGACGATCCTAAGATGTTGTGGTCCATCCATGCGGCCAAGATCCAGAGTGACAGGGAGTATAAGAAAAACTTTGAGAAGTGGAAGACCAAGTTCAGCAGTCCAGTGGACATGCTGGCGGTGGTGCAGGCCAAGAAGTGTCAGATCCTCGTAAGCGACGTAGACTACAAGCATCCCCTGCACGAGTGGACCTGCCTGCCTGATCAGAACGACGTCATTCAGGCTCGCAAGGCCTATGACCTGCAGAGTGATGTGAGTTGGTCTGATATCCTTCAGCCATGCATGTAAAAGGGTTTTTTTTATGCCATGGAATTTGGTGCAACCTACAGTCTGGTGCAACCTACAGACACCGTCTTAGGATAATGTTATGAAATGCATAAAATAAAACATATATTTAGTTTCCAAAGAAAGCAATCATATTGCAGTATTATTATGAAAATATTAAAAAATCTGTAATGTAGTAATAGCTATGCTTTTTATTAATGCATTAAACAAAAAGTTCTAGCAATGAGAGTAATAACTATTTTCAAAGAAGTGATGAGCATTAGTTTAAGATGTCTGCAACAACTGTTATAGGTTATAAAAATATTTGTGATTTCTATTGCTCACAAAGTCACATGTAGTGTCAATACTACTATAATTCATTGCCTATACTTACAATGGAATGAAATGCTATATTTCAGTTAGAGGTTAATGAAAATAAGGATATTATTAAATATATTTTTCTATCCCAGTTCATTGATGCCAGGTCAAGAATTCCTGGTTTAAAGCAAACTAATTTTCCAAATGAGTCAATTGCATTATGATTTTTGTGTCTGCTTAACTCATAGGAAGCATCTATTGTAACTTGTGAATGGAAGTTTAAGAACGAATTATACATATTGAGATAATTTTTCTAAGCAACTAAACACAATAGCTCCCTAGAAATGTTAGGCACTTTTGTTTTGGCCAGTGGATTGTCCTTTGGGAACTCAAATACTACCTCATGGCTATAGCAGCTTCTTTTGATCAAGCTCTAGCTAAAAGGTAACTTTTGGAAGAATGATAAAAGTAGTGGCAATGTGAAAAAAAGAGTTTCCCAAAGCCATAAAAATAAAAAGAATTATTACCCTTCCTTATGAGAAAAATTCTTCTTCAACCAATTATTTAAATTCAAAGAAGAAAAATGAAAGAAGAAAAAAATGTATCTTTTTACTTGAATTCTAAGACAAGTAAGAGGACTGAGGATAAGATAAATAAGAGTAAAAAGATAAATACTCTTTGACTTAGAAACATGTACATAGAATTATACAAAAAACAATGCCATTTTTGTTGTCCCCAGAAAACACATTAATGCAACATGTGGTCAACCAGTAATGTTCTTCCCTTCTTAATATCACACGACTGTCATTATAGGCCACTACACTGGTGATCAAATCAGAGAATAAATACTTTGTTTCAGGAAGCAGACAGTAATTTCTTTAAGGGAGTTTTGTATCACTGAAATTGGATATTACTAAAGAGATTTTATGGGTCTTTAAAACAGTAAGTATTGGCTGCCTTCAGGACAAGGCATTTAACTAGCTATTCTAAACCAAAGTAAAGCAATCCTGTGGGTCGTCCCAGAAATTGAGGTGAATAAGATCCAGAAGTATACGGTATCTGTATATGTTAAATCAAGATCAGGCACCAGGCTCTAGCTGATGTCTATAAATACTTGACATTATTTCATTTTCAGGCTATTTACAAGGCTGATCTTGAGTGGCTGAGAGGCATTGGATGGGTTCCCATTGGCTCCATAGAGGTCGAGAAGGTGAAGAGAGCTGGAGAAATCCTGAGCGACAGGAAGTACCGCCAGCCTGCAGACCAGCAAAAATTCACATGCATTACAGACACCCCGGAAATTGTCCTGGCGAAGAATAATGCCCTGACAATGAGCAAGGTGAGCCTCCAGCTTTTTCCTGTTGCCACAGTCATATGGTCTACAGAGTTGGCTCATAAAGTAGGAAATTTCCTGGGGGGGTCCCCTGAGAGTGGCGGTGTAATGGGCAACAGAGCTTCTACCTAAGTTCTAGTTGGCTTTGTGTGCTCTTCTCAACACCATGCCCCCTAATTCTCTGTGTGCACGTGGAAGCATAGCCTGGGACGATTTCCCTGGAGTAATGCATACACCCTTCCTAGCAGTGACCTGCAGACATCACAAATGCTTTACCTTTCCCTGCACACTCTCCTAGGCAGAGCAGACTCAGGCCATTGGTGTGTCTTTGTCCATCTGGTAAGGAATATAAGCCATTCACATTTCATTCTAAAGGCTAGGAAGCACATCCTGTTGCATGGCAGGGCCAGTACACACTCAAATTGGTTGCTCGGTTTGCCCTTCTGCCTTAGGTTGTGGAAGTCCAATTTTGAAAGCAAGCTACCATTGATGCTTTCAGTTTTATTACACAAGATAGATGATCATTTCTTTCCTCTGGAGTTCTGTCAATCTGTTTAATCTTTATCCAGTGGGTAGGCCCTTACTATGCATACTTTAGATTGACTTGAACTTACCTGAATTCTTCCACGTCTGTCTAGATGTCTTCTAATCATTTGGGTGGGAGGAGTTAGTGTTCAGTGCAGAATATGAAATTGGGTCTCAGAAAGCAAATTCCAGCGTTTGGGGTATAAAGTTCCAGAAAGTTCTTTTACGCCACATCTATCATCAGTAACCACAATGATAATAACAATAAGAAATGCCGTAAAAATTGTTGAGTATCTACTTTGGCTCAGGCATTTTACATACGTTATGGTTAATCTTCCAAAAATACTCAATGAAAAAAATGTGATTAACACCCCCTCCCCCTTAGAAATGAGGAATGTAAGGAGTTATATACCTTTCTCAAGATAAGACAGCTTGGAAATAATATAGTTGGGTTTGAACTTGAGATTGACTCTGAAGTCTGGGAATTGTTACTGTATCATAGTTCTACAATCAAGCTCCAATTTGGGGGTCCTGTGAGTAAGCTTGTGATCCACTGGATGACAAGAGTTAATAATTGAGACCAATTACTGCTTCATGTTTGTTATGAAACCATTGTACAGCTGTTTAAATATTGCTATGTTACACTCTCCCCACTACACTTTTGCTTTCCTTACCTCCAAGTCGCCTTAAAAGGAGCTGTTTTATGGTTAAATGTGAGTTAAATTTGATCATAATCACAACATTATTGGTTTTAACGAAAGGTCTTCCACCCCCTCCCATCATAGCATTTATACACGGAAGCTTGGGATTCTGACAAAACCTCCATCCACGTGATGCCGGATACCCCAGAAATCTTGCTGGCCAAGAGCAATTCTGCCAACATCAGCCAGGTGAGAGATTTCCTGATTGTCGTTTTAACATTTCTAGGAGTAATTAAAATGCTTTTCCCCCTTAACAACTTCTGTTCTGGAATTTGCCTGTTAACCTCCTAAAAACACACTTTTTTTATTTTCTGTTGTATATTATCGTCTGCATAGAAACTTTACACCAAGGGATGGGATGAATCAAAGATGAAGGACTATGATCTGAGAGCAGATGCTATTTCCATCAAAAGTGCCAAGGCCTCCAGGGACATCGCCAGTGATGTGAGTACCTTGCTTCTAATTGCCCTTGGTCTCCACAATGCTGAATGACCCGTATTGTGGTTGGTGGACCACACTTTGCAATTGCTTCCACGTGTATTCCCTGGTCCCACTTCCTACCTTCCAAGACCTTTCCCTTTGGTGTTACAGGGAAGAAAAATTCATTTTGGAGTTGTAGTTAGAATTGCTGCCGTGAAAATTTCCACCCATGAAAAGATATGATTATACTACAGTTATTTTTGTGATGGTGTAAAATGTAGTTTTAAATAATAGTTCAGAGATGCCAAAATGTTCGTCATATGGAATTCTTGTCCATTTCATACTATCTGTAATTGTCAGCATGAGTATGGTTCTAAAACTGGATTTCTAAACCTGTATTTCTGTCATTTTAGTACAAATACAAGGAAGCATATGAGAAACAGAAAGGCCACCACATTGGAGCCCAGAGCATTGAAGATGATCCCAAGATTATGTGTGCTATACATGCAGGGAAGATCCACAGTGAAAGGGAGTACAAAAAGGAATTCCAGAAGTGGAAGACCAAGTTCTCTAGCCCAGTGGACATGTTAGGCATCTTGCTGGCCAAGAAATGTCAGACTCTGGTCAGTGACATTGATTATCGCAATTACCTGCATCACTGGACATGCTTACCTGATCAAAACGACATTATCCAAGCAAAGAAGGCCTATGAACTGCAGAGTGATGTATGTAACGTGAACTTTGGGAAAGGGGGAATGGGAGGCTGTAGATTTGTTAATTGTCTGGTCAGTGTCTGTGTGGACAGACCGTAGATTATGCCGTGCACACACCTGGGGCGAAGGGTGTGGAGCACCATTCACGTTGTTTAATACAAAACCCTTCTTTAAGAGTTATATTAGACCTGACGAGATGGCTCATGCCTGTAATCCTAGCACTCTGGGAGGCTGAGGTGGGCGAATAGCTCAAGGTCAGGAGTTCGAAACCAGCCTGAGCAAGAGCAAGACCCCGTCTCTACTATAAATAGAAAGAAATTAATTGGCCAACTAATATATATAGAAAAAATTAGCCGGGCATGGTGGCGCATGCCTGTAGCCCCAGCTACTCGGGAGGCTGAGGCAGGAGGATTGCTTGAGCCCAGGAGTTTGAGGTTGCTGTGAGCTAGGCTGATGCCACGGCACTCACTCTAGCCTGGGCAACAAAGTGAGAGTCTGTCTCAAAAAAAAAAAAGAGTTATGTCTTAGGAAGCAAAAAAATAGACAGGAAGAGCCCCACATTGAGGTTATGTCCTTTATTCCCTGACCTAGATTCCAAACTGTTTTCTTCATGTCATTTGTAATGTCTGGCAATGAAAATATATTTCAGACAAACATAAATCATCTGAATATTCTTAAAATAGTTGCCGCTATTGTGCTAGATCCAAACACTAAACAGTGTAGCCTTGGGTCAGTTATTACAAGATTAAAATAGAATGAGATTCAACAAAATTTCCCTTTTAAAATTTTATAATTATATCATTTTTTTAAATATCCATTCATTATATCATGGAATTCAGCATTGTTGCTCTTTATTATAATTCATGGCTAGTATAAATAATTATGTTTTTACAGATTACTTCTGTCATCAATATTAAAAGCCCTGAATCATGTCAGGATCTCAGGTCTTACTTTTTTGGAAGAGCCATCTCCTATGCTTGTCAGCCCCTCCACCCCGTATATTTTATTTTTCAACTGAGAGGGGGTGTGTCTAACATTTGGAACGCCATTTTTGTCTGACGTCTTTGTAGAGCGTGTACAAAGCAGACCTGGAGTGGCTGCGTGGCATTGGCTGGATGCCGGAAGGCTCCGTGGAAATGAACAGAGTGAAGGTTGCGCAAGACCTCGTGAATGAAAGGCTCTATAGAACGCGACCCGAAGCTTTGTCGTTCACTAGCATCGTTGACACTCCAGAAGTTGTCCTGGCAAAAGCTAATTCTCTGCAAATAAGTGAGGTAAGAACTCTCTGACTACCAAGGTTTCTTTGTGCTGGCTTCTGTTTTCAGATGATGCCACCCAAACTGAGCCAGTAGACTGTTCCTTTTCGAAGAATTTTGGTAATTGGAGCAGCACCAACCATCTCTTGAGTAGTTTGGTGAGGGCACACACAAAGTAGAACTCTGACAAGTGCCAACATGCCTTTCCCCTACCACACATACATCCTTTGAAGCACTATAGTGAAAAATGTCACCCCATGGCAATTTAGGATAACAGGATAACAAATATTTACTTAACTCCTATTAAGTACTAAGACAGGTAGCATAATGTTACATAATAAATAGTATAACATTGTATTAGTCTGTGTTTTCTAGAGAAACAGAACCAATTGGATGTGTGTATATGTATTTATGTGTGGGTGTATATATAGAGAAAGAGAGTGAGAAGAGAGAGTTTAAGGAACTGGCTCATGAGACTGTAAGCTGGCAAGTCCAGAGTCTGTGGGGTAAGCCAAAAGCCTGGAGACTCATGGAAGAGTTGCACTTTAAGCCCAAGGACAGTCTGCAGGCAGAATTCCTCCCTGCTCAGGGGGCCTTCGACTGATTGGATGAGGCCCACCCCCATTAAGGAAGATCATCTGCTTTATTCAAAGTCTACTGACATATATATTAATCTCATCTGAAAAATGACCTCACAGAAACACCTATAATACTGTTTGACCAAATATCTGGGTGCTGTGGCCTAGCCAAGTTGACACATAAAATGGACCATTACAAACATACAGAAAAACATTTTTCCAGATTGCACAGTCGCTAAAACTTAATATTTCAGATAGCCATTTTCCTTCTATTTTCCTTCTTTCCACAGAAACTGTATCAAGATGCCTGGAATAAAGATAAAGTCAACATCACCATTCCTTCGGATACCCCGACCATGCTGCAGGCCCAGATCAATGCCATGCAAATCAGCAATGTAAGAGGCTTAAGTATGGGGCAATAGCTGTCAGCGTGGGGAGGGTGTTATAATGGACAAATTCCCTACCTTAGGACATTTGCGGCTTCTGGTGCTAGGCATTTGCTCTTCAGCCACCATTCCCAGTGCAGCAGGAATGGAAATTCTGCCTTTCAAACATCCACTTGGACATGCAGCTGGGTTGCTGGATTGCAGGTGTTGGGATACTGAATCCCGTTGGTGTCCTCCTTCACTCCCAACAGTCTCTGTTGGCTTCTTAGGTCTTCTGATTGATCCAGGACTTTCTTGTTTGACATTTCAGGGCTATAAGAAAGCCAGAAGACAACTTTTAATTATATCCAAACAGCAGGATATCTATGTGACATCGCTTTAGCAGAAACATCTGAAAAGTCAAAGGCTGGAATTAGGAAAAAAATCTTTTCAGGTCTTCTCTAGAATGCTGATGAAGGTTTTCTGGCTTCTGCATTGATTTCTTAGTTTCCATATACTGTGTAGTGGGATATTTTCAAATGCATACCATAGGGTAGTGAATGTAAATATTCAAACATTAATAGAGTTAGATGTTTAGCTTTAAATTGTTTTTTTATGTCTCCCTTCTTTTTTTTTGTGTTTTTTTTTCGGCATTTTATGTGGGTACAGATTTTAAGGTTTCAATAAATGCCCATTTCCCCCCCTCCCCCCACAAGTCTGAGTCTCCATCATGACCATCCCCCAGATGGTGCACATCTCACTCATTATGTATGTATATACCCACCCTCCTCCCCCCTCCCACCTGCCCAATACCCTATTACTGTAGTACCTATGTGTCCACTTAGGTGCTACTCAGTTAATACCAATTAGCTTTAAATTTTTAATCAGAAGTATCCTGTACTCCACAAAGTATATAGTAAACAACCAAAGTAAATAGCCAACAACCAAAAGAACTCAGGAATGCATGCTTTTTTCTTGTTGTCTACATTTCATTATGCCTTATGATTTACATATATGATGACTTTGAATATAATCATTTGTTTTCCATTCTTGTAAACAAATTTTGTGCTTTCCCTCAATAGAAACTCTACCAAAAAGACTGGAATGAGGCCAAACAGAAAGGCTATGACATAAGAGCAGATGCCATTGAAATCAAGCAAGCCAAAGCCTCCAGAGACATTGCCAGTGAGGTACGCTTCCTTCTATTTTCTTGTAGTTTTTCTCCACTCTAGACCAAATAGAGAGACTATTTTTCAAGAATTTTGAGTTTTTGAAATTCATGCAAACAATTGCATTTCATCTTGTGCTAAAGGCTTTCTCTATGTAAAAATATTGAAATGGGATGGAAAACATTAAGCATAGCATAGGTCAGGTATATGTATAAATAACTTTGATGGTGTTTCTAAGTAGAAACAAAATATCACAAAGAGTCTATATGAAATTCTTGGGGAAAAATCAGGAACCAATACAATGTCATTTTATCGGTCAAATATTTCTGACATTCTCCATAAATATAAATCACAGATGATAGTTTCATAGAAGACTTAAGACTGAAATCATGGTTTATATCCAAAATTTTATAATGGAGGCTTATATAGAATACTCTTAGTAACCTTTGAGTTTACTTAACTCTGATTTTGAAACTTAGTAACAGTCAAAATAATTATCCTGCCAAGCCCACCCCAACCCCAGCTCCAAATCTTTTTTTTTTTTTTTTTAGTACAACTCCATCTCATGCCTCCAAAAAGCTCCAAATATTTAAGCCACTTTGTTCTCGTTCTCTGGGTCTTCTCTGTTTTTATCTCATGTATCCACTGTTTTCTCCTTCTTCTTCCTTATTTTTACCTTTAATAACCACAGCTAGTCCACAGTATATGCCTTATTCCCTGTTTTCTCTCTCCTCCTTTTGTCCAAACTTGCCTATGTTGTCCAGACATAGGAAAGAAAAAGAAAGCATCTTACTCTGTTCCCAAGACATTCATCAGGTGGAAACTCTTGTCCACAGACTTTTTTATTGTCATCTTCTGATTCAAGCCAACAAGCTTGCTTTCTGTGTCTGAAACATGCACCTTTCTTGTCTGTCTCCAAAACCACACATATGACCTCTCTCATACCTGAGGTACCTCCAGGACTCCTGGAAGAATATTTGACCTAATGCTGTACCTGCCAGGGGACGTTGGTGGTGGCATTTACCCTCACTGTGCCCAATTTTCCTCATCTGAAAGATACAATAATAATAGTATCTACCTCATAAAGAATTGTGAGGATCAACTCAGTAATAATTGCTGCTATTCAATGATTTTTGACTGCAAAACTCAGTGGTTTCATAAGGATCAACCTAACACACTTAAAGCATTCAGTGTCTGGCATATAGCAATCACTCCATAAATATTAGCTATAATTTTATTACTCTTGTTCACCATACTATTTCCCTCCTGATTCACTCATGTCCTCTATGAAGCTACCTAAAATAGTCCTATTTAATTTCTTTAAAGTGAACTGAAATGTATGACTGCCAATGTTGAGTCAATTTACATTTAGACAAAGAAAATATTCTGACATCATTTAAAGAAAAATCCTCTCAATGCATTATCCTCATATGTCTTTTTAAATCTGATTTTTCACAACTTCAGTACAAATACAAAGAAGGTTACCGCAAACAACTGGGCCACCACGTGGGTTTCCGCAGCCTACAAGATGACCCCAAGTTGGTATGGTCAATACATGCTGCCAAGATCCAGAGTGACAGGGAATACAAGAAAGCTTATGAGAAGTCTAAAGGAATTTACAACACGCCATTGGACATGATGTCAATTGTTCAAGCCAAGAAATGCCAGGTCCTGGTTAGCGACGTTGATTATCGCAATTACCTGCACCAGTGGATATGCCTGCCAGATCAGAACGATGTGATCCAGGCCAAGAAAGCCTATGACCTGCAGAGCGATGTGCGTATACTGTCACTAGACTCCGGGGAAATGTGTGTTTGTGTGTTTAATCACAGTGCATTCCCCAGAGACATAATTTAAATGGTGATATTAACAGAACCTAACATATTCTGTACAATTCATGGTCGTAGAGTTTTTCCTAAACATTGTCTATGTTATACAAGATTCCTTCTTATAGTAGTAGTAGCAAGACCTTATTTGCCAAGATGAAAATCAGTCTCTTATTCTATGTAACCAGGTAGAAAATTTCAGTTGCAGCTGTTCTGATCCATTACCTTTGCAGGATCAGGTGTCTAAATTTCAGAAATAGATGTAAGCATAAGGAAATGTTGGATTTCACATTTACCTGACATGGGGGTGGGGGGTGGATATAGATATAGAAATGCATTTTTTCCTCAATTATGAATATATCTAAAGCTCTTTTCCTCCTAAAATCCTAAACCCTAAATTCTAAAATCCTAAATCCTAAAATAAAAAAGATGTTACTGTCAGTGGCACATATAAATGGCAGACTTTAAGGGGTGAGCGTAGAAACTCAACGTAGTATAAAAACAAAATTATGTGCCATTGTCATCTGTCATTCCACCAAGTGCCACTTGTGAGCTTTGTTCCAATTCCTGCAGGATGCTGTGAGCTTCTGCCAGAGATCAGTGCCAGAGACATAACACCCAAGTATTAGCATTTAATGTTGGTCCTTGAGTGTCATGACATTGGCCCCTCGCTAATTTAAATAGAGATGGCATGTGTTTGCAAGCACACGCTCTTGGGAACTGATTTGACTCTTCTGCCCTTGTGTTCCTCTGCTTCATGTAGAACCTGTACAAAGCAGACCTGGAATGGATAAAGGGTATCGGATGGTTGCCAGAGGGTTCTGTGGAAGTGATGAGAGTGAAGAATGCCCAGAATCTCATGAATGAAAGGTTGTATCGGACAAGGCCGGAGGCACTCAAATTCACCAGCATCGTGGACACTCCAGAAGTAATCCGGGCAAAGATCAACGCTGTACAGATCAGTGAGGTAAGCTGGGTTGGTGATGGTTTCAGACAAATTGAAGAAATCTAAAGACTTCTAACTGTGAACTTTCAACTGCTAATGTCAGTATCAGGATGTTGAACACACATATACCCAGAGAGATCTTCATATAGTCAGTCAATCAGTAGTCTCTATATTTTATTTGCTTTGATAAGTCTTTGGTCAGTACACACGTGGTGGGCACCTTCATGTTCTACAAACCCTGATAACGTACTTTGATCACATTTCAAAATCTGGCTTGTAATACAGGCCCACCACTGAATATTATAATCACAAAATTGCAACCTTTTAATACCAGTCAATCATAAAATAGGTTGAGAAGTCCAGGGGCAACCCCAATATTAGACATTATGACAGTTCTCTGGGCCAGGAAAAACAGGTTCTGATTAGCAATGGCGATTTATCACAGTTATCTGCAATTTGGACTGACTTCCCAGATAATTAGATGTGAATAAATGGAAAAGAGCAATTTCACTACCATATTTCTGACTCATTGAAGATGTATACTGTATCACACATGAATATATTCTTGTTGAAGTCACTATTGGCACCTTTTAAAGAAAAATGCAAATGAAGACAATATGTGATCTTTACACTTCCATCAGAGAATCCCCAAAGAGAACTTTTCATTTTACTTTATTTATTTATTTAACTTTACTTAAAATTTTTAATTTTACTTATAATTTTAGTCGTTTTAATTTACTATAAAATTTACTGATGATTTTATTCATTATAAATGTATTCAAGGGTTTTTAATGAGTTCATAATTTTGCTCAGGTGGTAATTGATTTATTTACGAATCAACCACCCCATGGTTTTTCATTTTTACCAGCCGTTGTATCGGGATGCCTGGGAGAGAGAGAAGGCAAATGTGAACATCCCAGCCGACACACCGTTGATGCTGCAGTCCAAGATCAACGCCGTACAGATCAGCAATGTGAGACCCTACACGTGCATTGGTTTGTCAAAGTGCTCTCTGCATAACCAGCCCTCTTACTGACACACTCCAAAGAGAGTTTGGCAAAAGGCATTTCTTACCATTCCTTTTATACCTAGTCTTTAAGCTAATGATAAGTAGCTGTGTGGGTCTGTGTGTGTGTTTATAATACAGAGACATGTGTCTCTATCTTTGTTGGAAGGAAAAATTAGATGATTCCTCCAAAAAAATGACCTAAAACGTATAGATATATGTATAAATAATATTGATGTCTACTTTTTAGTGGGCCACCATTACTTTTTCCTATGAGAAGCCAAACAATACATAATTTTCCCTGATTTTGACATGATTTACTGTCTCCTAAATGTCCTTCTTCAAAAAAAAAAAAATTGGGGGCAGAGAGCTTTACTAAATGTTATTAAAAATCTCCTGGAACTCAAGTTCATTATGAAACCAGCTTATTTTATAAATCTTAAGGAGAGACTAATGTTAGTGTGACTGCTAATATCTACTTTTGAACACAACAGTAATGCTAAGTAGCTCCCTCTTCAGAATGACTGTGGCATTGCACTCTCCACTTGCAGAAACACTACCAGCAAGCTTGGGAAGACGTCAAGATGACCGGTTATGACCTGCGAGCAGATGCCATTGGAATCCAGCATGCCAAGGCTTCCAGGGACATTGCCAGTGACGTAAGAGCTCCTCCTTGCCCAGCCTTCACAAACACTAACTAGTAGACACACAGGGAGGATAACTTAATTCTGCAGGAATTATATTTAAATAGAATGCAGGTCATTGTGAGTATGTTTTACAATCCCAAGTTCAAGTACAACTCTTACAACAATTTGAGGATCCTCTAGCATCTGTACTTGGTTTGTAATTCTTATATTCAAGCACAGATTTTGAATTTCTCTTCAAAATCTTCCCAGCATCAGTTAATTTACAAGCACTTATACAGATTTAATTCTTTGAGTACAGAGAATTCTGTTGTGACTCAAAGTGTGGCATGCATACTACTGGTGGTTCCTGTGATAATTTTATGCAGTACATGGACACACATTTTTAAAATAGTTATATGGTTGTCTTACTGCGTGCTAGAAAACATTTTTCTCCATTTAGATAGGGTTGTACGTTTTTAAATAAAACTTTAAAATAAGTTTACAATTTAGAACTAAATTTATTTAAACAAAGAATTAATTTGATTTAAAGTATTATGAAGTACAGGTCATACTTGTTTGTAGAAAAACATCTGAAGTTCAGGAATACTGGACAAGGTTATATTGGGAGATAATTCAGAAGTGTGGTTCTTGCCTGAGAGGGGCTCACAATATTTTCATGCACATGGACACGGAGGACAACCCAATATAGCAAAAGTTGTAGTATAAATTTAAAGAAAAACAGTCTTCCCCACAAAAGGTAATCCAGGGGAGATGGAATTATTTTGGGTAGGCTCTCTGGAAAAAGTGAGTTTGGAAAGACTACTGTTCTTTTTTCTGTGCACATCTACCAGTACCTGTACAAAACTACGTATGAGAAACAGAAAGGACATTACATTGGATGTCGTACTGCCAAGGAAGACCCCAAACTGGTTTGGGCTGCAAATGTGTTGAAGATGCAGAATGACAGGCTGTACAAAAAGGCCTACAATGATAACAAGGCCAAGATCACCATCCCAGTGGACATGGTGTCCATCAACGCTGCCAAAGAAGGCCAGGCCATAGCAAGCAATGTGGACTATCGCCAGTACCTGCACCAGTGGTCTTGCTTCCCCGACCAGAATGACATAATCCAAGCCCGGAAAGCCTATGACCTGCAGAGCAACGTAAGTGTGTCCCCCAGGAAGCAAGTCCTCCATAGTTTTGCCTGATGACACCTTCCAATGCTCCGGGAAACACAACTCCCCATACATAGGCACTTCACTTTTCGTATTTTATCAAATTTATTAATTGCTTACCTTATTACCAGGTTTATTCAGAAGGGTTTTAGTTTCATTAGTAAAGATGCTATCAGAATTTTGTATAGATTTGTTGATGTGTGCAGTGTTTATAGTTTCTTAAACATAAGAATGCCATGGTCCTCAGGCCAGGTGTAGTGGCTCACGCCTGTAATCCTAGCACTCTGGGAGGCCAGGGTGGGAGAATCACTTGAGGCCAGGAGTTCGAGAATGCCATGGTCCTTCAACCATGTATTAAAGTAGGGCAGCACTATCTTCCTTAAAATTAATTTCAAGCCCGGCACAGTGATGAGTGCTAATAGTTCCAGCTACTCAGGAGGTGAAGGCAGGATGATCACTAGAGCCCCGGAGTTTGAGGTTGTGGTGAGCTATAATCACACCACTGCACTCCAGCCTGGGTGACAGAGCAAGACCCTGTCTCAATAAAAAAGAAACCAATTTCAAGAGTTAAGAGCATGCTATAGACCAACAGTCCCTAACCTTTTTGGCACCAGGGACCAGTTTCACGAAAGACAATTTTCTACAGACCGAGGGTGGATAAGGAGGGTGATAAGGAGGGTGGATAAGGGAGGGGGTTGGTTTCAAGATGATTCAAGTACATTACAATTATTGTGCACATTATTTCTATTATTACATTGAGATACATAATGAAATAGTTATACAACTCACCATAATGCAGGATCTAATGCCGCTGCTGATCTGACAGGAGGCAGAGCTCAGGCGATGATGCGAGCGATGGGGAGCAGCTGTAAATACAGATGAAGCTTTGCTAGCTCGCCACCTGCTGCTCGCCTCGTGCTGTGCAGCCCAGTTCCTGATAGACCACGGGCGGTACTGGTCCACAGCCCGGAGGGCGGGGGCCACAGCTCTAAACCACATTTCCTTTAACTTGGTGTTCTTCACAATACGGTGTCTCATTAATTTACCTAAGGTAGTTTTAGATTTACTCACATTTTCTGCCCATTCAAGATTTTAGAAATGATGGATTCTAAAGGTTATTTTATTTCTTGTAGAGAATGGCTATCTTCTTAAAATTATGTGAACTTGCTTCCCTTAAGCTTCAAGAGATATTTGCTTATAATGAATGAGTTCGTACAGGAAAGAATGCTCATCACTTGAAATGAATTGCCAAATGGTAGATACAAGACAGTTCCTAGAGAAATATAATCTCTTCATTAATCTGAACCACATTAGTACACTGAGATATGCCTATAAATCAACTTCTTAAAGAATGAGGAAGGGAAACTTCGGAATCTTTAGGTAATTTTTATTGAGAATCCCTTCTTTAAACATTAAAACATAAAATGTCATTCTTCATTAAGGTAGAAATTTCCCAACATTTTTCACTCCTCTTACTACACTTTCAGTCTGACATTTGTATCCTATTAACTAGCTATTAAAATACCAGTTTTCTGAGCAACACAATGGCTTTTTATAAAAGGAATAACTGGTTATATTATTCAAGGTTCTCCAGAGAAACAGAACCAATAGAATATGTGCATAGATGTAAACATAGATCTATGAGAGGAGATTTATTAGGGGAATTGACTTATGCAATTATGGAAGCTGAGAAGTCCCATTTCAATCCATCTGCCGGCTGGGGACCCAGGGCCTGTAGTGTGGCTCAGTCCAAGTCCCAAGGTCTGAGAACCAGGGGGACAATGGTGTAATTCTCAGTCCAAGGCTTAAGACCTGAGAACCTGGTATAAGTCCCAGAAGTCTAATTTCTTCCAGGAACACCCTCACAGACATACCCCAGAAATAATGATTTACCAGCTACCTGGTATGCCCTGTCAAGTTGACACTTAAAATTAACCATCACAAGCCAGGTGCAGTGGTGCACACCTGTTGTCCCAGCTACTCAAGAGGCTAAGGTGGGAAGACCACTTGAATCCATCCTGGGCAACATAGCAAGATCCCATTTCTAAATATTAAAAATAAAAAAATCAAATTAACCAGTATACTGGTGTTTAAGATAGAGCAATTTTATCTGCTTATCTACGTATCTATATTTGGGGAAGCAGGTTTGGATAGCTAAGAACATGCAACTCCTGATTTAAAGAGAGGTACTGTCTTAGAAAACTCAATGGAGTCCAAAATTGTGGCACTAGTGATTGAATTCTTAATCATCTTTTTAAAAATACTGATTAAACACGCTATGTGCCAGGCATTGTGCTAAGCACTAATGATGCAATGGAGAATAAAGAAGAAGAAGAAAAAGCAAGACATAGCTCCTGACTTTAAGGAGTTCACATTGATAAGAAAGAAATAGATGTTAATGAAAGACTGTCATTAAAAACTGAGATGGCTGAGAAAGAGTGCTCTGTGTTGCTATGAAGAGAGGTCGGTAAAGCTCCTCTGAGAAAGGGCTGTTTTGTTGGGGTATGAAGGGAGAGTGGGAGTTGGCTCCACAAGGAGGACATGGAGGCATTCCTGCCGGAAGACCCACATATGCAAAGGGGGCAGGTGCAAACCCCAAACCAAAACAGATTTGCATCTTTGCCCTAAGACAAATGGGAAGCCATAGGATGGGGGAATGTTGTGACATCAGATTTGAATTAGGAACTTTGACAAGATCATTCTGGTTGTTTTGTAGAGAACTTACTGGAGAGCCCATTGTTGTTCCTTTAAAATCCACATTGGCTAGTATGGTGGCTGCCTAAATATTATTCAAGAATCAGGCGGGGCTTGGCAGCTCACACCTGTAATCCCAGCACTTTGGGAAGCCGAGGCAGGAGGATCTCTTGAGCCCAGGAGTTTAAGACCAGCCTGGGCAATATAGTGAGACCCCCATCTCTACAAAAAATTTAAAAATTAGCTGGGCGTGGTGCACATGCCTGTCGTCCCAGCCACTCAGGACACGGAGGCAGGAAGATCACCACTTGAGCCCAGGATTAGAGGCTGCAGTGAGCTATGATCACGCCACTACACTTCAGCCTGGATGACAGAGAGAGACTCTGTCTCTAAAAAAAAATAAATAAATAAAAATCTTCCATGTATAACCCCAAATGGAGAGCTGCTTCCACATCACCCTGCCTTTTAGAGTGGACTTGGGCACCCCGACTCAGAGGCCCTGCTGCAGAAAACAAAGCAAGACGACACACTGCTGTGTGTATGCAGAATTATGTGTGACGGGCCAGTGCTCCATTTTAGTTACTGTTTGTGGAAGATAAAGTATAACATAAAAACTACTTCCTTATTTTATCCTCACACACACAAAAAAACACCAAGAAAAACCAGATCCTGCTGCTATTTAAGTTTGTTTTGTTTGTCAGGCCATCTACAAGGCTGACTTGGAGTGGTTGCGTGGCATCGGCTGGATGCCTGAAGGCTCTCCGGAACTGTTGAGAGTCAAAAATGCCCAGCATATCCTAAGTGACAATGTCTATCGGACACCTGTGGTGAATCTCAAGTACTCAAGCATCGTTGACACACCTGAAGTGGTCCTTGCTAAATCCAATGCTGAAAATATTAGTATTGTAAGTCAGTTTTTTTTCCTATTAAAATTGAATTGGTGCTATAAATATAAGATAAATAATTATCTTGGTGATCTATTTCTAGGATAATAATAATTTGATAATTTTATTAAGTTATGTTGATGGCATTGTTTTGGTTTTGCTTATTAATTGTAAACAAAACCACAAAGTATCGATAAACGGTATTAATACAGACTTCATATCAAATGTGAGTAGCTTGCATGATGAGATTCCAGAAATCTTTGCCCTAGTATGAAAAGATTTTGGGTCAGATCCAAAAGAAAAGTTCAAAGTTCTGCATTGAAACTAGCAAAAGTACAAATTGCAAAGTAATTTTGTTTCTATTGTTTCTTTCCACAGCCAAAGTACAGAGAAGTCTGGGACAAGGATAAAACCTCAGTCCACATAATGCCGGATACTCCAGAAATCAATCTTGCTAGAGCAAACGCTCTTAATGTGAGCAACGTAAGTACCACAGCGGACTCCCTTTTGTTTGGAAAGTTACCCGTTGGTGCTATTACATGACTATGGAACTCTTCACAGCCAAGGGGGAGAAGATTGACTGGGGGGAGGGACAGGGAAGACCCCTTGCCATCAGCCCTTGACAGGAGTGGAGAAAGGAGATCCTTGGCTGAGTCACTGGGCAAGGCCAGTTATTGCAGAGCCAACGTCAACATGACAGAATCTCCCTCTTTGTCCTTTTTGAATAAGGACAAAAGAAGATGAAAAAGGAATGAAGAGGTACACAGACAAGAAAGGAGAATTAATGACAGATTCATATAAACTCAAAATAATTATGAGAATTATTTGCAAAAACATGTGAATTAATTTTAAAACCTGAATCAATGGAGGATTTTCTAGAATCCTATAAATTACCAAAATTGACCCCAGGAAAAAAATAGAAAACACATAGTTAGGAATTAAGAGGATCATTAAACACTTTCCTTCCTCCTTGCAAATGCCAGGGTCTCCCAGTGGTTTCACAGGAGAATACTTTCAAAACTTGAGGAAATAAACAAATTACCATGGAGCCTAATAAAATAAGGAAAACCATCACAATTACCCAAACTTGTCAAAAAAGAGTTTCACAAATTAAAAGCTGTAGATCAATAATAATGGGGAAATCTTGAGTAAAATATTAGCAAATCAAATTGAGCAGTACATTCAAATGATATGATACAAAAAAATTGGGGTTTATGTAGGAATGCCAAGAGGGGTCTATATTCAGAAACCTAATAATGTAATAGGACAAAAGAGAAAAGCTGTGTGCTCATTTTATGAAATTATAAAGGCATCTGACAAAATCCAATACCCATTCTTAGTTTTAAAAAATAAAATCTTAGTGAAAAAAGAACATGAATATTTTCTTGTCACAGCTAAAAAAATAAATTTCAAATCAAAGGCCAGCCCAGTAAGTAAGCTTCTTATTCAAGTCAGGAGGATTAAAAGAAGGACACCCACTAGCACCATCATTGCTTAACACTTGCTGGAAGTACTTGGTTATGTGAGTAAGCTTCTCATTGATACCAATGTAATTACATAAGAGTAAGAATAAGAAATAAATGTTGGAAAGAAAGAGGCAAAGTTATCATTATTTGCAGAAGAAATTATTTTAAGCCTGGAAAATGCAGGAGAATCAACTAAACGAGTCTACTAGTGAATACAAAAGAGTTCAGTTATGTGGCTGGCTACACAATAAGAGAAAGTTCAAGAAAGATATAAATAAATAAATGGAATTATTGAATTAAAGAAATTATTTAATTATAACTTTTTTTTTAAAAAAAGTCTGAACTTAGTGCTACCAATACACCAACACGAGAAAACAAAGCTAAACTCTTTTACGTTATGGGTGAGATTATAAAGCAGGAACAACTACAGGAAGGCTGTGATTCAAATGAAAATGAAAGGAGTCTTGTCAAGCCCGGACCTTTGGTCACCAGACGGCATTTCACGTTCCAGGACGAGGGTGCACAGGATGATCCTCACCCATTCTCTTTTCTTTACCTGCTCTCAAGTCCTGGGGCTTCAAAACTGTACCCCTGTGATATTAGTTCTACTTGAGCGCTGGGCACTGTTGGTAGATCTGAATGTGGAATGATACCTTCTTTTTCTCCTTTTCAGAAAATTTACCGCGAGGGTTGGGAAGACGTGAAGGCGAGCTGTGACGTCCGCCTGGACGCCATCCCCATCCAGGCTGCCAAGGCCTCCAGGGAGATCGCCAGCGACGTGAGTGGCCCTTTTTTTAACTTCTCGGTTTTTTTCAGCAAATGCCCAAGGTGCACAAAGGGGACGTGCTGTGACCCATCTGCTTTGTGTTTCCATGCCCAGTATAAATACAAGCTTGACCACGAGAAGCAGAAGGGACACTACGTGGGCACCCGCACAGCCAGGGATGACAACAAGATCCGGTGGGCCCTCATAGCTGGCAAGATCCAGAACGAACGCGAGTACCGGCTGCAGTGGGCCAAGTGGAAGTCCAAGATCCAGAGCCCTGCGGACATGCTTTCCATCCTGCATTCGAAATCAAGCCAGGGGCTGGTCAGCAACGTTGATTACCGCAATTACCTGCACCAGTGGACCTGCATGCCCGACCAGAACGATGTGATTCAGGCCAAGAAAGCCTACGAGCTGCAGAGTGACGTGAGTGGGCCGCCTTTTAGGATGAGCGCTTCTCTCCTTGTGCCATGAACCCCAGAATGTTCACGGCGTTAAACCCTGTATCATCATTTCACATCTCTATTCAGCCAAGAATTTGATATTAGTTAGATTATAGTATGGTATCAAAATCACCAAAGGCAAGAAGGATCTAAACTTTGTGTCAAGAAATAGACGGTATAGTGTGTAGTCTGGTCTTAATTGTATCAGGTTAAAGAAAACTATTGTGAAAATATTATTTCTATAGAATTTAGGTAGCTATAGAGGCTTATCTTGAGTAAAATACTGGCAGTCCATGGACAGGATGCAAGCACAGACATGCTTGTTTAATTGACACGGTGTTTAGAAATTTTTAATTAAGTCACCAAGATTTCTAAATAAGGGGATTTTTTGTGCACAAATCCAGGATTTCCCATTTCTCTGGAAAATTCAGAGGTGGCAGCTCTGGACATACATTACCCCTTGGCAGGCATAACCTGGAACTGAACTGAGACTAACCCCCTTTAACCAGAAAATATATCCTCCAGTTTGTCACCCTACGTGGCCTCCTAATTAATTTTCTTATGTTGCCTGCCTGGCTGCTTCAGTATGTCATCCTCGGTTTGTGTAGTGTATTTCTTCATCAGCCCAGTGGATAGGCTAAATAGGAGGACCATGCGACCCAGGTCACTAAATTCATTGTGGCCTTGTTTTCACAGGCTGTTTACAAGGCCGACTTGGAGTGGCTGCGTGGAATTGGGTGGATGCCAAATGATTCCGTTTCTGTCAATCACGCCAAACATGCTGCGGATATCTTCAGCGAGGTATTCCAAGATTTTACCCTGCCATTCAGTACATTTCCCAACAGTCTGAACAGAAATACAGGAGCCAAAATGCAGTCATTTCATCTTAGCAGTTTTAACCATTTAATTTCTGCAAAAACCAGACATATATTTTTCTACAATAATCCTATACTGTCCGTATTACATGCTGGGACCACATCTATAATATATTAATAATATCCAGCACACTCACTGATGCTTGGATTTGTTTAATTGGAAAAATCGTCTGGTCTGCAATAGCAGTACACTTGGGAGAAGTTTGTCCAGTTGGAAAAATGTACTGTGTATCATGTTGCACATAATATAGTGTTTAATGAGACATTACATAACCTTGGGGACTAAGCAAACTTGCTACTTTAAAATCTGTAGAAGAAGCCAACGCATTTGTTTAAAAAAAAATAAAATGTGAAAAGAAAGTCAAATTACTGAGAAGATGCCATTCAGATCTGGGCATTCTATGCTTCTAGTAGAGAAGGTCTTTGGTGTATCTTTTTCAGCTCATACACAACCAGGAATAGCAACTACTTAAAAGATATTTTCTTTCCCATAGAAAAAATATCGCACAAAAATAGAAACTCTCAACTTCACACCTGTGGATGACAGAGTTGATTATGTGACAGCAAAACAAAGTGGTGAGATCCTCAATGATGTAAGTATATGGCTGTTTTAAAGTTGCACAATCATGAAGATGTTGTTTCCAAAGCTTTTCTAACATCCAGTCACTGTCGTAGATACAGATTTTAATCATTGAAATTATTGCTGTTAGCAATTGCTTGGACAACATGATGCTTTCTTAACATCAAGTAACTGGCCCTCTTGCCTCCCATTTAGATTAAGTACCGGAAACACTGGAATGACACCAAATCCAACTACACCCTCACAGAAACCCCCCAGCTGCACGCTGCCCAGGAGGCTGCCCGGATCCTGGACCAGGTATGGGTTTTATCTGGATGCCTGGTACTTTGTGTGGGCATGGAGAACCTTAATGGAACTATAGGAGATTTATGCACACAGCTTATCCCTCCTTTTGACTCCTCGTTTTAACCCTGTGTTGTGGCTCTGTCTTCTAGTACCTCTACAAAGAAGGCTGGGAGAAACAAAAAGCCACAGGCTACATTCTGCCTCCGGATGCTGTGCCATTTGTTCATGCTCATCACTCCGGTGATGTTCAGAGTGAGGTAATTGATCCTGATACGAGTGCACTTTGCAAAAACAAGGCTTGCCCATAAAGGATTCTAGTTATGCCTAAGGCATAGACAGCACCTTCAGGGTGTTCCTTTTGAGCTTGGCAGACCTGGCTTGGCTGGGGATGTTTGGAGTACTTGCTTCCCTTTTGGTCCTTCTCCCATGGGCTTTGGCCTTTCTTCTTCCTCTTCTTCTATTTTTTCCCCTTTGGCTTCTTTAAAAGCCATTATTTGAGTTCTTTACTGTTTCTGATATCCTCTGCCCTCTCTAAAATCTAGGCCTTTGAATAAAAATATGGCCAGAATTAGAGAACAAATATATGGGGCTTATTTTTTTCTATTTTTAAATGGCATTTCTTCTTATTTATTTATTTATTTAAATAAATAAATGTATTTGTTTATTTGTTCTTGGGGGAAGGGGTGTCAAACAAAAAGCTGGGAGGCTAAATTTGCTGGTATTCCTTAACAAGTGCTCAAACTCCCTTTGCCGTGTGTGCTTGTTAAAGCTGATGAGATCTATGTTCTTCTTCCCACCAGCTGAAATACAAAGCTGAACACGTAAAGCAAAAAGGTCACTATGTTGGTGTCCCGACGATGAGAGACGATCCTAAACTGGTTTGGTTTGAGCATGCAGGCCAGATTCAGAATGACAGACTGTATAAAGAGGACTATCACAAAACAAAGGCCAAAATCAACATTCCTGGTGATATGGTGTCAGTCTTGGCCGCCAAGCAGGGGCAGACCCTCGTCAGTGATATCGATTACCGTAATTACCTGCACCAATGGACGTGCCATCCTGACCAAAATGATGTCATTCAAGCAAGAAAGGCCTACGACCTACAGAGCGATGTAAGTGATTTTTGTTTCTTCATTATCTAGAAGTGTATGGTACACTCCGAGAATGATAAACAGCATTCCAAGTCCACCAGGCTCGGATATGTAAAGCCATACATATTTAGTTTGTTCCCAGAAGGGAACTGAGGTTGAATATGAAATAGAAAAAGATCAGGAACAGTGATGGATTGACAGCTTTGCCCACTGACTATATTTCTCCATAACTTTCAAAGTTGATTTAAAAAAAACTCTGGTTTGTTGTTTTTTTTTGTACCATTTCTGCCATTAGTAACTCTTCATGCACATGCACAAAGAAAACTATCACCTGATTTAAAATAATAATTGGCTTGGGTGGGGATCGAGATTGTGTTGAGGTTTTGACATTATCAGTTGACAGCATAGTTAAGGACCTAGGAATGTCCTATTCCTGCTTTGCCAAATCTCTCATTCCTCAAGGCATTTATGAAGGAGTTGTTTACAAGAAATAAAAGCAAAAGAGAAACAAAGTATTGATTAAGCTGTGTGAGGGTCCAGTACCCCTCATGCAGAGCTTTGGTAAAGCTACAATAGAGAATATGACATAGGCCACCTCTCTAAGAAAGCCTCCCTCGAAAGCCTGCATCAAGGTCTTTACCTATCACCATCCATCCATCCATGAGTGTGGAACAGAAACATCAACTTAAGTTGCTCAGGTGCACAGAAGAGCTAATCCTACTTGGGTCTCTTCATCATTGCAAAAAAAAGAAACAATCAAAGACAACCTGCAGCATGGATGTTGATTATGAACATCCTGCCTCTCTGGTTGCTGCAGCAGAATGACTGTTTCGGAGCTTTAATCAGATTAGCCACTCCTCTTCATTTGGTGTGGGATAGACTGGGAGCTAGGCCCATCCCCTGGACTCGTAGCACTGGAGTGGTCCTGCTCTCAGAGCACTCAACCACTTTCCATTTGTAAATGACTCTTCTCCACTCCTACTTCCCTCTGCATACTTACCCCTCAAAGCACTGAGCAGAGTGCCACATGCACAGTATGACAGGCTTAAGAAATATGGTTCAGGGAAAGTCACAATGGAATGAATGAGACAATAGCCACTAGAGAGAAATCCTTAAAAAGCTTCTGAAAACAATTGTTTGTAATCTTCAGTCTGTAAGCCCGTGTCTGAGTCCTTCATACCTCTGTCATATCTCTTTTTCTGCTCTCAGAATATCTACAAAGCTGACCTGGAGTGGCTGAGAGGCATTGGCTGGATGCCCCTGGATTCTGTGGACCACGTGAGGGTTACTAAGAACCAGGAGATGGTGAATCAGGTACACAAAGGCCGTTCTCCCCCTAATCTAATGCCTGCCCTCCTTACCTGCCATGTGGGGGTAGGTACTGTCTGGTGGGGGTAGACCTGTCTTAATCATCTCTGTGTCTTTGCAGATAAAATATAAGAAAGATGCTCTTGAAAACTATCCTAACTTTACAAGTGTGGTGGATCCTCCAGAGATTGTTTTGGCCAAGATCAACTCTGTCAATCAAAGTGATGTAAGTTTGCTCTGTATATGCTGAAGTACATAGTCTTGGGAAGTTAGTCCTCTATCATTGAATGGATTAACTTAATGCTAGATAATCATTTGTAAGAAATTAGGAGGTGGTAAATTATAAGATAATGTTTGGAGAGGATGTTTTAAAAGTCACTCATAAGTCGATGGGACTGCAAACTAGTACAACCTGTATGGAAAACAGTATGGAGATCTCTCAAAGAGCTAAAAGTAGATCTATCATTCAATCCAGCAATCCCACTATTGGGTATCTACCCAAAGGAAAAAAAATCATTTTATCAAAAAGATACCTGGACACAAATGTTACAGCAAATGTAACACAAATTTGTGTACCTATTACACAAATGATACAGCACAATTCATAATTGCAAAGACATGGAATCAACCTAAGTGCCCATCAATTCATGAGTGGACAGAGAAAATGTAGTGTTTGTATATTTACACACACACACACACACACACACACGCACCATGGAGTACTACTCAGCCATAAAAAGTAATGAAATAATGTCATTTGTAGCAACTTGGATGGAACTAGAGTCCACTATCCTAAGTGAAGTATCTCGGGAATGGAAAAATAAACACCACATGCTAATAAGTGGGAACTAAATGATGGGTACACACAGGCACAAAAAGACCTAAAGGCCATGGAAACTAAGAAGGGGAGACGGGAGGGGGTGAGAGGCAAACACTTACCTATGGGGTACAATGAACACTGTCCTGGTGGCAGGTACACTGAAAGCCCTGATTTCAGCAGTATACAGTGTATCCATGTAACAAAGACATTTGTACCCTCTTAATATTTTGAAATAAAAAAGTAAAGGTCACTAGTAGATGGTATACTCTATTGACTTTTAGATATCTATATTCCTATCCAAATTGTTCTACTATATTAACTAAAATGGACTGAAATTCCACTAGCTGATTAGTTTTAATCTCTAAATGTAGATCGATTATTATGTTACTAGGTAAATCCTATAAAAATTTAAATATACATTTATAATAATAAAAGCTTTTGTTTTGTTTTCTTGCCTTAGGTGAAATATAAAGAAACATTCAATAAAGCCAAGGGCAAGTATACATTTTCTCCAGACACGCCACATATCTCCCACTCTAAAGACATGGGAAAACTCTACAGTACTGTAAGTTCTCTTTGTGTAATAATAACTTAGTTCCTCCATTAAAGCTCTTGTCAGTATTTATATTCTTGGCTGATTTTATGAACAGCTGAGCTTTTAAGGCAACATGTTATTGTCATCGCATTTAGTCTCATTTGTTAGAAATAACACGTTATTCCAGGCAAATAGCATTTATTTGGCTGGTATTTTTTGAGCTCCTGTGATGTTCCAGGAACTATAGGAGGCAGTGAGGGGCTAAAGCTCCATGAGACAAGTGAGAGGAGCAGACATATAAGTAAATAGATAGACAATTGCATGTAACAAGTGCTGGAAGGGCTCTGGGTGCTCTGGGTGCTCACGTCCTGAGCAACCACCAACAGAGAAAAGAGAGGAAAGGCTGTTCCCTCTTCAGCAATCAGGCACAAGAATCCCCAGCCAGCAAGTGAGAGTCTTGCCCTCCAGGCCTTAATTCAGCTAATTTAAAGGAAAATGATGGGGGAAGGGGTGTGCGCACATACACTTGCTTGCCTGCCCACGGAGAAGCGATCTTTGGCAATTCTCTCCCAACGTGCAAATTTTTTGTCACTTTTACTAGAATTATAAATGTAGTCAACTGTGTTGTAAAATGCCTAGAGTCTGTAGTTTTAATTTGCAATAAACTAAACAACTGCCCTGTTCTAGGTAGACACGCAGCTCTAAATAAAGATTTAAGCCTTGCCCTGAACATATATGTTTTACCTTAATTTTACCAGTTGTTTTTAGGGGTATCTGGAAGAAGCTGAATGCAAACTTTTGTTGATGCATACTTCTTTCTTCCAGATACTGTATAAAGGGGCGTGGGAGGGAACCAAGGCCTATGGCTACACCCTGGATGAGCGCTACATTCCCATTGTTGGAGCCAAGCACGCCGATCTGGTGAACAGCGAGGTCAGTACCACCTTCTTTCCTGAGTTTGGGAGTCTTTACTGCGGGGCAAGGGGTTGGTTAGAAAACTCCAGTGATTCTCAATGTTGAACCCACTTCACAGCTTAAATACAAAGAGACATATGTGAAGCAGAGAGGTCACTACCTGGCTGGGAAAGTGATCAGTGAGTTCCCTGGTGTGGTTCACTGTTTGGATTTCCAGAAGATGAGGAGCGCGGTAAGCAAATGTTCACTTTAACATGGGTTGTGCACACCATAAGCGTGCTGTTTTGTCTGCCTGTATATAACCCACCCTTTGGTTCAAGACTAGCTGGGGGGGATGGAATAGCGTGGAGTCATCCTGACAATTTTCCCCATCCTCGCCAGTTAGCCTGTGGACCTGAGGGCTAATGGGCTTCCTCCCGCCCCTGCCCTCCCCCACCAGCAAACACACAGTGAGGGCTCTGTGTTGGGAAGAGTAGAAAGCAACAAGGGCACTATTTGCCCTGTCTTATAAATGTATGGGGAATTTACAAAGAAGAATATACTAAAGTATCATTTCTTTTAACTTTAGTCTAGAGGTACTGATCTCTTATCAGAAACAAGGCTCTAAAAGAGATTGACCAGAATAATTTACATTTTAATGCCTTTCTTGCTTTTGTCTTTAAAAAATATTATTCTCTAGTTGAACTACAGAAGAGACTATGAGGACACCAAAGCAAATGTTCATATCCCCAATGATATGATGAACCATGTGCTGGCTAAAAAGTGCCAGTATATCCTCAGTGACCTGGAGTATCGACACTACTTTCACCAGTGGACATCTCTTCCGGAAGAACCCAATGTTATGCGCGTCCGGCATGCCCAGGAGATCTTAAGTGATGTATGATGTTCTTTCTGCAGCTTGACTTAGCCACAGCCTTCCCCTCCCCCTCCACACTCCAGTGGTCCCTGTATTCGTAAACCCTGCTGCTTTTCAACACAAAGTGGCACAAGTGACCACTTTTTGGTGTACGAATCCCCTCTGAGCCATAGAACACATATGTTAACTACTTAATCTGTTTAACGCTAGACTAAGACTTAGGTATCACTCTCCTCCTGAGCTTCTTTAGGCCAGGGAGCTAAAGACCCTCCAGCTGGTGAGAGGCCCGTCCCATGTCCTCTAAGCATTAAGCACAGACAAGGGCTCCTAGGAAATTATCAAAATGCTCAATTGTAAATTAAAAATACCTGTCACCTTTCATTGCTCTTTCTTTCCTGCAGAATGTGTATAAAGATGACTTGAATTGGTTGAAAGGCATTGGTTGCTACGTCTGGGATACGCCCCAGATTCTCCATGCCAAGAAATCATACGACCTCCAGAGTCAGGTGAGCCACCTTGCTGGATGGACGAGCTCTCTCTGGATCAAGGGAATCCGTGGTAGTGTCAGTGGGCTGACGGCCAGGCTGTGACAGTGTGTGTGATCTAATAGAACAAAGCTCCCTCCCTTCCCTGCCAGACGCCCCTAGTGGCCTGCTCTGGTACTAACCTGCTCAGCGGGAGTCTCCCCAGCGTAGTTTAAGGCAGTGCACATCTATAACCGAAAGTCATCTGGGAGGTGTTTCCTGGTGAACTACTCTCAAGCGTCTATACCTTAGTTGATCAGGTTAACTTGCAAAGAGTAAGACGCAAAAGCATCCTTTGATCACAGGTAGATACATTTTAAAGGGGAAAACAAATATCTGAAACGTTCCCCTGCACGTGGTTCAGCTCTCACAGAGCAAGTCTAATGGGATGTTGAAATCGAGGGGCCGCTGGCAGGGGTAGAATACAAGCATGGAAAAGGCAACACAAGGACGATCCAGACCCCATTCTCCATCAAGAGAAACCTCATTCTAGTAGCCATCCAAAGTCTGCAGGACTGTAGAATGATACTATTCTGTTTATTAGGATTAAAGCAGAAACCCAGAAAGAAATAAAGGCACATCTAAGTTGGCACAAGCAGCTATAGCTGATGACAGACCTGTAGTTGACCATCTCCAGTGACTTCTTTTCTTCTTCCATAGCTACAATACACAGCAGCAGGTAAAGAAAATCTACAAAACTACAATCTGGTCACAGACACGCCGGTTTACGTGACTGCTCTTCAAAGTGGCATTAATGCCAGTGAGGTGCGTCATCTTGTACTTCTCTTCCAGGGACAGGCCATTTCTTGTCTTTAATGTATTTCCAAGCAACAGAGGTGGATAAATGACCCATTCTTTTTTTGTCTCTAGGTGAAATATAAGGAAAATTATCATCAGATTAAGGACAAATATACAACAGTTCTGGAAACAGTGGATTATGACAGAACCAAGAATCTGAAGAATCTTTATAGCAGTGTGAGTTGAGTTTTTGTCCTCTTTTATGTGAGCCACCTTGTTCGCCTTCCAGGACAATGACACAATAAATGGGGTAGTCTCCCTGTCCCAAAAGGTTTTTCCAGTTTTATTTCTTATACCTTGAGATTCATACTTTATCTGATAAAATACGTGTATGTATGAATAAATACACCTCAAATTGAAGAGAAGCTTTGGGGGTTGGTAGGGAACGTATGAGAAGGACAGAAACAGTGGGCAAACCTGCTACTCGGAAGCTACTAGAATGCATTTTCCCATATTCACAAGAAGGTTTTTCACCCCTACAGAACCTGTACAAAGAGGCCTGGGATAGAGTGAAGGCCACCAGCTACATCCTGCCTTCCAGCACCCTGTCCCTGACACACGCCAAGAACCAGAAACATCTGGCCAGCCGTGTAAGTAAAGCACAAACACGACAACCTTCTCACTCCCCCTACCTCCCTCGCTCTCAGCTCTAAGGACTGTGCAGACCGAGTCACATGCTGCCCGCAAGTACCCCCAGCCCTCCCACGGGCACAACCAGCAAATAATTCCAGACGCACAGCCGCCACGGAGTCTGTGCGCTCATTGCCTCCTCCCAAGTGCAGGGGTTTTCATGAGAATCACTCACTTGTAAGGAGGACAGGGGTGTGACCTTTTAGGTTGCCTGTCTGCAGGTGACATGGATGGACAGTCTCTGTGATAGCCAGAAGCAAGGATGGGCTGAAGACATAAACCACCAGCAGTCCCCAACCTTTTTGGCACCAGGGACTGGTTTCATGGCAAACAATTTTTCCACAGACTGAGATTGGGGCGGGTGGAGGCAGAGCTCAGGTGGTGATGCGTGCAATGGGGAGTGGCTGTAAATACAGATGTAGCTTTGCTCACTTGCCTGTCACTCACTCCCTGCTGTGCAGCCCCATTCCTAACAGGCCGTGGACTGCTATGGGTCTGTGGCCCAGGGATTGGGGACCGCAGTAATGCATCATACAAAATAGACACCACAAAATAGAATTATGTTAGCTTTGGGCAAAAATAAGCCAGTATGATAATTGATTATTATTGGTTATTACAGCATCCCCAAATAAGTGATTTAATTGTAAGTTAGACCAGATACAGTGGCTTACGCCTGTAATCCCAGCAGTTTGGGAGGTGGAGGCAGGAAGATTGCTTGAGGCCAGGAGTTTGAGACCAGCCAGAGCAACATAGCAAGACCCTGTCTCTACAAAAGACTACTGACTGCTACACTGCAGACAATGCACTCTGATCATTTTGATTCTATTCTACTCATTTAATTCTTAGTGACCCAATAAATGAATTTAACTGCTCTCTAATGGGCTTAGAGATACACAGTTTAGAAAAAGATTTCATTAGATAATATAGGGAATTATTTAATTTTTACCTAGAGGAAAAAGTAAGATGTATGATTTTACCCAGACCTTACTCTATTTGGAAGATTGCAAAAAGACTAGCTCAGAGAAGCAAATGTTTCCCATGGAGAAAGAGGTTTTGAGGATAAGATTTACAAAGCCCAGTAGAGGCTTTTACTTTGAGCTTGGAAAAAAGTGATAGAAGCAGGATTCTTGGCAAATTATCTTTGGAACAAGGTGGGGCATAGAGAAATTAATCCTTTTAAAGAAAGATTTCAACCTTACTTCAGAAAAAATATTTTTTTTCATAAAAAAGGGTACCTTAGGTATTATCATCTTTCAAGCTGAGAAATAGATTAGACCTAAGAACCTGGAATTTTCTGTACTGGAAAATTCTGGTGGAAATTTTGGTTAGTCTCCAGTCTCTGAAGTGCTTTGCTGAATTTTGATACAAATATGTACTCAACTCCTCTTTGTTATTGATATGCCCATCTCTGAATTGTGAGGGAATTGTTATTTTATTACCGTGTGCTGGGAGATTGAACCTTAGTCTGTGTCTAATCACCTTGTTCATATAACCATAGAGCATTAAATAATAGGCAACTTGGCTTAAGAACTAAAAGTTTTCCCACAAAAGTTGCTTATACTTTATTTTTTGAAAACCTGATAGAAACTAAAATTCAAGAATTGTATCTCTTAAGCATCAGCCTTTTCAATTATTAGAAACAAAGAGACTCCTGAGCACAGTTGTAATCTTTCAAAAAAGTACTGATATGGATATAGGAGTTTTAAAAACAGTAACTAAAATTTTGTAGTGCTCTGCAGTTGCAAAGTATTTTTAGATGCAGCCAGACGTCAGGAAGGCTGGTGATGAGGCAGGGAAGGTGCTAGTGCTAAACCTCTCTGTACGGATGAGGAAATGAGCTCAGAGAAGTAGTGTCCCCAAGTTGGCTGGGTCTCAGAGTCAGGTGCTTCCCACTGTCTTGTGCTGTCTTAACACCATAAATCCATTGCTCTCTAGAACTCTTGTTTCTTCCTTTCTACTTACTCTCTATAGGTCAAATACCGGGAAGAATATGAAAAGTTCAAAGCTCTTTATACTTTACCAAGAAGTGTGGAAGATGATCCGAACACAGCGCGGTGCCTCCGAGTTGGCAAGCTTAACATTGATGTGAGTACAGTCCTACGTCGCTCAATGACAGGGGTACATCCTGAGGGATGTGTCATTAAGCAATTTCATCTTTGTGGGAACATCATAGAATGTGCTTACACAAACCTAGAGGATATCACCTACAACTACACAGCTAAGCCAGATGGTACAGTCTATTGCTCCTAGGCTGCTATCCTGTTACTGTACTGAATGCTGCAGGCAATCGTAACACAGTGCTAAGTGTTTGTGTATCTAAAAATATCTGAACGAAGAAAAGGTATGGTAAAAATAAAGTGTTATAATCTTACGGGGACCAGGCGCAGTGGCTCATGCCTATAATCCTAGCACATCAGGAGGCCAAGGCCTGAGGATTGAGGCCAGGAGTTCAAGACCAATAGTGAGACCTTGTCTCTACAAAAAATTAGCAAGACATAGTGGCACACACCTGTAGTCCCAGCTACTCTGGAGGCTGAGGCAGAAGGATCACTTGAGCCCAGGAGTTCGAGGTTGCAGTGAAATATGACGCCACTGGCCACTGCACTCTACCTGGGCAACAGAGTCAGAGCCTGCCTCAAAAAACAACAATAATAATAATCTTATGGGGTTGCCATGGTATATACAATCTGTTGTTGATCAAAACATTATGAGGAGGCCAGGCATTATGAGGAGGCCAGGCTCATGCCTGTAATCCTAGCACTCTGGAAGGCCAAGGCGGGAAAGGAGGATTGCTTGAGGTCAGGAATTCAAGACCAGCCTCAACAAGAGCAAGACCCTATCTCTAATAAAAATCGAAAAAAATTAGCTGGGCATGATGGCGCATACCTGTAGTGCAAGCTACTTGGGAGACTGAGGCAGGAGAATTGCTTGAGCCCAGGAGTTTGAGGTTGCGGTGAGCTATGATGATGCCACGGCATTCTAGCTCAGGAGACAGAGTGAGACTCCATCAAGAAAGAAAGAAGGAAAGAAGGAAGGAAGGAAAGAAGAAAGCAAGCAGGAAGGAAGGAAGGAAGGAGGAGGAAGGAAGGAAGGAGAAGAGAAGAAAAAGAAGAGAAGAAAGAAGAAGAAGAAAGAAGAAAGAAAGAAAGTAAAGAAGAGATGAGAAGGAAAGAGAGGGAGGCAGAGGACGGAAGGGGGAGGAGGAGGAGAGAGAGAAGGAAGAGGAAGAGGAGGGAAGACGAAAGGAGGGAAGGAGGAGGAAGAGAAAAGAAGAAGAAAGAAAGAAAGAAAGAGGAAAGAAGAAGGAAGGAAGGAAGGAAGGAAGGAAGGAAGGAAGGAAGGAAGGAAAAGATGAGTTAGATTTTTCAAAAGTTAATGTGTCATGTGATTATAATTCCAAAGCCCTTTCTTCAAATAGAAGCCAAGAAACGTAGTCACATGTTATAAATCAGAACATTTTCTATTAAACAATGCATGCGGCACTGATTATGCTTATGTAAAGAAGCTAAGCGTTATATCAGCCCATGCTGCTTTTTTTAAACAAATTTTCCCTGGTATTAATCTGTAGAAAATGTCAGAAAATGCGGGTCCCCACGGTGCCCCCAGCTGCTAGCTGTGAGTCGCTTACCCCGACTTCCCATGTGTTGCCACGATGCCTTGGCACGACTTCCTGCATAACTGGCGTGTAATTTTCACATCGCAGCGCCTGTACAGATCTGTTTACGAAAAGAACAAGATGAAAATCCACATCGTGCCAGACATGGTGGAGATGGTGACCGCCAAGGACACTCAGAAGAAAGTCAGCGAGGTTGATTACCGCCTGCACCTCCACGAGTGGATCTGCCACCCCGACTTGCAAGTCAACAGCCACGTCAGGAAAGTCACGGATCAGATCAGCGACGTAAGCCCATCACCTGTGACAGGCCCTGGCCCCGCACACCTGCCCCGAAGAACAGCAGACTCTCCCATTTCCTGGCCTTAAATGCTTTCCTGTATATCCGTGGGTCGGACTTGATTTTGGAGCTGTCCCTGTGAGCAGGGCTCTGTGCCCGTGTTTTAAAGGCACCATCAGCCTCCTTGCGTAATGCCTTTTGTTTTTCATCCCCAAAGTCATCTGGGTTCCTGAGTGCACCTCCGTTTTTTGTGTTAAAGTTATGATCAATTTTTTTTCATTATCCCCTCTATCAAAAACCCCTAGATCGTGTACAAGGATGACCTCAACTGGCTGAAAGGGATTGGTTGCTTCGTCTGGGACACTCCCGAAATTCTCCATGCCAAACACGCTTATGATCTGCGCAACGATGTGAGTTTGCCTTGTTTTGGTTCACTGTTTGGTATATTTCCATCTCCAAATAGCCTAGAGTCCAGGGGAGAGGGATACATGAAATAGGGGCATTGTCACAGACCAGCTGTGGGTTAAGTCACGTTGAGGATGGCTGAGCTGGAGAAGGATGCTAGGAACAGAGCAGTCACTTGTCACGAGTGCTGATGGCATCCCTAGTAAACAATGCAGTCCAGCTGTGCCATTGTCCCCTGGCAGAGAAGGAACCTTTGGCTCTCTTCTCTCCACCTTTTGGACTATTTTGGTTATATTAATGAGCACATGATTCTCATTCTAGGAAAATGTCATTGGTTTGTAGTCATTTGTTTGTGATGCTATAGGCAAGGACTCTTTGTAAAGAGAGGATTTGCCAGCCAAATTAAATACCGTAATAAGGATTTCAGTAAGAAAGCTTAAACTTTCCTGGAAGAGTGGTTGTCAAGCTTCCTAGAAGACTCTAGAAGCCCTATATAAGCATTGGTTACACAGATCATTATAAAACTCAAATGCATCCTGATCTGTTGAGTAAGTGCTGATGAATGTAAACCTCGTGAGTTAAAAAGCAACCACCAAACACTCTGTGACAACCAGCAGGCGAATGGTCCAACATAGGCTTGTTTTCTTCCTCCTGGCAGATCAAGTACAAAGCTCACGGAAAGAAGATGAGAAACGACTACAAGTTGGTCACTGACACACCAGTTTATGTTCAGGCTGTCAAAAGCGGGAAACAGCTAAGTGACGTAAGTGCTCACGGGGGCAAGTTACCATGGACAGCGATAAAGACAGGGGCCACCACTCAAGCAGAAGTGGCGCAAACCACAGATTGGGCAGGGCCAGGCCTTCTCTAAGTGGGAAAGCACAGTTGGTGGGTGCCTTAGAAAGCACTCAAGATTCAAGATACCATTCTTGTCTCCTGAAGCCTGATGTGTTCAGGTGTTCCCTGGGGTGGAGTTGTAAGGAACCCGAGTCGATGAAATACCGTGTGCTTTAGAGCTTCCAACGTTGCTTTTTGTACCCTTGTGCCATGAGCAACAGTTTATTTCTCACTGTCTAGGCTTTCTAATAAATTAGAGCCAACTGTGGTAGAATAAGAAGCAAGCAGGCTCAGAATTTAGAAATGAGGGTGGGAGTCCTGGCTCTACCCCATGTGACCTGTGAGGCTTGTCAAAAGCACTTGCCCCGTCTGAGCCCCAGCGTCCTGGGGTGTGAAAGGGAAAGTGTCTGTGAAGTGCCCACTGTGACGCCTGGCACAGGGCAGGCACAAAGCTGTTCTTTCTTTATTAACTCCACAGGTTGATGAGTGACTACTTGATCCCACCAGGGAGTTCAAATGTTGAGACTTATTATTTGGGAACTTTTAGTGGTAAAATGCCCACTCTTCCTCCTCTTGTGCCTGAGCTGTCTCTCTTCCACCTGTCTCTCAGTGTGGCTGTCCACACCCTGGCTCTGATCCTATCGGATCAGACACAGTAACATATCAGGCAAAGTTCTCTAGGCAAAGAGAAGCAGGCTATCTTTTTTGGTTTTTAAAGAGGCATTTGGAGCTGGGCATGGTGGCTCATGCCTGTAATGCTAGCACTTTGGGAGGCTGAGGCAGGAGGATAGAGTTTGAGGCTGAGGCAGGAGGGTTGAGGATTGAGGCCAGGAGTTCAAGACCAATAGTTACTAAAAAAATAGAAAGAAATTAGCCAGACAACTAAAAATATATATAGAAAAAATTAGCTGGGCATGGTGGCACATGCCTGTAGTGCCAGCTACTCGGGAGGCTGAGGCAGGAGGATCGCTTGAGCCCAGGAGTTGGAGGTTGCTGTGAGCTAGGCTGATGCCACGGCACTCTAGCCTGGGCAACAGAGTGAGACTGTGTCTCAAAAAAAAAAAAAAAAAAAGAGGCATTTGGGTTTCCATTCACTTTGCTTCGAACAATGCTGCTGCAGTCTGAATCGACTCACTCGGCCGCTCTCTGCACCAGGTTGTCTACCACCACGACTACGTGCACAGTGTCAGAGGCAAAGTGGCTCCGACTACGAGAACCGTGGATCTGGACCGGGCCCGTCATGCGTACAAGCTCCAGAGTGAGGTGAGCAGTGAGAACTCGGCAGTGCCCCGCAGAAATCGGAGCGATCAGCCTCGATAGAAGCAACCTTGGCTTGGGCATCCCCTTGGCCTGACCTTGTAAAACATAAATGCTGTTCCATTCACATGAGCTGAAAAAACAAAAACAATAATAGAGCATAGCCTGTCGTCCTTCTTGGCTGGCAAGATCCTCCCATAGAACATTTAAACAAACAATAAATGGGTAGGGCTTTGTTTTGTTTTGTTTTGAGCAATATTTACAAGTTACAAAGAAGAGGGCCAATATGCCTGCCCTGCTTCCAAAAAGCTTAAAATCAAGAAGACAAAGACAAGGCATTTAATCATAAATGGCTACTAACAATAAAAGCTAAAGTTAGGAATTGCTGTCGGAACTCAGAAGAGAAAGCATCTGCACCTCACCTGCATATTTAACTTATTCTACGTTACCCAGTGGTGCTGTTTTGGTCTCAACTTTTAATGCTACTTTCTGCCTTAAATATTAGAAATAATGTTGTTTTTAATATTTTAAATATGATCCTTAGTCCTGTAGCTCCCCTGAGAGACAGAGTATTTAAGGTCACAGACAGAAACTCCTGCGTGAGCGTGTGCAGCCTGATGCCCAGGCACTGTGTTTGGAAGGGAGGAAGGAGAGCTAACACAAAGATGTGCCGGGTGACCAAGCTGTCTCAGGGACTGGTGATGGCTTGAATATCATCACCCGAGGACAGGGTTAACAACAGAGGTGGCACTTGGCTGCCTGGCTTCTCTGCATTTCCCAAATTCTTGCTAGATGCCATGCAGTCAACTGCACATGTGTTTGGAAGCCTAGAGGAATTACCTTCCACACGCCATTTCACTTATTGTTCTCTTTTCCCAAAACAATAAGGGGTAATCTGACTCATCTCATGAGTCTTAGAATTTATTTAATTTCTTCCTGACATCAATTCAATGAGTGTATTGAATGGCTAGTCAAAACCCTAATATGAGCCATGTGTGATTTGTTGAACTCAGGTCAACAAATGTTGATGTTGATATCAGATGTCATTTAACCTGTTCTTCCTCATTCCGACAGAATCTGTACAAAACCAGCCTGCGCTTCCTGCCCACTGGATATAGGCTTCCAGGTGATACTCCTCACTTCAAACACTCCAAGGACGTCCGATACATGAGCAGTTATGTAAGTGGTCTCCTCCTCGTTGAGAGGGGGTCTGAAGGTGGGGTGGGAGGAAGCTAGTCTTAATGAATAGCCTATTCTCACCCTGCAGTAACACCCTAAAGGTTCAACGTGATCTAACAATGGGAAGAGGCGGGGGAGATAGCACATTTTCCAAGGGTGCTATGGAATTGGCCGCTCCTGCGATTCGGCAGTGCCTGGGTAGCACCATGGGTTAGGATGGGATGTTGGTGGGAGCCTTGGCTCAGGGCCCATGGCTACCATGATGTTTCTACTTCTACTGCTTTACTTAGCACAGAAGCAGCCTGAACTATCTCAAGCCATTTACTGGAAATGTGACTTCACACACACACTACTAATGTGTGGCAATAGTATTGTCGTCCCTCTGCAGTGTTTCACAGAAGATATAACATCACTGTGCTCCTTTGAAAAGAGGACTTCTTGCCCAGCTGTGGGCTCTGCTACTTACCTCTCTACTTATCCTCTGTGCCCAGTCCATAGAAAGCTAGAGGGGTAGATAGGCTCTCACTACCTATAGCTTGCCCAAGTGTTGGCTCTGATACTACCCTTCTTCACTTTGCAAAAGTACTAGATTGGGATTTGATGCATTTACCCCATGGGCAAAGCCTAGAGAAGTTTTGGCCATCCCAGTGTCTCTGGCCTGCTGCCACTGGTTGAAGAATAAGCTGTCCCTTCTTTGCTACTCTTCAGAGTCCTGAGAATCAGACCTGCTAACCAAAAAGGCTCCAATAGCCTCTAGCCCAATAACCTGTGGCCCAATAAAATGTTTCCAAAGCAGACAGTCACAAATTTAATAATCTAACTCATCATTTTTTAATCAGGCTTTAGCAAAGCCATTCATCAGTCTTTAAAGCCTTCTCTTGCTCCTTCTTTGTATTTCCTGATTTCCTAGCCACACTGAAGCTAAAAACTATAGATTTTTCTTGCATTTTGCATATCTACCCACAAAAATAGATTTCACATAGGCAAGGTTGTTCAAGGTTGTTTCCTTTCCGGACCTGGTTTTATTACCAACAAATAATTTCAAGGCTTGGATTAATATTGAAATTTTGTTAATGACTTTTTTCCTTATACTTAATGACTTTTCCTTATACTTAATGCTTAGAGAGCAATTTTCAAATGAAGATGACATCTCTTTTCTATTTGAGAAATGCAGTGTTGCTCTTTGTTTACCCATCATTGATCTCAGTCTGACTTTGCTTTTGCAGTTCAAGTACAAAGAAGTCTATGAACACATCAAGGCAAACGGGTATACACTTGGCCCCAAAGATGTTCCATTTGTTCATGTCCGGAGAGTCAACAATGTCACCAGCGAGGTACCATGCATGCTTATTCTCTGAGGAACACATTGAGTTTCAAAGACCATAGCTTTGTTTGAAATGCATTAAGAATTTATTGTGTTTCAGCTCTGAACTTACACATCAGCAGGGTCCTTTTGTCACCATTTTGATACAGGTTTCCCTTGGCAGTGTTTTTCTGTATTTGGTAATGCCATTGCAGAGACTCAGTTCCGTAGACTGTGATGCAAAAAACTTTTGGAAAAATATTTCTTTCTTTTGACATTTGTATTTAAAAATCTTTAATAAGGTTGCATTTTAGTCTCACTCATGACTCTGATTTTCTACATTAACTATCGGTTTGTATACCTGATCCACTCTGCAACCATCTGCTGATAGAAAGTGGAAGGCTTTGTGCTCAGAATTCTTTACCTAAATGAAATAAGTATTATTTTCTTTTTTCCCTCGCCAATCTCAATCATTTTCTATATGTACATTCCCTCTCTTCGTTCTTTACATAAAATATTTCATTGTTAAGTGGTCAGTAGATTCCCTCATCATCCTCTGCTGAACGCCTGGAATGGTTTTTCCTCCAATGCAGAGACTGTACCGGGAGTTGTACCACAAACTGAAAGACAAGATTCATACAACTCCTGACACACCTGAAATCCGCCAAGTCAAGAAGACACAAGAGGCTGTCAGTGAGGTGGGTATGAGGAGAGGCAGGCTGTGGAGCTCAGGGATGAGCGTTGATCATTTGGTCTCTAATGTGTGTGTCTCTGGGTATTTTTTGTCCCTTTAGTTGATCTACAAATCAGACTTCTTCAAGATGCAGGGCCACATGATCTCCCTGCCCTACACACCCCAAGTGCTCCACTGCCGCTACGTGGGAGACATCACCAGTGACGTAAGCATCTCGCAGGGTCTTTCTGGAGGAGTCTTACCAGGAGGCAGGCTTGCTTTCAGCATTGCAAACAACCACTGATCTTTGAACAACCTTTTCCGTTGAGAACTTCTGAACTAAGTAGGCAGCTCGGAGGTGAGGTGGGGGGGGAGTAGGATTCCACAATTCTCTAGCTGTGGAAACAATGATAAGAGGACTTGGGGAAGACAAGAATGGCCACCACTCTTGATCGTTTAATGACCATCACTCTACGGTGGACACTGAATCATTCCACCTTCTTACTCCCTAAGTGGCCTCTGGCGTAGGTCGCGTTCGGTATTTTCCTCTTGCTCACCCATACTCCTACCACCTTATACAACTTCCTGCTGCCATTTTTAAAACTTTTCCTTGGATATTTCCTCCTCCAAAAAGGAGGAAAGCACATTCCTCCTTGGGGTTAGAGACCGAAATGGAAAAGCCTGTGATTTATGTGAGTGCAAGGAAGCCAAGAGTGCAGGTTGGACGTGTTGAACCAAAATTGAAAGGTCAATACGGAAGTGTTGCTGCTCTGCCTTTTGTGTTCCTGACTTACATTTGCTATTGACCACCTATATTTCTGTGTCTGCCCCACAGATTAAATACAAAGAGGACTTGCGGGTCCTGAAGGGGCTTGGCTGCTTCCTGTATGACACTCCTGACATGGTCCGCTCCCGGCACCTGCGGAAGCTCTGGGTGAGTGCACGTCTTCACAACACGTAGTTACTCTGCACAGCTGTCAGGGACTCCATCCCAGGCCTCCAGGGGCTAGGCAGAAAGAATCCTAGCCTGCAGCTACTTTTAAGAGGAAATTTGCTATTAACCCATTTGAGCAGGTCATGACCTACTTAAGATGATCTGTGCCTGCGATATAATGTGATGAGCTTGGTTTAATGATAATTGTTTTTGTTTCTGCCTAGAAAGATACCTAGGACACGTGAAAGACATGCTCAGCTTGCACGTGTCACCCATTTGAAAGACAATGTGACATGCAATTCTTAAAGGATTAATCAACTTGTATTTTTGTTGTTTTTTTTTAAGTCTAATTACCTGTACACTGATAATGCAAGGAAGATGCGAGACAAATACAAAGTGGTACTTGACACTCCAGAATACAGGAAAGTACAGGAACTGAAGACACACCTGAGTGAGGTAAGGGCAGTTTACTTGTCACTACAAGTCAATCAAATTGACCAGCACGAACTGAATTACTCAAAAAGATGCTTAGTTCCTCTAGTGATCATTTTTCATTTTCACTACAGCTGGTAAAAGATTTCCCCTCTGCCCTCCACTGTGGGCCACACTTTGCCTCAGTTTACTTATTTTGTCCCCTTTTGGTAAGATGAAGATATTGATACTTGCCCTTCCTATGAGTAGGGCTGAAGAGAGGTTTTATATGATTTTATAGATCAGAAAGTCCTTTTATCCTACATTATTGTTGTAGTCTCCAAACCGAACTTATTTAAAAATTTTATTTCTCTTTTCATTCCTGCTACAAGGCGCCCTAATTATGGCAGTGCCATTTGAAAAGTCTTCAATGGCTCCCTGCTCTACTGCCCGCCCAGTAAATTCCGAACTACTTACTTTCATTTTCATCTGCTTGCCTGGCACTGAGGTTCCTGGTGGAGCGCAGTTATCTCTGCATAGATCTGATCTTGTTACCTAGACAGTCAGTTCCGTGAAGATTGAACCCCATCTTACCTACACGTGTGCCCCATAGTGTCTTGGCCATAATACATGCCCACGTTTGCCAGTGACTCAATGTGCTTTGCAAAAGGTAAGGGCATTCCACATGTGTAATTGGTTGCTTTTCTCCTGGGTCAGTTGTCCCTTCTCACTCTGCCAGCAGTCTGTACATACTGTGGCTTCACCCAGCTGAGTGTGGCCACAGGCCATCCCGTCATTCCGAATAGCTCAGATGGCTGCTGACGAAGAACTTTATCCTCTTAGACTTGAAGGTGCCCTAGAACACCAACCATTGCCCTCAGTGGAGGGGATATGCAGCTTCCGATGCTCTTAGTGAGCCAGAGTCAGAGGATGATTAATTTTTCACCATTCTCTGCATCAAATGCTGCACTGAGCCCACCTGCTTTCCTGAAAGCTTCCCTGTGTTATTTTAACGGGTGTTTGCAATCGGACAGGAACGCTCATGTTCTTTTTATCCCAGTGAGCTTGCACCTCCCCACTCTGTCTGAGAGTCACCTGTGGAATACTTAAAACTCCCCCTGAGAGGGCTGTGACCCCGAGTTCCGCACCAGACTCTGATCCTCTGTGTCTGGGCGTCTGTGAGCTTTGAGATGCTCCATAGAGATTCTAACTCGCAGCCAGAGTTGAAAACCACCATATCACCCTTCTCCTCCCGCTAACAAATAATAAAAAAATTATTTAGTAACATATAGTGTTTCAGAGTAAAGATATCTCTGAAACACCTTTCCTTCTCTTGGCTTTCTGGGTTCAGAATTATCTAAAACTTTAGTGTCTCCTCTTTCCAGTTCCTAGTGGGTTCTGTGCATGTTGCACATCAGCACTGGGGAAGAAGGGTGGATATTTTTCAGTAGTGCAGTTTCCACCACATTTACCTCTCTGTAAGAAGGAGCTGGGCTTGATCAAATGCTGATCCAAGCCGCTCCCCTGTGCTCAGAAGGGCTGAGTTAAAGCCTACGAATCTATTTTTGATAAAGACCTTCAGGGATTTTAGCATCAGGAAAGTTTGGGAAACACACTGACTTAGTAAAAGGTTTGATGGCCTAAAGAAGTTCAAGTTATTGACTTCTGAGTTGTCTTTGAATTGTAGAGACTCTTGATATATATATATATATATACATACATTTGTAGTACTAGGGAGCAGGGATGTTGCCTCAAGAAGCATAAACAATGTGTACCTAAGTACAGTGGAAATATAATACAAGGAGAATTATAGAAATATCATGGGACAGGGCAGGCATATTGGTGTGTGACTATAGCCCCAGTTACTTGGGAGGCTGAAGTGGGAGGATCACTTGAGCTCAGGAGTTCAAGTAAAGCCTGGGGCAGTGTAGCAAGACCCTGTCTCTAAAAATAAAATAAAATATAAAATAAATAAAATAAAATAATAGGGGTGTTAGTTTCAGATTTACTTCTGATTAGCTGTATGACCTTATATAATACAACTTCAGCACTCCAATTTCCTAAGCTAGAGAATTGTATTAGAGGATTATTTGGTTTCCTTTTAACTATAAGATTCTATGAGTTTGTTGATTTGCTTTACTCAAAATTTAGCCTGGAAGAAACATTAACTTTTCATTTAATTTATCTCCTTCCTTTCAACAGTAACACCAAAAAAAGAAAGAAAAAAGGTGCCCCAAACATATGCGCTACATTTTGTTTTACCTTGCAGTTGTATATAATTTGTAATTTAAAAAACTGACATAGCCGGGTGCGGTGGCTCACGCCTGTAATCCTAGCACTTTGGGAGGCCGAGGCGGGCGGATTGCTCAAGGTCAGGAGTTCGAAACCAGCCTGAGCGAGACCCTGTCTCTACCAAAAATAGAAAGAAATTAATTGACCAACTAAAAATATATATACAAAAAAATTAGCCGGGCATGGTGGCGCATGCCTGTAGTCCCAGCTACTTGGGAGGCTGAGGCAGTAGGATCGCTGAGCCCCGGAGATTGAGGTTGCTGTGAGCCAGGCTGACGCCACGGCACTCACTCTAGCCTGGGCAACAAAGTGAGACTCTGTCTCAAAAAAAAAAAAAACAAAAAACTGACATGTACATATATGTATATACATATATAATATTTACTTCTTACATTTTAATTATTCAACTGGTATTTATATCTGTGATAAGAATTTATTTGGTGTCCATTTGTTCTTTCTAGTTTGCCATATTACATTAAATTCCCTCAACATATATTAGGGGACTACTATTTTTTGGGCCCTGGCATAAGGTCTCAGTGATGAAAGGATTGCAGAGCTAGGCTGCTACACCTGGTGGGACCCTAGTCTGGGATCAGGAACAGACGTCAATGTGATAAATGGGGTCTTACAGGAATAATCAAGACAGTGTGGACTCTAGAAGTTTTCCAAGCAGATAAGAGAGAGAACATTCTAGACAGGAAGGACAGTATGTGAAAATGGCAATAATGAGTTCTAGGAACTGGGAATCATTTAAATGACACATGGGGAGTATAGAAAATTGTTGGAAAATGAAGCTAAGAACATGGGTTGGGCCAGGTCGTAAAGACTTGTAGGCATTACATCCGTGATCTTGGGCTTTATAAAAAAAAAAAATCCTTGAAGAATTATTTCTAAGCAGGACAGATCTGAATGTTAAGAAAACTGTCTCTCAGACTTGTGGAAGGTGGGTGAGCCGTGAGGAGCAGTCCAGTCAAGGAACTGAGAAGGTGCTTGGGTCCTTAAGTCTGTGTAGGAAATGAACAATACAAAAGGCTGAACATGGTGGTGGAAAAGGACTAGAAGGATGGATTTCAGGAACATCGCAGAGTTAGGAGCCTATACCTCATGACCATTGTAATGAGGGGATGAAGGAGGAAGCTAGGAAGACTTCCCAAGTTTCTGGCCTGGGTCACTGGAAGATCAAGGAGTCATTTAGCAAAATAGAGAAAAATAGGACAAGAAGCAGATTCGGGCTGGAGATGGGGTTCATATAAAGAGTTCTACATTGAACATGATAAATGACTCAGATTCAGACAGTTGTGGAAAATCTACGTCACTGGATATGGAGATTTGAAAGTTGTGAATCTCAAAGTGATAGTTGGCCATGGGTGCAGATGGGGACACCCAAGGAGACCACATAGGGTGAAACTCAACTCCCACTAACTGTAGCCCTTGGGGGAGTGCAGGACCACAGTGGGAGGCTGAGGAGGAGCACCTAGAAACACAGGGAGAAGGGTGGGATGGAAGCCAGAGAAGGGAGTTTTGAAAAAAATGGAACACTGAGTAGTTTCAGTTTGCTTAAGAGAAGTGTTCTTCTTGTGTTTGGCAATCACAGTTTTCAGTAGTCTCAATGAGAGAGAGAGAGTTCATTGACATGGTTGGGTGGGGCCAAACTATGGTCTTGAGAAATTAATTAAAAGAGAGGAAATGAAGAAACACATAGGCAGCTTGGATGGGAAAGAAAGGAAGGAAGCTAGAGGTTAGAAAAGGTTTAATGAAGGGACTTGAGTCTGTCTGCAGATGAAGAGAGAGTGCTGGAAAAACAGAAGAGGTTGAAGGGATGGAGGGGAAAGGGGTAATTGCCAGAACAGGGTTCTAGAAGGGACAGCTGAGAATGGTATCAAGCACACAGATGGAGGCTTGAATTCTGGACAGGCTAGAGAATGTTTCTTGTTTTGATACAAGGGAAAAAAGGAAAAGAGGGCCCAGGAGGCAAATAAAAGATTGGCTATGAGTAAGCAATAAAGGTATCTGCATAGAACATAATATGCCAATAAAGCAGAAATGATGATGATGACTTGGTTTGTGTCTAGCTGGTGTACCGAGCTGCAGGCAAGAAGCAGAAGTCGATCTTCACTTCGGTTCCTGATACTCCTGATCTTTTAAGAGCCAAGCGAGGGCAAAAGCTTCAGAGTCAGGTAAACTCATTTGCTAACGCAGGTGCCTAAACCTGCCACGCTGGCATCACAAGCTGATTATGTGTGCCTGGCCTCTCCTGGCCAGTAGCAGACTTGCACACTTGGTTGTCCTTGCTGTGGCCTCAGGTTCATTAACATTCCACTTCAAAAATCAGTTTTCTGGCCAGGTGCAGTGGCTCACGCCTATAATCCCAGCACTTTAGGAGGCTTAGTCAGGAGGATCACTTCAAGCTAGGAGTTTGAGACTACCCTGGGCAACATAGTGAGACCCCATCTCTACAAAAAATTAAAAAATTATACAGATGTGGTGGCACACGCCTGTAGTCCCAGCTACCCGGGAGGTTGAGATGGGAGGATCACTTGAACCTAGGATTTCAAAACTGCAGTGAGCTATGATTGTACCACTGCACTCCAAGCTGGGCAACAGAGCGAGACCTTGTCTCCAAAACACACACACACAAAAAAAAAAAAAGAAAGAAGAAGAAGAAAAAAGAAGTTTTCTTTTGGGCTGTCATAATCACAGTTATGTTTTACTCAAACAAGAGATGATGTATTCTTTTCTAAGTGCTACATAACTTTCATCATTGCATGCGTGGTCTGTGGATTCCAAGTAGTGAAAATTATTACTTGATCATTCAAAATTATTCAAATTACTTGATATTTAAAATTATTACTTGATCATCTATCTGTCATCCACAGAGTAGTGAAACCAAATTTCATGCATTCAGGCAAAAACAAGGAGAAAATATGTTGAGGGATCTATCGGAAACCTTACTCTTCTTTGGACATTCTTTATCATGTGGGTTTAGACGGGACCACACTCGGTAGTAAGAATATTAGATAACTAGAGCATGTATATGTGCTTTCAAATGTGAGTCACAGAGAGAAACAAATGAACAATAACACATATGACAAAAAACAAACAAGCAAACAAAAAACCAGGACAACAAGTAGACATGCTCCTCTTATTTAAAGGTTAGAGATGAATGAAGAGGACTGTATACCGAAGACTGAATGCTTTACCTCTATAACATCTCACCCTATTCTCTTATTATTCAGTATCTGTATGTTGAACTTGCCACCAAAGAGAGACCTCATCACCACGCTGGAAACCAGACCACAGCCTTGAAGCACGCCAAACACGTGAAGGACATGGTCAGTGAGGTAAGATGGGAGTTAGGGCCTGGCGCAGTGGCTCACACCTGTAATCCTAGCACTCTGGGAGGCCGAGGCAGGCGGATCACTCAAGGTCAGGAGTTCAAAACCAGCCTGAGCAAGAGCGAGACCTTGTCTCTACTATAAATAGCCCCTACTGCTTGAGCCCAGGAGTTTGAGGTTGCTGTGAGCTAGCTGACGCCATGGCACTGACTCTACTGGGCAACAAAGTGAGACTCTGTCTCAAAAAAAAGAAAGAGATAGGAGTTAGGCGCTGAAGTACCAGGTTACAGAAAAAATACTTTGTTAAAACTTTGGCCTGCTACCTCTGATCTGAGAGTTCCTTCTTGTGCTCAGAGTCATCCAAAACACAGAAGACAAAGCCATTCTTTAAGATTCGATACCTGTTCTCCACTAGATCTGGGACTTGGTTGTGAATTGAGAGGGATGAAGCACTTGAACTTAAGTTTGTCACTTTGTATTTCTTAGACAAAGTACAAGATTCAATATGAGAAGATGAAGGACAAGTACACCCCGGTTCCAGACACGCCGATCCTCATCAGAGCCAAGAGGGCTTACTGGAACGCCAGCGATGTACGCACGCTTCCTTTCCTCTTCTGTGTGGCAGGCAGAGCGGAGGTTGAAGTGCCTGAGAAAATTAAGATATCTCGGTCACATCCATGGTTCGAAGTCCTGGCCCACAACATGGATCAGGAAAAAAAACACAAATTTTTTTTTAAAGAAAGAAACAACTGGCCCAAACAGTACCAGTCAGACAAAGTAACTTAGAGATGGCAGAAGCCTATTCTTAATTCTCTCCTGGGCAAAAATATGACCCTTTCTTGTAGTTCTGTGGTAGCATGTTCCAGGGATACTTGACGACTAATTTACTTATCCATAAAATTATGGTCTTAGAGTCAGCCAGATGTAGATTAAAATCGTGATGCTGTCACTTGCTTGCTGTATGATTCTGTATAATTTGTCTGATTTTTCTGAGCCTCTTTTCTTATATAGAAAATGAGGATGAGAATCATGATAATTAAATAAAGCTAAACAAGATAACGAGTGTGGTGTTTCTGGCACACCACTGGGCTCTTAGTTGACACTCAGGAAATGTTTGTTCCCTTTCTTCTCTTAATTCCCTAAATACAGATCATGAGAATGATGCATGACACAGTAGTTAGAATTAGGAGGGACAGATTTCCATGTCCCATAGAACGTGATCTCAAGGATAGGACTGCCTTGTAACAGTCATGAGAGTATCTGTTAATGAAGATGTGAACTAGTCGACCCAGGGCACATTGGGACTTAAACTCAGCCAGAAGCTCAACCCTCTCCGTCAGCCCTCAGCTTAGCAGCTTAGCACTAGGATCTCGAGGCATCTTAAGGTAACTGCAGTGAGCCCCAAGCAGGAGTGTGAGAGGATACAGCAAATTGGAACAATGTCTCAGTTCCAAAACTTTTGTCTGAAATTTGGAGCTGAGGGGAGCCTACTCATTGGAAAGAGGCAATGGCCAGTTAGTGCCTAAAATATGAGCTGAGAAAGTCATGTACTCCCTTCAAAATCTGTCCCCTAGGAGGTTATTAGTCTTCTTGTGACACCCCTGTCGTCATCACTTCAGGGTTACTGTTGAATATTAATTTGAACCAAGCTTAATTTGCCTGTTACAGGGGTGGCCACTCCGTGAAATTGGCCCTTGGGCTCATTATGCACAACCCTATCCCTGGGGATTTATCAATACCAATTCCAATAACCCTAATCTTTCAAATAGTTTCGTATAACAAGGGGGTTTCTGGCATTAAATTCAGTGTATGCATTAGGGCTGTCCACACAAGTAGCTCTAAGCGATTTTATGAGATTATCCGCCTACAAAAGAAAATTACAAAGTCAGAGAAAGGATATCTTTCCTTATGTGTTTGCTCAGCTACACAAAAGGAAGAGAACTGTTTAAGGCTCAAAATAAACTGCTCAGAGAAGCACCCATCTTCTGCAGATGAAATGAATCTTAGGTTAGCATCAGAGCTGTTTTCTCTTGAAATATCACAAAGATAAAGATTATAATGAAATAAATTTTTAAGACTGGTTAGTGTGGAGAAAGCATTTTAATGCCAAGAGTTAGAAGCTAAATCTTTATCCCCTTCCCATGTGCCTTAGTATGTCTTGGGCTCAGTAAGGTTATGCTTGCGGTTTTCTCCTCACAAATGAGCTTTTGGTTTATGTTCTACGTGTAAATCAACTTTTTCTTAAGTAGTCTTAAATTTACAGAACAGTGGTGGCGATGGTAGTGCATTGTTCTCTGTTGTCCCCCCCGCTTCTTTTGTTTTTTTTACTATTTTTTATCACTGTAGATTTGTCATAACCAATGAACCAAGATTGATACATTATTATTATAACTAAATTATATTCGTTATGATATTATTAAAACTAAACTCCATATTTTGGATTTCATTAGTTTTTTCTAATGTCCCTTTTCTCTTTTAGGATCTGAAATAAGTTTTTTAATTTTTAAATTTGGGAAAACCTAAGAGAGAAAACTCAAGAAAGTTCAAGCTTAGAAGAGCTCAGTTATTTACCTTGGCAGTTTCCATAACCCACGTGCTTTTCTCTTTCCAGCTCCGCTACAAAGAGACGTTTCAGAAGACCAAAGGGAAATACCACACTGTGAAGGATGCTCTGGACATTGTTTACCACCGCAAAGTCACAGACGACATCAGTAAAGTACGTCCCTATGTACTTCTACTGGCGTTGGGCTCTATAACTCACTGCAAAAAAAAAAAATTGTTTTAAGCCATCTGTCTTTTCTAAAATTCTCCAGAGAGAAGTAGACGCTTTGACATCAGTGTTGGGTAAGACTGTATCGCTGTGTTTGTGCTTCCCTAACAGGTGAAATACAAGGAGAACTACATGAGCCAGCTGGGAATCTGGAGGTCCATTCCCGATCGCCCAGAGCACTTCCACCACCGGGCAGTCACTGACGCAGTCAGTGATGTGAGTGCGGACATCTTCTATTTTCACACATGAATTCACATTCCCCATATGAGTTACAAAGTCGAATGCTACATAAAAACTGATGAAATACTTGGCTAGATTTTAGAGCTTGTGTGTGGATGTTTTAAACCATAAAACTCATTTGCTAAATGAGTGAACTTCAACTAGAGAGAGGGAAAAATTTATTCAAATCTATAAACCTGACTTTTCTTCTAAATGTATGCTATCATATTACAGGACTGGAAGTGATATACTTCATCTAGAAAATAACCTATCCTTGGTCCGTTGAAGAAACAACTTCATGAAGCAATTAAGACACATGACAATTCTTATTTAGAAAGAAATTTCAGCTCTCTCTATGAAAATATAGCCACTAAGCTAGCGATATACTTTCTAGGAAAGCATGCCCATTAAACTGGCATTGATTTCATTAGAATTATTAATAAAAAATGAAAATTTCTATATACTATAAAACAATACACCAAAAAATAAGCAGAAATCAGTGTTACTGTGAACTTTTTAAAACTAAATGTTTTAGTACTTTATTATTTCATATACATCATGGGTCCGAGCTAAAATTTGTTCCACTTGTACAGATACTAACTTACTGCTATTTGGAGATAGGTTCTTAAAACTCTTCAATGATGTTCTTCTTCTCCCAGGTAAAATATAAAGAAGACTTGACCTGGCTTAAAGGCATTGGTTGCTATGCCTATGATACCCCTGACTTAACCCTGGCTGAAAAGAACAAGACTCTCTACAGCAAGGTATCTGTACTCAAGAAGAATGGCCAGTCCATTCAACATATACCTGTACACACAGAGAGAATTAGCACTGAGAAAATGACCTTACACATTTCCATCCCTATCTGGCTTCTAGACCTTATAGTCAGAGTACATACTGAATTGCTCCCTCTCCTTAGAAATTTCTCTAGTACTAACCTCATTGACTATAGTCATTTATTTGATTTGATGAAAAGTCATCTCAGTACAACTCCTCCTGACTCTTCCAGAATTTCTTCCCTATTAATGTCTCTGGGTGATTTACCCTATTAGACCTGATATGGTAGCAAATATAAGGCGAGGTTATTTTAATCCACAATGTGTGACACAGCAAATCACTTAGTTTTTATGGCCTCATTTTTCTGCTTACAAAATTTTCTAAAGCAGTCCCATTCACTTCCCTTGAGCTCTAAAATAGGAGTCAGCAAACTTTTTCTAAAAGTGCCACATAGTAAATATTTCAGACTTTGTGGGCCACATTCATTCTAGTGCATATTCTTCTTTGTTTGTTCCAACCCCTTAAAAAGCATTCTTAGCTCATGGGGCTATTTAAAAACAGGTGGCGGGCCAGATGGGTCATAGTTAGCCCACCCCTGCTCTAAAAGATTATGGTTGTCTGATTAATTACTGGAAAACTGTATCCAAATTAATGGACTAAAAGCTGCCTTCAAGTGCATGTGAAACTACCTTCAAAGTAAAATAATAACCATAATATATAAAACAAAGAATAAATTGATTTATATTTTTGCCTAATATGGAAAATAGATCTATTTGACATTCAGTACATGGAAGTATTTTCTAGTATGTATTTTTGGGCTAGTTTTTAAGACACCTAGGCTGATGTGCCCTTCATTGCCTTGGGAGACAGAGTAAACACAGTAAATACTTGTTGGCTCTATGAATTAATTATCACAGTTATATGATAAGATGAATAGTATGTCTCATTTTGAAAGATGATTACAGCCTGCTATCAAGTAACCACATTCTGTTTTCTCTAGTATAAGTATAAAGAGGTATTTGAAAGGACAAAGTCAGATTTCAAGTATGTTGCTGATTGTCCAATCAACAGGCATTTCAAGTACGCAACTCAATTGATGAATGAGGTACGTATGAACTGATCCAATTAAGCCTATTCGATTCCTTTAAGAAGTCTATATGGTTATTTGATTAAAGTTCAAAACACAGAATGACAGGAAATCCATTTGAAGTATTCATTCAAAATAAAGATTCGGAAAGACTCTATGATGTCACCATCTGATGGGCTCTGCCCAAACCATGAATGAAACAAGTGAAGAGTGGTGTGAGGGTCCCGTGGCCATCAGTACCCCTTTGCACTAACACAGGGCAGCACAGCCCTATGGCTGTCGAGATCAAGGAAGGACAAGATTTTGCTGACTGTCAGCTGAACTTCCTTATGCATAACGTTGTGTAGATTTGGGAGACCCAGAAGTTCAAGATTAATGTAGTATCCCCTATGAAGGCCCCAAAATGGCGGTGGTTACAACATTTGCCCCAAAGGGGCAGTGTGATTCATGCATTCAAATGTGTTGCCATTGTTACTTCCATATTGCTAGGTGCACAGAGCTATCCATTTGTACCCCAAATTTTTCTTTTTATCTTACCTAGTCTTTCCTGTAACCATCTTTGCAACAATTTAAGTTAAATTTAGCTCGAGATAGCTGAAATAAGCAAGCTACGAATTTACTTACATTTAGATGGTTTTATAATATTTGGATAGTTTTATAATTAAAATTTTATTTAATTTTCTATTTTCAGATTTTCCATAGATTTATGTAAGTTTAAAAATATTAGAATCTATTAGTAAATGTTAGATAAATGTATGTAAAAGTGGAAATGTAGCTGATGGTATATTTACTTACATGTATGACTTTTTAAAACTTGTTTAACAAATTTTTTAATACATTGCCACACTAGAAAAAATTTCTTTCCTTGGAGCTACAGTATTTTATTAGAAAAATAGAATAGAAGCTTCAAAAAACAAAACTATCCTTTCTAATTTAATGGAAAATGTGTTATTTTTTATTGTTTTCTGAGCATAAGTTATATGCAACTTGAAAAATAGTTCTTGTGGCTCCCAAGGTGAAGAGACGTGTGAGTTACATATGCTTCATCAGGTGCCAGACTCAAAACTAGTATGAGTTAAATTCAACTCACATGGTAGTTAATGTGTTAATTTGATCTATTTCATTTTCAGTAGATTTCCAGGCTGGACAACTCTGAAGAATCACTGTCAATAGCTTCCTAGGATGACAGTCTTTATATATTTTGTTTCTATTTTGCAAAGGACTTCCAGGTCTCTTTTATAATCAAATAAATTAACTAGCATCAAAAGACTATTACAATTTCTCCATGAATGTTTCAGCATCAGATATGCTTTTGGATTCTCAAAGCCTTAGATAGCAAACTTGTTAGCTTCTCAGTACCTTATTTTAAATACAGTATTAGATGCCATAAAAGCTAAAATTGCTAATGGCATCATCTATAAAGATGGACAATGTTTAGACAAAAGGTACTCTAATTTCAGTGTATAAAATAGATCTAACCCACGTTTCAGCCTTCTCTGGGTGATCTTCCTTCACTGACTCTCTTTGCTTCCCTGTTTCTATTGCCCTGAGTGCTTTGGGAGCCCACTTCTAGAAATGATATGTTTCTTACCCTTGAAGTTGTACTCTTGCTATAATTTGATATGATGTTTGAGCAGAAAAAATACAGAGCTGATTATGAGCAGCGGAAAGATAAATACCACCTGGTAGTGGATGAGCCTAGACATCTGCTGGCTAAGACCGCAGGCGACCAGATCAGTCAGGTACTGTGATGGGCTGGCCGATGGCCCAGGCAGGATGTGCTCCGGGTTTCTCATGAGATGTCGTCCCGTCTGCTGCAAGGATGTCATAGGTTCTGCCTATGATATTGGACTGTTCTGTTTCAAAGTATCTGTCTAGCCACCCAAAGAGCCCGTGAGCTATTTGAGTGTGCCGGTCCATGCTCTGTGTACTCACTTGTGCTGTGGTGAAGATGAAAAAGAAAAGCTGGGTCCTCCTACCCTTCTTCTTTGGGAGAACCTGTTTGCATGTTGCACCTGTAAACTGCAAATTGAGTTGCAAAACCAAAAACAAACAAGCAAACAAAATTTGATGGAAGGAAAGAAGATACAACTTTTTACTGTATTTTTCTATTCTAAAGCTGTCTTCTTTCCTATAAAGCAATTTTGGTGGTAATATAAGCAAGACTAGCTATATCATTCCCCATTCAAAAGGAATATGCATCATTGATTGCAAGTATTGTAGTCATTCTGCTTGGCATTGAAATGTACTTGGTGTCTTCACCCACGCATATACATGAGTACATAAAGCGTGTATGCCTACATCTCTTCACTCCGAGGTGAGTGGGATATAGTGCCATGTTCTCTTCTGTCTTCATAAGTCTCTTTTGTGCTTCACTGCTCTTTGCATGGACAGAGAAAATATAAATCTAGTGCCAAGATGCTTCTGAAACAAGGATGTAATGAAATTCTGCGTCCAGATATGTTGACTGCCCTCTACAATACATACATGTGGAGCCAGGTAATGTCTGATGGGATGGGAAGAAGGAGGTTTAGAAGCCTTGGGTGCATTCCCTTTTATGCTTTCATTGATTCCCTCTCCCTGCTCCATTCTCATGCTGGTTTCACATGACAAGGCTTCACAAATACTCTTTCCTTAGACATGAACTCGGAATGTGGTCAAGAGTGATGATGAGACAGCCGTCATCTGCACATCATCTGACTCTTTGGGACTCCTAATAACATGAACTAACTTTTACAAACATTATTTCCAAACGGGTGTAACACGAATTTATACTTTTCAGTATTTGCCTCAAAGAAAAAGATTTCTTAGAGGTTGAGGATATTAAGTAGATTCAACAGCATTTAAAAGGTCCGCATATTTAATGTTTTCATCTAATTTTTCCATTGTTCAATTATCACTGCCACTCTAGTGAGGAGATGAGGATTACCATGCAGCTCTTTGAGTGTTGTAAATATTCATGGTGCCTCTTGAGTGTGATGCTGATTTGCTAGGTTATTTCTAGCCTGTCTGTTCCCACCCACACTTGTTCTCAGTGTCACTGATAACATTGCCTTCCTGCAAGGCCAGCGGAAGCACACACACACTTGCCATTGCATGCTGAAAGATAAACTTGAAGAAGCAATAAACAGTGATAATTGGTTAACAAGCAGATGCAATGCTAATAAAATGCCATTTTCCCAGACCAAAAAATTTTCAATCAAGCTTTTGTATTAGCAACTTGTTTTTATCATTTTGGTTTGTCATCAAATCAACCCATGAAATGAGGAGGAGAAGCTGTCCCTATAAACATTTCATTTGCCTGAATTTCCTCCTTTGTCCTCATATGATCATCAGGTAGTTGTGCATGAAATTTTGTTGCGCTCTCTGTATCTGTCCTGCTTGAAACAGCTTATGTGCATGAAAAAAACTGACTTGAAAATTATAGAAACAAATGCATTTTTAAAAAAATGATAAACACCACTTTGGGAGGCCAAGGTGGGAAGATTTCTTGAGGCCAGAAGTTCGAGACTAGCCTGAGCACGAGCAAGAAACTGTCTCTACAAAAAAAAAAAAAGAAAAGAAAAGAAAAAGAAAAAAATAGAAAAATTAGCTGGACATGATGGCTTATGCCTATAGTCCCAGTTGCTCGGGAGGCTGAGGCAGGAATGCTGGAACCCAGGAGTTTGAGGGTGCAGTGAGCTATGATGACACCACTGTACTCTAGCTCTGACAACAGAGTGAGACCCTGTCCCACACAAAAAAAGATAAACACTTCAAACTGTGTATACTCATTATTTTACATCTCTGTTTCATCTTGGATATGGAAAAATACCTTAAGAGACTGTACATACTCAATGCAGTATGTTGTGAGTGAAACAGTTCATTGTCAGACAGAGATCAAGGTTCTAGTCCTTCTCTGGATTCAGTCTCGTAACCTCTCGGGGCCTCAGTTTCCATGTGTATAAAACACATTGGAAATTATCATTATTGTTATCTGAAAACTCCATTACACTTTTGCTATCAAGTACAAATTTATGTTAAACATTTCCAGTTAGGATTTAAAGACAAAGCTACCATGACACTATCTCCCACTGTGGTATTTCAAGAGGAAAATTAGACTCCTTAAAGCCCTCTATTTGACTTCTTAGAGTTAACTCATTCCTCTCTTCCACAATTTAGATCAAATACAGGAAAAACTATGAAAAATCAAAGGACAAATTTACCTCAGTTGTGGACACTCCAGAACACCTGCGTACTACCAAAGTCAACAAACAAATCAGTGATGTAAGTACAAGAAACACTGAATAGATTCTCGAACTCGGGAGGCATTTGCAAATGTGGAGGGGCATTTTGGATTGTCACAATGTCTGGGAGACCACTGCCGGTTGGTGGGAGGAAGGCAAGGGTGCTCAATGTCCTGTTCTGCACAGGATTCTTCTAGTACAATGAAGAATTGATTCAACCAAACTGGCAAACACTGAGACCTCAGCCGAGAGCATGAAAGCACCTGTTGAATCTACAGAATTCTCTTTCCTATATATTCTCTAAAGAAAAAAAAACCCTTTGTATTTATATTTTTATATTGTCAATTAAGAAGCATGACGTTGTGTCTTTCTACTTTTTAATCTCCCGCAGATACTTTATAAGCTGGAATACAACAAGGCCAAACCCAGAGGCTACACCACCATCCACGACACGCCCATGTTGCTGCACGTTCGCAAGGTCAAAGATGAAGTCAGTGATGTAAGTCCCAGATGGTTTGCAGTCCCTCTCATCTTGACCTCTTTCTAACATGATATAACAAACCATAATCCAATGATCCATTCCTATGTAACAACCACCCTAAAACTTAGTGGCTTAAAATAAGTCATCTATTTTGCCTGTGATTCTGAGTTGACCGGGCACAGCTGGGTAGTCCTACTCCATGTACTGTTGACAGACAGCTGAGGCTCAGCTGGGCCAGGACATCTCAGGTGGCTCATCCCCTGGTTAGCAGTTGGTGGTGGCTGTGGGCTGGGAGCTCGGCTGCTGTATAGACAGGAACCCCTCCATGTGGCCTCTTCACAGCCCTTGAGCATTTCCCCAGATGGCTCTCCACATGGCTTGAACATATCCTGGGGCACTGATAAGAAATTAATATTAATTTCCAGGCCTTTCCCCTACAGATACTGATTAGTAATTTAGTAAACTAAGTCTATGGTGAAGCCCAGAAAATTGTGATTCGTATGATCAGTTTAGTGAACCCTACTATAGTTTAGAGCCATACTTTGGTTCCTAACCAGTGTACTTAGGACAGTTTACATTGGCCTTAGTCACACTAAAACCTAGGATTCCTTCCCCAATAATCAGTGAGAAGACCCAGACTGGGCCCCAAGACCCTGAAATTTAAGAGGAGCGAAAGTGGGTAAAGCTAGAAGGCCCAGGAGGGAGAAACCAGCTGTTGGGCCTGCAGAAGCTAAGGCTTCCTGTGCCTCTCCCTCCCACCCAAACCCGCACAGCCCCAAACTTGCCAGATGCGTCTCCAGCAATCACAGTAGTGTTGACATCCATCGGTTCATTCATTCATCAAATATTTACTGAGTTTCCATGTGCCTGACACTAGGAATGAGACGATGAATGGCATGTGATCTTTGCCCTTCAGGGGTTTAACTTAATGGAAAGAATAGGCAGATAAACAAATAATTACAACATGACATGATAACAGCCAGAGCTGTGGGAACATAGAAAGAGAGCAAGACTAATTCTGTTCCGGTGAGCTGGTGGAGGAGGGTTTCTCTCCCATCTGCAGTTTTCAAGATGTTCTGAACTCAGGATTTTCTGATTTAGGAAGGGGAAAGCACGCATGGATAGCTATCCAACTGGCCCTCCACACATGCTCGGGGACATAAGTTATATGGCAACACTGGCGACCACAATGTGCCCTGGGGAGCTGGTTTGAAGAGCTGAGATAGGAAGGGGCATCCCTGCAAAGCTGCCTCCTTTCTTCACAGCAGATTTTTTTCAGTCCATCTTAAGGAGCATTGTGTACTATAGTCATGCATAATTTCTTATTTTTTAAAATGCTTCGTATGCTGCTATAAAAAATTAACCTTGTCACTGTGTTTCCTCCCACAGCTGAAATACAAAGAAGTTTACCAAAGAAATAAATCTAACTGCACCATTGAGCCAGATGCTGTTCATATCAAAGCAGCCAAGGACGCCTACAAAGTCAACACCAACGTAAGTTCCAGAAACTTCCCCAAGCCTGATGGGGGGTTTATCAGCTTCTGTGGGACACATGGCCTCTTTTCACATCTCTCCAAATGACTGGGCTCTAGTGAGTCTGGGGCAAGAGCCAGGTCCCAGGAGCACGAGTAATGATGCCAGGTGGTCCTCCCAGAGAATCATGGGGAAGAGCCTCATCCTTGCCACGTTACTCCCACTCAGCCTTCGGGGTGGGTGGCTGAGAAATGGGACATTTAATTCTGAAATGAAGGTTGCATCTTGGAAGGTGCCTCAGCGTATCTCATCCTCTTCCCCTGTGCTCTCCTCCTGCCCCCAACTCAAGAGCCTGCTTCTTCTGAAGGAGAAAACACTGAGCCATTTGGTACTTTCAGGAGTTAATCTAGTCCTTCTTCCTACTCATATATTCCCTGCACTGACTCTTTTCTTTGGGTGGGGCATCTTAAAGCCCCAACCACAGAAAAATATTCTGCATTAAGATGAGCACCGACTTCTTTAAAAATATAAAAAATGGCTGGTACAACGAAGCCATTATTATCCAACTAGTGCCCACTTGTGCCAGAGGAAACAAATATTTATAGGGCTGGCAAACTGAAATGCCTGTAGGAGCTGCCAGGTAGCTTGCAGCCATCCTGTGGATGGATTGAGGATGGGTAAGGGATAGAAGAAGAATAGACATGGCATAAAGCAAATGTAGCAAAGTGTGCATTACAGAATCCAAGTGGTGGTTGTCTGGGTATTCTCTGTAATATTCTGGCAATTCTTTTGTGTGTCTGAAAAATTTCACAATAACATGGGAAAAAAACTCATCACATAGTATACATAAAAGCATGTGCATTGTATTGTATATAAATTAGGCCTCAATAAGAAGAGAGAGAGAGAGAGAGAGAGAGAGAGAGAAAGCAAAAGGATAAGGGAAAAAATGTGCCTGATAGTAAGGGTCTCTATCAAGGACAGTCAGATTCAGTTACACACACTTCTGTGGCTCAGATTTGGCCCAAGGCAGCCAGTTCTCCAGGCCGGAGATCCTAGAAGGCGTGCAAGTACCTCTGAAGCCAGTCTGCCCGGGTTCGAATCCCAGCGCCACCATTTGCTGGCTGTCTCACTTTGGGCAACTTACTTCACCCCTCTAGGCAGTTCCTCAGCTGGCTATTCCTTGCAATTGTTACGAAGATTAGAGAAGTTAATTTTATAAAATTTTCTGATTTGTTTAATTCATTTTTATAATTTGTAAAGCCCTTAGAAAAGTGCTTGGCAGAAAATAAATACCTGAAGTGTGTTTAATAATTTTTAAAAATTAAGCCTGAATTTAGTTATGAATTAACAGTACTTGATTCTGAAGGTAATTCCTCTGAATCGGCAGAGTGAGGAGGACTGCAGGATCATTTCACATGGAGGCCTTTTACAATTTTAGCTCCTCTTATGGGACCAAAAGTTCCCAACAGATGACCTCTGAGCGACTGTGTAGCTGCATACATTGTACAGAAATTTGCCTTGGGGCTCGCTCTTGCACGAAGAATCATGATTTGTGGAGTGCTAACCTGCGAGGGTCCCTCTGGGCCACCTGTGTTTGTGAATTCAGCCTGCTGCAGGAAGTGACGCCTTTCTCTCTGGTTGACCACAGCTGGACTACAAGAAGCAGTATGAAGCCAACAAAGCCCACTGGAAGTGGACCCCCGACCGACCGGACTTCCTCCAGGCCGCCAAGTCCTCCCTGCAGCAAAGCGACGTAAGACAGGACAGACCTGAGAAATAAAATGATCACTCGTGATAACCACTGTCTCGGGGTTGACCCAAGCTCATTTGAGACCCGAGGAGGGGAGGAGGGTTGGAGAAGTGAAAGGCAAGCTCGGGAAGCAAACCCAGCCATGGAGCCTGGTGTCCCCCGGCTGGGCCAGGACACGAGTGGCTCAGAGTCCTGCGTGAGGCTGTGCAGGGCCTGGAGGGTGACTGGGACGGGGAGGGCAAGGTCCTGGCAGCTGGGCTGGGAAGGAGGCGTCCAGAGTGCAATGAGGGATCAAGAAACCCTCGTTCTGGCAGCAGGTCCTCGTTATCCCGTATGAGGACGCCTTGTGGGTTTAAGCAAATGCCCAGCTTTCTCCTCAGCCTACGACCCTCTCCCGCCTCCTCTGCCTTTCTTCCCTAACAGTTTGAATATAAGCTGGACCGAGAGTTCCTCAAGGGTTGCAAGCTTTCTGTCACGGATGATAAAAACACGGTGCTGGCCCTCAAGAACACCTTGATAGAAAGTGATGTAAGTATCCCCTTCCTCCCACGATGCCCAACCTCTCACAGGGCCACCCCTTCTGTGGCACAGTCTGGAAAGGACACCCGGGGAAGGACAGAGGAGAGCTGCTTCTGCTGGGGCTCAGGTGTGCATCCTGCAATAATGGCCTTGCCCTCCGTAGACACCAGGGGTCAAACAACAGCAGCAGTGCAAGCACCAGTAAATCCTGGTGACAGTTCTTGATTTGTGCTGTACCGCCAGCACAAGTAGTTCACACCCCGGGAACTAGGACTCTGAAAGCCCCACTGGATTCTACACAGAAATGTCATCACTTGTTCTCTGCAGGATCATACTCTTCCTTTACATACAGCTTCCTCGTCTGTAAAGAAGGAATAATAATGCCTCCCAGGGTTTACGAGAGCATCAGTGACATATTTGAGAAGGCTTTGAATTAAAGTCTGTATAAAGATTCATCATGAAATCCATTTTGATTGTTATTAAGACCACAACTTGCAAGAGATAAGGAAAAACACCCTTTGACTATTTCCCAAGATTTCCAAACATCAGATCTTTTATTGAATTTAGCGTTCCTTCTTTGTCAATGATGCTGTTCTCCCAGCTATAATCTAGTGATTCAGGGGCATAAAAATATGTAGGATGCCCAGGGGAGCCAAATAAATGCTTTTTTCCCCCTACCCATACAGCTGAAATACAAAGAGAAGCACATCAAGGAAAGGGGAAGCTGCCATGCTGTGCCTGACACTCCTCAGATCCTGCTGGCAAAGACTGTCAGCAATCTGGTGTCCGAGGTAACCCACCCCCCACGCCACCCCCACGCGCATATGCTCTGCCTTCGGTCCTGGGCTAATGCCCCGGGCACACACCTTAACCAGCTCTCTGTGGATCCCCCAGAACAAGTACAAGGACTATGTCAAGAAGCACTTGGCCCAAGGCTCCTACACAACCCTGCCGGAGACCCGGGACACTGTCCATGTCAAGGAAGTGACCAAGCATGTCAGTGACGTAAGTGACCGCAGCCGCAGGACACTTGGCAGCAGCAATGCCACTCTGCTGTAGAATCCGATGACCAATGAAAACTGCGAGCTGCCCTTTTCCTTACGCATGCGGCTTCAGTCTTACCACCAATACCCTTATGGGAATCTGAAACTCTCATTTTCAAAAGGATCCAGTATTTATTGGCTTTCCAGTTCTGGCAACTATGACAGTTGTGAGTTTTGCTACAGGACAGGTGATCTAGCAATATAAGATGTTACTAACCCTAGTGTCAATAGCAGGAAGAAACATTGCTGATTCGGTGTGGCCTCTGCTATCGTTAAACTACTAAACAATTTTAGAGAGGTCAAATCACCTCTTTGTGCCTCAGTAATCTGTGCCCACTCTCTCCTTACCAATAATGCTGTAGTAATCCTGACATTTAACATTATATTTTATGAGTCCCATATGGTTCCATATAATTTTAAAAGGTAGGAATGGTAAGAATTTAATTTGCTTACACTCAGTTCTCCCAAGATTGCCGGGTGGTTCTAGTGTTGGGTTCCAGGACAGAAAGGACGAGGAGAACTTAGGATATAGGTCAGAGATCTATATCCCAGACTGATGCCAAAATGGGAAGTCATGGACCTCTTCAAGTAAACTAATTCTGTTCCCAACTTCCTCTGCCCACATAAATAATTCTGGCTCTGTTTAGACAAATTACAAAAAGAAGTTTGTCAAGGAGAAAGGAAAATCCAACTACTCCATTATGTTGGAGCCACCAGAGGTGAAACATGCCATGGATGTGGCCAAGAAGCAGAGTGACGTGAGTTTTCCCCTCTTGATGTTCTCAGGGGCCCCTTTGAAGCAGTGGATCCCAAAGTGGTGCATGTTTTTATTTTTCCCGGGTCTGGGAACTCTAATTTCTTTATCTGGTAGTTTAAAAAATTTCGGGGTGGGAATTGATTTGGTTTTAAGGAAAAATGTTGCTCGTGCTTAATGAGGACTCTTGGAAAGATAGCATATCTGTCAAGTGAGTAAACTTTTCTTCCCCAAACAGGTCGCTTACAGAAAAGATGCCAAAGAGAACCTGCATTACACCACCGTGGCCGATAGGCCAGACATCAAGAAAGCCACGCAGGCAGCCAAACAGGCCAGCGAGGTAAGGCTGTAGTTAAAATGTTCCTGGTCCCCAATGGCCACTGCCAAGTAGTGCAAGGCACCCATCACCTACTTGCTCATTCTGGTTTTGTCTGATTCAGGTGGAGTACAGAGCCAAGCACCGAAAGGAGGGCAGCCATGGGTTGAGCATGCTCGGTCGCCCAGACATCGAAATGGCCAAAAAGGCAGCCAGGCTGAGCAGCCAGGTAAGGCAGATGGGCAGGCAGCAGCAGCCTCACTGTGAGGGGGTTTGCAAGACCTTGCAGGAAGAAGTGATTCCCAGAATGAAAGCGCAGCGTTACCAACAAAAGAGATACTGGGTCTCTAGTAGCACTGCAGAGCTTTGACAAGTTATGTCATGGAAAGTGTGCTGAGGACCTTCTCCAACCTGTCTAGGCCTTTCTTGTTCTCCAGTTATTAATTCACAGGTATTTGTCTAGGTGTCTGTGTGCTTAAATATCTTCATGTGACAAAAACATCAGCTCACGAGGGCCTATTGGACCCTCTCCCCAGGCAATAAGAATTACACCTGAGGGTCTGTGGTAGACTTGTTAACATGCAAGAGTCATGAAATTCTAATTTCTAGAACCCAACCAGATGGAAAAAATTCAGCCTACATATATTGACTGCCTGGGCTAGGGTCTAGGGATGAGTTGATGTCTTCAGACAACTTGTCCATGGATAAATAATTACAATTTGGTGTGACAAGTGTTTGATGAAGGTATGCACCAGGTGCTGGGGGGAGAATGCCTCATTCTAGCAGATTTCATATGACTGAGAAGAAGATGGACTCAGAAATGTATTTCCCAAACTCAATGACCACATTACCTCATTTCCCTTGTTGACTCAATTATCTAGAATCGCCTTAAATTATGACATGTTTTCAGACTTTAGCTCAGAGACCCCATAATCTGCCACCAGATCTTTCAGAGAGCAAGTTTGGTCCCATGAGACTTTAACTCAAGAATATCTTATTTCACATCCAATTTAGAGATCCTACTTTCTTCTTCTTTGTTCTCTCAAGTATCATTTTGAAGAAATAGGTTTGAGATGTATTTGGGGGTTGTATGTGTCTTGATATTCAACAATACCAAACATGGAATTCTAATCTTTTGGAAGATATAAAGTAGTAATGTCAAGTAATAAAACAAGTCAGAATTATGAAAAGAGAAAAGGTTCAAGCAAATATGACTGGTAACAAGCAAATACGATTTTTAAAAATTTTTGAATTTAAAGTTCCTATGCAATATTTTTATTATAAATCAGTGGAATTGTATAAGCATTTGCAACCAAGATATTAGCTCACCAACAAAAAGACAGAGAAATCTCTAAGAGTCATGAAATGAAACAAGAACTTATTAATGTAAAAAACATTAATGTGTTTTTAAATGTCCAAGGTCATACCATTATCAAGTTAAAAACAAAGAAATAGGCTGGGTGCGGTGGCTCACACCTGTAATCCTAGCACTCTGGGAGGCCAAGGCGGGCAGATCGTTTGAGCTCAGGAGTTCGAAACCAGCCTGAGCAAGAGTGAGACCCCGTCTCTACTAAAAATAGAAAGAAATTAATTGGCCAACTAATATATATAGAAAATATTAGCTGGGCATGGTGGTTGGTGCATGGCTGTAGTCCCAGCTACTCGGGAGGCTGAGGCAGTAGGATTGCTTGAGCCCAGGAGATTGAGGTTGCTGTGAGCTAGGCCACGGCACTCGCTCTAGCCTGGGCAACAAAGTAAGACTCTGTCTCACAAAAATATAAAAAATTAAAAATAAAAATAAAATAAAGACAAAGAAATGACTTTGATGGTGATATTTTGAACATTTCACTGCTTTTGAAAATGGAGGGGCTCCACTTCTAATCCTAAGTGAATCCTATGGGATGGAGACGGAACCTAACAAGACCCTCGCATGAGCTCAGCTTCCTGGGTTCACTTCCTGTGGAAGGCTGGCCTTGGGATTGACAGCTTCATGGTGTGGCCCCTGGCCCAAGAAAGCTCAGGCCAGGTGTAGGCTGTCCCCATTCTGACTTTGCTGTCTTGCTGCGTACTCTAGGCGGAATACCTCAAAGGCCAAAGGAGAGGGCACGGCGCCGCGTCTTATGACACCCCTATGATGAGGCATCTTAAGAAAATTAATGTACTCATCAGCGATGTAAGACTGAGACCAGCAAGGCAACATCTCTGTCTTCCTCTTATTCTCTCTTCTATCTCCTTCGCCTTGGTCAGGAGACTGACCAAGCTGCACTCTTTTCTGTTGATTTTGTGTTGGAACATGTAGAATGCTGTGGAAATTTGTCGAAGGATGTAGTTTTGCACACACCCCTCTTTTCCTGCATGAAACTTTCCCTCTGGAACGTACTACTTGGGATGGGAAGGTAGACTGGACGTGGACATGGCCTCCCAATGTACAGTGGGTTGCCGACACTGATCAGCTTGCACGATGAAATGAAAAACAGCACTGAGAATCTCACGCCAGCCACACAAAGAAAACTTCTGCTTCTTCTGAAGTTATTTACCTTAAGAGGGATATTCAATATAGTCTTTCAGTTCAGGCCTACTATGAATCAACACAATAAACTTTTTTTTTTTTTTTTTTGAGACAGAGTCTCACTTGCTGCCCAGGCTAGAGTGAGTGCCGTGGCGTCAGCCTAGCTCACAGCAACCTCAAACTCCTGGGCACAAGCAATCCTCCTGCCTCAGCCTCCCGAGTAGCTGGGACTACAGGCATGTGCCACCATGCCCGGCTAATTTTTTTTCTATATATATTAGTTGGCCAATGGATTTCTTTCTATTTTTTATAGTAGAGATGGGGGTCTCACTCTTGCTCAGTCTGGTTTCGAACTCCTGACCTCGAGCAATCCGCCCTCCTCGGCTTCCCAGAGTGCTAGGATTACAAGCATGAGCCACCACGCCCGGCCCACAATAAACTTTTAATAGCTTTTCTAATTCGTAGGACTGCTATTCAGTCTGTAGAAGCGCCAATATACAGCTCAATTCCCTGAAAAGGAGCTGATCAATTAGATGTTTGATGCCTAAATATAATTAAACTGTGGAAAGAATAATTTAGTCAAAATCGCTTTCCTACACTGCATCCATAATAGGCCCAGTATCTGAACCTGCTGGGATTATAAACGCCTGCAATGCCACTTGCTGATACGTGGCATCACACACTTGCCTCTCGGCTTCCATAGTTAACAAGAAAAAAATTTTTTACCATCCCTTAATGCCACAATTCCATAATGCTGTATGTAGTTTTACTACATTACTGCCTTGTCCAGTACCATTCTAAGAATTCCCAGAGTCCTGAATCTGATACATGTCCTTTCTTTTCAAAATGCAATAGTTTTAAGATCTACTAAAAAAGGAAGGCCAAATATGCTAAACTCAGATGCATATTAGTAGTTGTGCTGGGTCGCATTTGCCTGAGGGCCTTCTTATGGAGAGGGGAGGCATAACTTTTTTGCAGTTAAAAGTTGGAAATTTAAGTCAACTTGAAACAAACAGAAGAAAAAGAAACTAAAGTGGAATCAATGGAATTGCTGCTCTTTAAATAAATATTTATTCAGAAACAAGTTATTTTTCTAACAGAAAGAAGGACTTTTAGCATACTTCTAAAAGAAGTGGATTTTCTTCTCATCTGAGATGGGCTTTTGCTTCTTTTCTTCCCCACTTCTGGCTCTGCACACCTGGTTCACTTTGCTTTTCTGCGTTTCATAGCTCTTGGGAGCGTCACTAGTCTTGACGCTCTATCCCTAAGGAAAAGTTGCCTTTGGGTCCAGACACAAACTCACCACCTCTGACTTTCCTTAGCAGGCTTTCCATTTCTTTATCTTCAGCATGAATTTCTTTCAGAGAAGAGCCATTGTAGCCTTTGTCCACATTTCAGTTTTTTATTACTGTATGTTGTGTTATCTGCACTGCCTTTGTGTGTCCGTGTCAGTGTGCCTGCACCATGCTCATCTGCTCTGCATGCTTGTTTTTTGTCTGCATTTCCACTGAGCATCTATTCAAAGTGAAGGCGTCTCAGCACTATGAATGCATTTTCTCTGATGTGGCAGATTTCCTTGTTTTTAGCATTTGAGTGGTCTCAGTTCATGTCTGTTCTGCTGGTTGTGCCAAGTTGTGGAGAAGTGAAATACAGTGAGGAAGCATGAGGGGGTATTGGCATTAAATGTCTACAGAGTGACATGTCCCAGCAAATGGATTCTGCTGTGCTAACTTTGGATGGGTGAATCTTTCATCTTATCAATAACAGAAACTCTAGATATCTCTGAGAGTTAACTATTGATTGCCCTTTTAATTGGCTAACACCTAGAAATAGCTCATTTTCATTCTTCCTAGAATGAATAATCAGTGGAATTCTACTTCTGGACTTAATCCTACAATACTATTGACAAAGGCATCAGCTTGTGTTTCAATAAGAAAATGTTTCTGTCACTTTCAGTTATTCTGTTGAATTTTCCTATAAATGAATCATCTTCTTAAGATATTTGACCTAGGCATAATGGCTATCTCTTCCTTTCGTCCAATTAAATCACATTTATTGAGCAACTATTAGTGCCAGATATTATGCTTATTTTTTAAATCAGGGTTATTTAGCCCTTTTCATATTTTGACTTTTTTGTATCCTAAAAGTATATATATGGGTTTTTTTGGAGACAGAGTCTTCTTTGTCACCTAGGCTGGAGTGCAGTGGCACAATTAGAGCTCACTGCAGCCCTGAACTCCTAGACTTAAGTGATCCTTTCCCTTCTGTCTCCTGAGTAGCTATGACTGCAGGCATATGCTTGCACTTGGCTATTTTTTGTTTGTTTGTTTTTGTAGAGATGAGGTCTTGCAATGTTGCCTAGGCTGGTCTTGAACTCTTGGACTCAAGTGATCCTCTTGCCTTGGCCTTCCAAAGTACTGGGATTATAGGCATGAGCCACTGTGCCTGGTCTAAAAGTATATTTAATCTTATTTTTCTTATTATTCTGAAGTATCTCACTTTTTTCTTACTTCTAGTCTGAAATTATACTTAAGACCATTAACCCCCAAACTCTAATTTTTTAACTCAGAAGTTGTACCATTTTGGCCAAGTTTTAAAACTTTTAAATGATATAGCCAAAGTACTATTTTAAAATAACAACAAATTCTCCTAATTTAACAGATTCCTCACTTTTCAACCTTCTTGATCATTTCCAACCCCTCTTTGAATTTCTTACAGAAGACCTAAAATGCTCTTGGATCTGCTAGTTTCAAGGGCCGCAATGCTCCAAAACAAGTATATTTGATCGCTTGTCTGAATATAATCTGAAGCTTTTTCCACTTGTTTTTGTTTTGCATTAGAAAGAAGTAATTATTTTTCATACCTCTGGATACTATGAAAGTGAGCAAAGCCAGTACTGTATCACACAGTCTTATTCTTTATAGCCTGCTGTCCTGACATAATTATCCATTATTATAATAGTGCCACCTTTTAGTCTTAAAAATGTCCCAGTTTAGATAATAAGTCATGTGATCACTTTATGTGTAATGCATATTCTTTGGCATTTATGTGTCTGCCATTCCTCAGTTCCCAAACTGATTGATGTCCAAGAATAATTTGGATGTTTGTATTTGCTGTTAGGTAAAATACCGTGAAAATTTCGACAAAGAGAAGGGCAAGACACCAAAATACAATCCGAAAGAAAGCCAGCTGTACAAAGTCATGAAAGATGCTAATAATCTTGCAAGTGAGGTATGTTTTTCAAATTGCAATAAAATATATAACATGATATTTACCATTTTAACTATTTTAAAGTGTACAATTCAATAACACTAATTACATTCACAATGTTCTTCAACTACCATCACTATTTCCAAAACTTTTTCATACCAACAGAAACTCTATAACCATTAAGCAATAGTTCCCTATTCCTTCCTCCCCTCAACCCCTATAACCTCTATTCTACTTTTTGTCTCTATGAATTTGCCTATTTTAGAGATTTCATGTAGGGTGGAATCATATTTGTACTTTCATGTGTGGCTTATTTCACTTTGCATAATATTTTCAAGGTTCATCCATGTTGTGGGGTATATCAGAACCTCATTCCTTTTTATGGCTCAATAATATTCCATTATATGTGCTCACTGCATTTTGTTTATCCATTTTTCTGTTCCACCTTTGGCTACTGTGAATGAGCATTTGTTTCCTGATGAGATATCTAACTATGATTTCCTTAGGCTGTTTTCCATTTCCTAATTATGTGATTTCCTTTTCACTCCTCACCATGTAGGTTAAATATAAGGCTGACCTGAAGAAACTTCACAAACCTGTGACTGACATGAAGGAATCTTTGATAATGAACCATGTCCTGAATACCAGCCAACTTGCCAGTTCTGTAAGCTCAATTGTTTGCTGTAGAAGCAGCCTGTTTCACCCATCTTGCAACTAAATTCTTTCTCTCAGCCCACACGTATCTTCTTCTGCGCTATTGATACACTAGATTTATTACAAAGATGTGCTCTTGTTTGAGTGTAGTCTTCCAAATTACAGCACTAATCTACCAATTCTCTGTTGACCACAATGCCTCTCAGAATATAAAAATACATTTTTAGAATATCTAAATGTTTTTTTTTCAATTAACCATTCCCCTTTCTCCCTTTAAGGACATAGAATTACCATCTGGAATAGTTTCTTTCACCTTTAACTTTTTAATTATAACACCTACTTTGAATATGCCACATCACCTGTTTACATCTGGTAATAACTGACAATACTGAACTTGGATCTTCCATCTTTGAAAATGTTTTCTTAATCCCCAATTGAGTGCTTGCTAATTTTAGTTTGGTCTTGACAATGCTGCCGTGCAAATGTCTAATCTAAAGGGGAGAAATGGGAGTGCTGAGCAGCTTTTGCACTAATGTGCCCTTTTGCCACCTCTCCCTTAGTACCAGTACAAGAAGAACTATGAGAAGAGTAAAGGCCACTACCACACGATACCCGATAACTTGGAGCAGCTGCACCTAAAAGAGGCCACCGAGTTACAGAGTATAGTAAGTTGATCAAGCACAACTTTTTCCTTGATGCACATTCATCTCTGTACAATGTAAAGAAATTTCATAGATTCCCTCCAGGATAGGAGCTATACTCTTTTTTTTTTTTTTTTTTTGACACAGAGTCTCACTCTGTTGCCCCAGCTAGAGTGCTATGGCATCAGCCTAGCTCACAGCAACCTCAAACTCCTGGGCTCAAGTAATCCTGCCTCAGCCTCCTGAGTAGCTGGGACTACAGGCATGCGCCACCATGCCCGGCTAATTTTTTTTAATATATATTTTAGTTGGCCAATTATTTCTTTCTATTTTTAGTAGAGATGGGGTCTTGCTCTTGCTCAGGCTGGTCTCGAACTCCTGAGCTCAGAAGATCCATCCACCTCGGCCTCCCGGAGTGCTAGGATTACAGGTGTGAGCCACTGCGCCTGGCCAGGAGTTATAGTCTTAACAGTCATTGTTGAAGAAAATGCATAAAGCTATAAGGGACTTTGAATTTAGAAACATTTTTAACCAATTTTTTATGTTATAAATTATAACAGCATCTATATATAGTAGAAATATACATATGCAATATATGTAATTCAGGTTACTGACAGGGGCTGAAAGCATAAAGATTGTGTTATGAAAGAAGATAAACCCCTCACAGTAACCCTGATGTGGCCCATGAGTTTGTGTCCTGGGTTGGGAAACCCTTCCATGGATGATATATGGAGTATTTCAAGCAGAGAAGTGACAAGATCCGATCTACCACTGAAGGAGTCTTTGGGAATTTAAGAAGTGGCTGAATGTGTAAAATACAGTCATGCACCACATGATGTTTTGGTCAATGACAGCCTGCATATATGACTGTGGTTTCATAAGATTATAATAGGGCTGCCCTATACAGGCATACTGTTTCTTTATCTTTTATATTGTATTATTACCATACCTTTTCTATGTTTAGATATGTTTAGATACACAAACACACACCATCGTGGTACAATTGCCTGCAGTGTTCAGTACAGTAACTTGCTGCACAGGTTTGCAGCCTTGGAGCTAGAGGTGATGTTATATAGCCTAGGCACGTAGTACGTTGCACCACCTCGGTGTGTGTAAGTGCACTCTGTGATGTTCCCACAATGATGAAATTGCCTAACAATGCATTGTCACAACAGATCCCAGTCATTAAGCAACCCATGACTGTAAATGAAGATTCCCAGAGGAAAGAACTTGCTATCACATGACCTCCGACATCACAAATTCAGCATTATTTAGGTCCCCTGCTGGGCATTAACCAAGAGGGCTAAATTACTAGAAGTGTCCTCATGTCATCTGTAAAGCAGCAAGTGCTCCCAGGCTTCTATTGCAATGTCTAGTTACAACCAAGAGCGCTAAGACTGAGTGTTGCCTTTAGGTGCTATGTGAAAAAGGGCACTTGTCTTTCTGTCTTTCCTCGTCTCCCCTGTGAAATGTGAATATTTATGTGGCTCCCCCCTATTCCTCATTACATGTTAGGAGGATGAGGACTTTCGATTTGTAAAACAGCCTTGGAGGTCTTTTGAGAATGTCAGATTTATAAACTAGCCAGTCAACATGTAAATTAGTTTTCATTTTTATACCAATTGATATTGGCTGCATTAACTATATGACCAGTTATGACCCAGAGAGAGGTGTTCACTTATAAATGAAGCTGCATGTGTTATCTCTCCAGTCAAGACCCCAGGTCTCTGATAAAAGTTCTTATGAAATAAAAACTGAAGATTTTTGTCGGAAATATTGATTAATGCTATTATTAAAGTGTTTATACCCGCACGTCAACTCATGGCCAACTTGATCTATGGGCAATTTTTCCCATGCGTTTTTCTTGCATCAGCATTTCTCTCAGCTGATTGTTGTCAGTGATTCTTTTTTTTTTCCCTTGAATTAATTCCAAATCCTAATTATGCCTTGCAGACAGTATTCCCCCCACTCCACACCCTTCCCCACACAATAGCAAAAAGGCACTAGATCTGAAACACAACAGAAAACTGCTTTTTTTGTTTTTTGAAGACAGAGTCTTGCTCTGTTGCTCTGGGTAGAGTGCAGTGGTATGAACAGAGCTCACAGCAAACTCAAACTCCTGGGCTCAACCGATCCTCCTGCCTCAGCTTCCTGAGTAGCTGGGACTGCAGCCATGTGCCATGATGCCGGCTAATTTTTCTACTTTTAGTAGAGATGGGATCTCACTCTTGCTCAGGCTGGTCTTGAACTCTTGAGCTCAAGCGATTCTCCCACCTCGGCCTCCCAGAGTGCTTGGATTACAGGTGTGAACCTCCCAGAGTGCTAGGATTACAGGTGTGAACCAAGGCGCCCAGCCTTGAAACTGTTTTGAGTGGCAGTGAGGTGCCACCCAATTGGACATAATGTATCAATTAATGAGCACTAGCCTGAAACTGGTCTCTGTCTAGGAATTGACCAGGGGCTCTCCTAACAAGGCTTTTTATCACCAGGTGAAATACAAAGAAAAGTATGAAAAGGAACGAGGAAAGCCCATGTTGGACTTCGAAACACCAACGTACCTCACTGCCAAAGAGTCTCAGCAGATGCAAAGCGGGGTAAGTCCTACAAGAACACACCACACAACAACAATACCATCAAGGTAATGAACACAGCTCTGCCCACAAGCACATCCAGTTTTCTGTTATCCAAAAGTGGTATATGATGGAACTTTTTAACATGTAATTGCTAAAAATCCTCTCTATTTCATAAATCCTATGATTCAGTTATTTAAAAAAATGTTCTTAGTAGATATTTACCATGTATGTTTTATTTCAACAACTATTTTCATAAAATTAGAACATAGCAAATTATTCCTAACAATATAATTTGAATTTTTCTTTGATGAATGTAAAGGTCCCTCTGCACCATTGGCTTGGGGCTGCTGTACTCTTAGTAGGATGTCCCAAGCCAAACAAAAGGGCATCAGTGATCAAGATATTTATTCGAGACCCCAGAAAATCAAAAGTCAAGGTGCCACATTTTTAGAATTGCAAGCAAAAGCATTTAAGAAACAATTTTTTTTTCCATTTTTAACCAAGAGTGAAGAAGAATGGAATCTTATTCTAAATCTTAGTTTTCATTGGGAAACAGGCTTATTTGGAATTTCCGTTGCCTCTCCTGCCAGGGGCATATCTCCAACTATAAATGGTTTTTAATAAAAGTAGCATTTTGTGGAGCTTTCTGGTGTCTAGAAGACTAGGTCATTAAAACTTTAAAATTGTTTCAAACAATCAAAGGGTCTATGGGAATTTCTTATGCTATTCTTGCAACTTTTCTGTAAATTCAAAATTCTATTAAAATTAAAAAATTACAAAAGTGGAATTCCAACATCTATTCCAGGCTTCTTTGTGAGACAGCCTAGGCTGGGGTTTGAGGAGGGGACATAGGTGTGAACAAAATGACAGGATTTCTCAGTGTCTCATTATCTGCCTCATCTATTCAGTGATTAAAAAAAAATAGGTCATGATTATGAAAAAGGCCAACTTTGCATTCAGTGCCCTCAGGTTCTCTTTCTCCTGGAGTTTTTTTTTCCCCCTGAGTCACTTACTTCTAATTCTGAAATAAAATCTTCTGTCACCTTAAGGAAGATGTAGGAAAGTTTCAGGACAGATGACAGTGGATTCACATTCTTGGTGGTGCATTCATTCTTCTGCTTGGCCAGCCCCAGCCGAAAAGGTAGACAGAGGACTGGGTGGCCCATCGAAGTTTCTCAGCCTCTGAGCTTCCTTGGGGCCATCTTCTCTAGACAAAGTATTTCTAGAACAATCATACATGTTTCAAATGTGTGAACATTAGCAGAATTATGATTGAATAAAGAGACCATAGGTAGAAAGAACTGTAATTTTCTTTTTTATTTATTTTATTTATTTTTATTTTTTATTTTATTTTAGTGTATTATGGGAGTACAAGTGTTGAGGTTACTTATATTGCCCATGCCCCCCTCCCCCCGAACTGTAATTTTCTTTTCTTCCTAGGATTGAGAGATAAATTGTAACAAAGATTCCTTTTTAACTTGTCTTTCCTTCCTACTCACATTAGAAAGAATATAGGAAGGATTATGAAGAGTCCATTAAAGGCAGAAACCTGACTGGCTTGGAGGTCACACCAGCTTTGTTACATGTCAAATATGCAACCAAAATAGCGAGTGAGGTAGTGCCCACTTGGTCTTTTCTTTCCTTCTTGATCCAAATAATTGCACTAATGACCCTCCTTAATGTGTTCCTTCTACCACTTTCAGCATCACCTAACTGGGGGTTTCAAGTTGGGTTCACCTGTTTGATGCTACCACCTAATCAATTACCCATGTTAATTCTTCTAATTTCTTAATTGAATACCTAATAAAATGTGCTTACCTTAGCATTCCATTAATTTCTAGTTTTTTAGTTGTTATTTAATATTAACCGATGAAGCTTATACACTGCTTTTATTCATATCTTGACTTACTAAACTGTGAGCTGTTTAAAAATTGAAAGAGTTTTTGTGTTTTTTTTTTTTTTCTGGCTTTTTGACTCTTCACGTAAGAGGAACAATCTGGGCTTCCTTATCAGTGTGGTTGCTTTTATTTTGTGATATAGAAAGAATACCGGAAAGATCTAGAGGAAAGCATCCGTGGGAAGGGTCTCACTGAAATGGAAGACACACCTGACATGCTAAGAGCAAAGAACGCCACCCAAATCCTCAATGAGGTAGGCCCACAGCGACCACCCACACAAAATGAAAAGGGCATCTTCTCTCTCCCAGCCCAGTTACAAAAAAAAAAAAAAACGAAAAAAAAAAAAAAAAAATTCTCTCTCCCAGCCCAGTTACAAAAAAAAAAAAAAAGACAAAAACAGAGAAGAGACAAAAAGAGTTTTTGACTTTCAAATTCCATATCCAAGATGGTTATTAACCATTAAATAAAATATATCTCAATTTCTGATAAGTGGATATTGTAACAATATGTTTCTATAGTGGTTATCATAACCTATTATTTGCCTAATATCATTTTATTTTACCTTGACATAGTTGGTGTGCTCACTCATTGAAATAAAAACACGGCACTGGAGCGGTATGCACCTACATTTAATACTAGTTATGTGCCAAACCAGATTTACAATTTATACTCTAATTTTCTAAGTAGAGAATACTAAATGTATTCAAAAGGAGACTGTCTGTTGACTTACTGACATGTGTAGAACAGACTCCTACAGTGGGCTTCTGTGCACACCACTCCATCCTACATGTGGAACAGTGAGGATGAACTATTAATATCTTCTTCTCTTTTTTTGAGACAGAGAATCACTCTGTTGCCCTGGCTAGAGTGCTGTGGCATCAGCCTATCTCACAGCAACCTCAAACTCTTGAGCTCAAGCCATCCTTCTGCCTCAGCCTCCCGAGTAGCTGGGACTACAGGCATGCGCCACCATGCCCGGCTAAATTTTTGTATATATATTTTTAGTTGGCCAATTAATTTCTTTCTATTTTTAGTAGAGACGGGGTCTCACTCTTGCTCAGGCTGGTCTGGAACTCCTGACCTTAAGCGATCTGCCCGCCTCGGCCTCCCAGAGTGCTAGGATTACAGGTGTGAGCCACCGTGCCTGGCCATATTAATATCTTCTTAGCTAACAAGAGACACTGTGACAACTGAGGTGGCGTGTTATTTATGTGGATTTATGGTCACTCTGTACATTTACTACCTAGTAGTGAAAGTTAGGTAACTTTTTTTTTTTATTAAACGTTACTATAGAAAGAATATAAGCGAGATCTGGAACTGGAAGTCAAAGGAAGAGGCCTGACTACCATGGCCAATGAAACTCCAGATTTCATGAGGGCCAAGAACGCTACTGATATTGCCAGTCAGGTCAGTGTTACAATTCCATCTCAGTCTTTCAAGATCGTCATCGTGATGTTAAAGACACAATGCTGTCCCCCTGTCATGTTATTTGTCTGTCAGTGATAGTGAAATGTATACAGTGGCCTTCTTGAACATCTGCCTGGTGGAATCCATTCCAATGAAAGGATGAGGGACCCTTTGCCAGGCTTGTTTCTATCTGCCTTTCTGAGTCTGTAGCCACCTGGGGGCATTTGGAGTGAAGGGCAGAAGTTGAGAACCAAGGAGCTGCTTGGAGCTGGGGCAGACTCTGACATCCTGGCCTTGTCTCTCAGTCAATCCACTCCTCATTCGGCATCAAGAATTCCGTGCTTAGGATAACTTGGGAGTTCGTTCTTTCTTTCCCATCAAGCCCTAAGTTTAAAACGTAGTTTTAGGTATCTTACTGTATCTAATGCTAACTGATGTGGGTCTTTTGCTTGCTGGTCATTCTCCCAGCTCCTATGTAAACAATCCATGCCTCATTATCTGTTGATTATTTCTCTTCTTACCCATCCCTCACCCTGCACCCAGCTAGAAGGTAAGTCTGTCAACAGTTAGGACTCGACTTTTCTTGATGAGTCTCACTTTTGAGTATAAAGCTATAAACATAATACGAAAAAATGTTTGTTGAATGTCAAATGAATGAGTTCCTCTTGGAAAAAAAAATATTGATCACTTCTTAACCACTTCGGTACGGCGCTCGCTGGCCACGAAACCCTGCCCACAGCCTGCACTCATAGTCTGAATGATAGTTTGTGCTGTGCCTTGACAACGAATCCGTTTTGCTCTTGTGTCATGAGGAAAGCTTTAAAGCACTGAAAACTTGTTTTACTTTACAGGCAGCTTTACTTGTAATGTAAATCAGAATAGGTAACATGTACATATATGTTTTTATTACGTTATTTTTAAATGTTCACAATTTTATTTTGATAAATGAAAAATTAGAAAAGTCACATCATGGCTGTCGGCTAAGTCAACGCTGGACTGTGCGCGTTCATCTGTGGCCATTGACTGTAGTCAACGCTCATACCAAAGTGGTTAATCAAATCAAGCCAACAGATGTTGTACACATTGTAAATATTTACCCAACTATTGGGTGTCCTTTTACAGATTAAGTATAAGCAATCAGCAGAAATGGAAAAGGCCAATTTCACGTCTGTGGTTGATACTCCAGAGATCATTCATGCCCAACAAGTCAAGAACCTTTCAAGCCAGGTAAGCACGTTCATCAGATTATCACTCCTGGACCCCAACTGTGAAGAACAGAAGGCCTTCCATTAATAGGGCTTACTTTCAAATCACAGTTTTTCACAATAAAAAAGAAGGGACCTATGACGCCAGTTTGAGTAAGAGTTAAGATTTCTGTATCACAGTTAAAAGAGATTATAAGCGGGAATTTTAAGGTACCAAAGAACTTTTTCATGGTATAACTCATAAGTAATGAATCAATGCTTTAACATGTACAGTCTCATAATGTGGGTCTAAAATTTGCAAATGTGAAAGAAACAAAGTAGACAGCCCACATTTGGATTATCTATCTCTAACAAGACTGAGATGGTGTCACTAACCACATACTGTAACCATGATTCCTCCCATGGTGAACAACTCTCCATCTTCCCACAAATAGAGAGATGAAGAAAAGTGAGATGTCCTTCACACACCAGGATAGACACTCATTTGTGTTAATAATCTTCAATAATGATCAAGAATCTGTAATTTGTTTGAGTGGCCCCAAATTAAAATTTTTGCTTGTCTTCTGATCAATGAGTTCCAAAGCAGTGGTTTACCTGGCCTGGCTGTGCTTTATAAACACATGGGTGTGTAGATTCCCTGGTCCAACCCCGGAATTTTGAAGCTAGTAAATCTGAGGTAGGCTCTGGAAATCTGTTTTTGTTTATTGTTAATTTTGATCAATGATCTCTTAATAATGAATCAGGTTGGAGAATCATAGATTCAAACTCTTTACTGGCAACATATAGTTGTATATCATAAAATTGGACATGAAAAATATAGTTATCACTATAGAGTAGTTTAATTAGGAAACAGGTATATACAAATAGAAGAAATCAACCTTTTATTTGGGGGAGGGTAGGAATAGGGAAGAATAATTAACATTTTAAAAATTACCAAAATTATACGGGCCCCAAACTACCATGTTGTGTTCCCTGGGGGAGTCAGGGAGGCCAACATTCTTTGGGCTGATGCTGTTCTTTCCTAGGACAATGAGAACTGTTTTCCTTTATTTTGCATAGCTAAGAGTCATTCAGGTGACTTTTTCCTGAACAAAACATTTGTTCCCTGTGAACTGCCTTTTCCTTCAAGAAATCTTGGCTTTTACTGGCTTCTGGTTGGAAAGGCAACATCTAGGCCAAAATCTCTCATTGACTGAAACTGCTTCTTTGTTTATTGTCTTTGGGAAGATTAAAATTTCCGGTGCTTATGAATGTAATTCATATATTAATATAATACAATTTCGACGGATATAGGTAGACAGGATAGTTTTATCTCTATTACAAAAGCAACTGGTCCGTTTCCTCAACCCTTATCCCTACATACCCACATTTCCCTGAAAAGTAGGAGAAACCGGAGCTACATAAAGCTGGAGAGAAAAGTGAAAGGACATACTAATAAGTGATAAGAGAAAAACAGGGCTCTAAAGCGGAGTGAGTGCTCTGCTCTGGAGAGGAGAGGAGATCGGTTTGGTGGTGGGATTGACTGGGTAGGCGTCTGGGAGGAGGGCAGCCCCTGTGGGCACTCTGGCAGAAGGCTGGGGCAGGATGAGGAAGCCTGAGTAAAAGTGGTGGCTGGCTCAGAGCAGTCCTGGCTGGTCAGCTGGCCACGGTCTGTCCATTTAGTAAAGTCGCCAATCCTGTCAGGCTGGTTTCTGCAGTACCAGAGCTGTGTTCTGGAAATGCCTGCTGAGTACCTGCTCACGGCTCAGTGAACATCTCTAGTCAATGTCTCTGGTCACCAGCTAAGGCTTTCGGGAGGCCGTGTCCTCCGCTCCTAACCCTCCAGCTTCCCTCCGCCTGCCAGTTGAATAGTCTGGCTGAGTGGCTCCATCCAGCTCAGCACTGAGTACTGGAGGCATCTCCCTCCGGGCCTCCTTGGCCGTGATCTCCCTCATGTGGACCAGCCAGCAAGGGCCACCCTCTGCCAGCTTTGCCATGACACTGAGTCCTACTAAATGCCCGGGCTCAGTTCTGGTAAGGAAAGGTTTAACGCTCATGGACTGAGAGGGCTCTGCTTTGCAACTCCCTAACCTCCTTGGACAGTCAAGAAAATACAAAGGACTTTTCCTCTGCTGAGTTAGAAGGGCTATTTTAGGTCCCAATGGCTCATACCCCTGTGGCGTTCACCCTCCTTATTTCTTGGATTGTATTCCCAGAAAAAGTACAAGGAAGATGCTGAGAAGTCCATGTCATATTATGAGACTGTTCTGGATACCCCAGAGATGCAGAGAGTCCGGGAGAACCAAAAGAACTTCAGCCTTGTAAGTGTTTGCTGCATCCAAGGCAGTGCCCACTGGTACCTGGGCAGGCCGAGGAGGATGCCGCCTCTGGGCGCATCTTTGAGTAGCCTAACTCCACCACGGGGTGGTCGAGCAGCCTCCATAACTCCCGTCCATGCCTCAGGGAATGTGTGCTCCACTCTTCTCTGGGCTCACCTTATATTTCCATCTCAAATCACAGCATGAAAGACACCCACATGTTTCTTTGTTGGTGGTGTCGGGGAGAAGAGTAATCTCTTTTCCTCACCCATCGCAGGGTTCATGGCTTAGACCCCTATAACAAAAGATTAACAAGAGAAAAGCACACAAATTTATTTAATGTAAGTTTTATGGGACACAGGAGGCTTCAGAAATGAAGACCCAAAGAAACAGGGGAAGTCTGTGTATTTTTATGGACAGAAGTATGGTTGAACAAAGGGCGTGTGAACTAATGGTAACAAACTGGGGGAATTTAGCAAGTCCTGTTTGTTCAGATTCTTCTTAGCATTTCTGTGTCTTTGGCTCCTTTCCTTTGGGTCTCAGGAGGACCTTTCTGGAATGAGGGCCTTATGACCTACTTTAGAGTAAGGTCAGAGAGTTATTTTATTTTCTGCTTCAGGGAAAAACAGTGAGAGAAGGTCAGAGAAACCTTTGTGCTTCTGCTGTTTTCTCAAATGCCAAGGTGCCATATTTTGGGGCTAGCATGTCCCAAACCCCTTCGTTCAGTGGTTTCCTTTTACTGAATATGAACTATCACCATCTTCCATTAGTTGTGACATCTGTCTTTTTCAAAGCTAAATGTAACGGATACTTTTCTTAAAAACCACTAGTTTTATATAAGTTTTTAAAAATTAGTTTATCCACAAAATTATTATCAAATGACTTCCATTAGGCTGTCGGATCATGATTGTTGTGGCTAGACTCTTTTTTATTAAATAATATAGGATTTTAACTTCCTTTACACAATATAGGACAATTAAAAAAATAATAAAATTATGTTTAAAACTTAACAAGCTGTTTACTCTTTCTTCATAGCTCCAATACCAGTGTGACCTTAAAAACAGTAAAGGAAAAATTACAGTTGTTCAAGACACGCCAGAAATACTGCGTGTTAAAGAAAATCAAAAGAATTTCAGCTCGGTATATTTACTATTTATTTTCCATTTAATGCTAACCTAATAATTCCAGTCTCCTCTTTAAAAATATACTAGCCTCACACTGAAATAGACAATTAACATCTAACCTCTTCAGTTAATACTAGCAGTTAGTTGTTAAAATTCCTCATACTTTACTCCCAAATCATCTCTCCAGAGACCACAGGAAATAACTTAAATCTGCTAACCAAGTAACTTTTCTTTCTTTTCACATTTTTTAATCCCAGGGCGGTAACATGTGTTGTCTTACTCCGAGAAGATGGATTTCTTTTTGACATTTTGATTCCTTTTGTTATCCCTGCCCCAAATAACTGACTGACTTTGCCTTTCCTCAGTGGATTTTGTGTGTCACACGGGAGGGTTTTGTTGTTGTTGTTAATCAGCATTTCCTGGTTTTTCTCATCCTGTATTAATATGGTACAGTAATCTTCAAAGAAATCTCAAGCTCTGGAAAGTGAGCCGTGCTGTATTATTACCACACACGGTTTGGGTCTCTGACACCGATGTGGGAGGCGTCAGGCACTCGCCTGGGAACACCGGCCAGTGCCCTTTGTTTACACGGAAGCCATGTTCCCTAGCCTTTCTCCAGGGATTGCTGGCTTTCCCTTCCTTCTGTGTAACGCTGCCCTGCTTCTGGATGCCCAGGTTTTATATAAAGAAGATGTCTCACCAGGAACGGCGATCGGAAAGACACCCGAGATGATGCGAGTGAAGCAAACGCAAGACCACATCAGCGCAGTAAGGACACGGGGGACTCGCTTCCAGTATTTTCTGTCCCCCTTTCATACCGTGTTTCCCCGAAAATAAGATGGGGTCTTATATTTATTTTTCCTCAAGAAGACACCGTAGGGCTTATATTCAGGGGATGTGTTATTATTTTTTTTAAGTACGGTGCGGCAATCTACATTGACTCAAATATAGTTAAGTCGTGTCTTCTTCTGGAACATCATCATAACTCTCCAAACCCTGAATTCCATCCTGAATTTCTTGCGACTCTATTTCCTTTAGAACCATTGGCCCCAGTCTCTCATGTCGAGCAATAGAGCTCTCATAGGGCAGATGAGAAGGGCTGCTCGTCTTCTTTACCGCTCCACTGCAACAAAATGCATGGGTTGTGCAGATGCGCAGCGTAGCCATGCCCATCACTGGGTCTTATTTTCTGGGTAGGGCTTATGTTGTGCAAATGCTTAGAAATCCTGCTAGGGCTTATTTAATGGGTAGGTCTTATTTTCGAGGAAACAGGGCAGTTTACACTTGACCTCTGAGTTGCCTTCCAAACCTTTGTCCCTGGAAACAGCCTACACTGCTGAGATAGGTGCCTGTGTACCACCACCACGTGGCTCGTGCCAGTGGTTACGGTTCTCTATTCAGTACAGTGTCTGTCATGGAGACTTCCTTGAGGGAGAAGTTAGATAAGAAAAATGGAGAGGCTTGAGAGAAACTAGAACATGTGAGTCAAAGAATCAACCTCCTTGGACCCATGTTTATGAATCTGTTCTAGTCACATGAATTGTTGGGCATAAAACCATTGTGGTATACAGGAAAAGTAAGATGCTGTAGTCAAAGTAAGGGCCCTCACCCCTGCCCCAAAAAGACAAGAGAGAAACTAAGTGTCCCTGTCCTGGGAATGGTCCTCCCCTGACCCCGTATCAAAATGTGGCCCCTTCACACTAAGTATAGAGCTGTGTTATGTCAACAGTGATTTAAAAAATTGTGGAGCTACTCATCAAATGCACGTAGATGCTGGGAAGAATAGCTATCTAACATGTAATAATACTGTTTTCCCCCCATTTTTATATCTGCAGGTGAAGTATAAGGAAACAATTGGACAAGGAACTCCAATCCCCGACCTGCCTGAAGTGAAACGTGTCAAGGAGACCCAGAAGCACATTAGCTCGGTAGTGGCGCATACTCTCAGCATGCGTTTGTGTGGCTGGCCACCTCCCAATGACTCCCCTAGCTCTTCCTCATGCTTCTTCCTCCTACCAAGAGCTTCCCATGCCTTGGGGATGTTGTCAATTCTCCCTTAGTCCTGGGTGGCGGCACTGCAGGTTGCAGAAGTGGATAAGAAACCTCTGTCTTCACTTAAGGAGCCGAAGAGACTTGGCTTCTAAATTGATCATCATGCCATAACTTTCCAAAGTAAGCTATTCTGGCAGTAGTAATAAGGTTATTGGGATGATCTCAAGGAGCATATGCATATAAACATAAAGGTAACATAAAGTAATTTTGTTTTATATATACAAATGAATGATAGAATTCCCCAATGTCCAGGAACACCCTAGTTTCTGCAGCTGTCTCCCCTCACTTTCAAGATTTCTTGACCTGTATGCTAAGCTCTCTCCCTCTTGTAAATGTAGTACGTGTTTAAGGTATGGGCTGTCATCTATCCACAAGGGAATATTATACATTAAGTCTGTTCTCTAACAGGAATGTCAGGCACCTGTGCACAATGGTGGGGGGAGGGCACCCCTCACACCTGAAATCTCAGATTCCCACAGGCTCCCCCCACCGCAAGCCCTACCTTTGCCCCCCACCCCCTTTCCTATTCATAAGCAGGCTCTAAGCAGTCGCCGGCTACTAGCAAGATACTATGTGAAGTTTGGGAAATAGTTTATGGCCAATAAAAGGTGAAGACCTTGATGTTAGAGATTCCCCTGGTTGGTGGAGGACTGAGTCTCAACTTGATTTCCACTAAAAGATACTTGGCATTTCTCTTGCAGGTTGCTTATGTTACTTAGATCTCATTCCCTTTTCACTCCCTGTTTATACTCCAGCCCATGGCTCCTTTGTTGCTTTGGATTGTAACTTCTCGTCTTTCTCTAATTTTGTTTTGTCCTGTTGTCCCTGATCAGTTCTGCTTCCTTGCTGGGTAAAGGATAAAGAAATGCCACTTTGTTACCAAAATGGTAGATTTTGAAAGATTACTAAAAGCTTCGTAGCAAAACAAAGCTATTACTGCTAGCTTGTCAGTGATTTTAAGAATTGTGACACAAACCCCTAGATTTTCTGCATTGCTCCCCATGCTATGCACTAATTCACCATAGATACACCACATCCCAATTGCTACCCTGGCTCTCTCTGGTGCTTCTTCCTCCTACCAAGAGGAATTAAAAAGAATTCATTCATTCCTTTAGGCTGAAAGTTCTTTACATTAAGAAGGAAGGAGGCAAGAGGCACAAAAAGTGGAGGTTCCTTACTCTTCTCATTAAAATGTATAGTCCTTCAATAGTACTCCTAAAAAATATGGACGTCTCTTCATTCAAAAACATTAGTTCATTTGATCCAGCAATCATCAGCAAAAATTTCAGAAAAAGATGATCTTCCTGAAAAATAAACTCATTAAGTCTCCTTATATCAAGGGTACCTACAAACTAAGAGCCAGCTAGGAATGAATGTTCATTAGAAAATACAAAATAAACAGAAAATTCTCAATAACTGTCAAATGTATCATCTGATGAGAAAATTTAAGCCAAGCAAGATTAAGTACAAATCTACTACAGGTCTACTATATTCAAGGCACTAATACTAGATGCAACAGAGTTTTCTTATTGTTAAATTTATTATCACTATATAATACGTTTTAGGAATGCACTAAATGTTGGTTATAGAAAATGCACAATTGAATACTGATTTTCCAAAGTAGTAAAATTACAATTTTTGAAGAGAACCTAAACATTTATGGAATTTCTTTTCCTTATTCCCTGAGCTTTACCTTTGAAAGCTAGATTGTATCTATGAGTTTCTACCAGATAGCCCACAGGTAGCTACAATCTAAAGGATTCGTGGTCATTTTACCTTTTTGGATATTTTAATTATTTTCCACAGGTTATGTACAAAGAAAACTTGGGAACAGGCATTCCAACCACTGTCACTCCAGAGATTGAGAGAGTCAAACGCAATCAAGAGAACTTTAGCTCGGTATTTACAAATATATCCAATAAGAAACTATTTTTCATAAAAAAATTTACCACAATAACCCATCCTCCTTTTTTTTAAAATGTAACATCTTAACAACAATTCTGTGTGTGTGTCTGTGTGTGTGTGTGTATTATTACCTGACCAAAATTATCTCAATTTAATACAAAATGACTCACATTTCCGATCATACTTTAACATTTTCAGTGACTGACTAGTGTGAGCACTTAGATCTGAAATACTGTAAGTAGAATTAACACGAGATTCATCATCATTATATCTTACAACTTAGTGATTTTTGTTGTACTTCTTCACTCCTTGTAGAGTTCATCCTTAAAATCATGAAGTAAAACAGTAAAAAAATTATCCTTACTAAATATTATTTACTAAAAAACTTCCTCCTCACACACGACCCCTGCCCCAGTTTCCTCCCTTAATCTTTGTGCTTGTTTTGAATGTCTTCTGGGTACTCTCTTCTATCTCACAGGTTTTGTACAAAGAAAATTTGGGGAAAGGAACCCCAACACCTATCACTCCAGAGATGGAGCGAGTCAAACGCAATCAAGAGAACTTTAGCTCGGTATTTCTTAGGGGGAAAAAAAAAATCCCTTATGTTTTATTTAAAATAATAACACATTACAAATGTAAAATTACTAAATTCATATAATGAAAATAATGATAGCAAATATTACCTCATTTTCAACCCAAATCTAACTTAGTATTTACTTTAGTTCCGTTGTGAAATTTTAACTATGTTTTCTCTAAAACATAGATATTTATCACTTTCCTTAAAAACCTATAATGGTGTTTCCTTCCTCCAATCCTCCTTTAATAACGACAGGTGTTTCTAACTGGTGTGGCACAAGGCAAAGTAAAACAACACCCCTTCCAAAGGACAATGTTTATTTGAAGTTGTTTGTATTTATTGGTTCTGTTTATGTATCTCTTGTTTACAGCTCTTCTTAAAAGAATGTGGTTCTTAAACATTTTCTTTCAAAGACAAACAGCAATCAGAGTAACAGCAAAATACAAATTTACTTGTCCAGCAATGTTTTGTATCATCGCAAGATGTCAATAGCTTTCCTTTGAGACATTTTCAGGATTATTGAAAGCTAACATTTATTTAGCTTTCAATATCTATTAGTATTTATTTCATTCCCAAACTTCTCTCTGTGTCTCTCTTTCTTTTTCTTTCTTTGGTCGCTAATTTATTGTTGCCAATACTCATTATGGATTTCAATTCATTAAATTGAATTCCATCTGAAAGGCCTAATCCTGTCTTGAGAGAAGGCCTGTGTAAGTCAAGCCATTCCTGCTTGCAGCCTGACAGCCATATGTATATTGATGCTACTCAGATACAGACATCACACTGTGTGTGTTAAAGGTGATCTATAGTTTCTCATTTCTTAAAGTTCTTATGTTTATTTACTTCATTGTAAAACAACAATACAAAATACTTTAGAGCCTTTTTAAGACTAAGTCTACCTAAAAGATGGGCCCAGGCTAATTTGATTATTGGTTTGTGCACACAGATATTGTACAAAGAGACTTGAGCACCGGGGACCCCGTACCGTCACTCCTGAGATGGAGCGAGTCAAACGCAATCAAGAGAACTTTAGCTCGGTATTTTCTCAGGGGGGGAAATCCCTTAATTCTTATTCAAAATAATAACGCATTACAAAATATACAATTCATATAATGAATAAATGATACCAAATATTACCTCATTTTCAACCCAAATCTAACTTAGTATTTACTTTAGTTCCGGTGTGAAATTTAACTATGTTTTCTCTAAACATAGATATTTATCACTTTCCTTAAAAACCTATAATGGTGTTTCCTTCCTCCAATCCTCCTTTAATAACGACAGGTGTTTCTAACTGGTGTGGCACAAGGCAAAAGTAAAATCTAACACCCCTTCAAAAGGACAATGTTTATTTGAATGTTATTTGTATTTATTGTGGTTCTGTTTGATGTATTCTTTGTGTTTGCACTCTTAAAGAATGTGGTTCTTAAACATTTTCTTCAAAGCAACACAGCAATTCAGGAAACTCAGAAATACAACTTACTTGTCTCAGCAACTTTTTGTATATCATGCAAGATGTCAATAAGCTTTCCTTTGAGACATTTTCAGGATTATTGAAAGCTAATATATTCCGCTTATAATATTGATTTTATTCCCCAAACCTCTCTCTTTTTTCTTTCTTTGGGTTCTCTAATTTAATGTTACACACAACTTATATGATTTTATTAGTAATTTCAATTAAATTGAATACTATTTTGTAAGGCTAATCCTTCTGTCTTTGAGAGAAGTCCTGATAGCGTGTGTATATATTGATGCTACCTAGAGACCAGACATCATCACACTGTGACTAAAGGTGATCTACACAGTTGCTCTATTTCTTAAAGTTACTTGGATCTATTTACTTCATCGTAAAAACAACAAAATATTATTTTAGAGCCTTTTTAAGGCTAAGTCTACCTAAAAGATGTGCTCCATGCTTATTTGATTATTGGTTTTGTGCACACAGATATTGTACAAAGAGAACTTGAGCACGGGGACCCCCGTACCCGTCACTCCTGAGATCGAGCGAGTCAAACGCAATCAAGAGAACTTTAGCTCGGTATTTCTTAGGGGCCAAAAAAACTCCTTTAATTCTTATTAAAAATAATAACACATACAAATGTAAAATTACTAAATTCATATAATGAAAACAATGATAGCAAATATTACCTCACTTTTCAACCCAAACCTAATTAGTATTTACTTTAGTTCTGGTGTGAAATTTTGACAGTGTTTTCTCTAAAACATAGATATTTATCACTTTCCTTAAAAACTTATAATGGTGTTTCCTTCCTCCAATTCTCCTTTAATAACAACAGGTGTTTCTAACTGGTGTGGCACAAGGCAAAAGTAAAATCTAACACCCCTTCCAAAGGACAGTGTTTATTTGAATGTTTATTTGTGTTTATTGTGGTTCTGTTTGATGCATTCTTTGTGTTTGTAGCTTTTCTTAAAAGAATGTGATTCTTAAACATTTTCTTTCAAAGACAACACAGCAATTCAGGGTAACTCACAAATACCAACTTACTTGTCTCTGCAACATTTTTGTATACCATGCAAGATGTCCACCAGCTTGCCTTTGGGACATTTTCAGGATTATTGAATGCTAATTTAGCTTTCAATATTTATTAATATTGATTTGACTTCATCATAAAAACAACAACAACAAAATACTTCTAGAGCCTTTTAAAGGCTAAGTCTGCCTAAAAGATGGGTCCAGGCTGATTTGATTATTGGTTTTGTGCACACAGATATCGTACAAAGAGAACTTGAGCACGGGGACCCCCGTACCCGTCACTCTTGAGATGGAGCGAGTCAAACGCAATCAAGAGAACTTTAGCTTGGTATTTCTTAGGGGGCAAAAAAAAAAATCCCTTATGTTTTATTTTAAATAATAATACATTACAAATGTAAAATTGCTAAATTCATATAATGAAAATAATGATATCAAATATTACCTCATTTTCAACCCAAACCTAGTTAGTATTTACTTTAGTTCTGGTGTGAAATTTTGACAGTGTTTTCTCTAAAACATAGATATTTATCATTTTCCTTAAAAACCTATAATGGTGTTTCCTTCCTCCAATTCTCCTTTAATAACAACAGGTGTTGCTAACTGGTGTGGCACAAGGCAAAAGTAAAATCTAACACCCCTTCCAAAGGACAATGTTTATTTGAATGTTACTTGTATTTATTATTTATTATATTTATTATTACTATGTATTTATTATGGTTCTGATTGATGTATTCTTCGTGTTTGCAGCTCTTCTTAAAAGAATGTGGTTCTTAAACATTTTCTTTCAAAGACAACACAGCAATTCAGAGTAACTCAGAAATACAAGCTTACTTGTCTCTGCAACTTTTTTGTATACCATGCAAAATGTCCAATAGCTTTCCTTTGAGACATTTTCAGGATTATTGAAAGCTGATATATATTCTGCTTTCAATATTTGTTAATATTTATTTTATTTCCCCAAACCTCTCCCTCTCTGTCTCTTTTTTTTTCTTTCTTTGGGTTCTCTAATTTAGTGTTACCAACAACTCATTATGGATATTAATTTCAATTAACTTAAATGCCATTTCATAAAGCCTAATCCTTCTGTCTTTGAGAGAAGGCCTGACAGCTGTGTATATATTGATGATACTTAGATACCAGACATCATATTGTGTGTTACTAAAAGTGACCTACACAGTTGCTCTATTTTTTAAAGTTATTTAGGTCTATTTTACTTCATCCGTAAAAACAACATCTAAAAGTGCTTTTAGAGGCTTTTTAAGGTTAAGTCTACTTAAAAGATGGGTCCATGCTTATTTGATTATTGGTTTTGTGCACACAGATATTGTACAGAGAGAACTTGAGCACGGGGACCCCCGTACCTGTCACTCCTGAGATGGAGCGAGTCAAACGCAATCAAGAGAACTTTAGCTCGGTATTTGGGAGAAAGCTGCTTTAATTCCATATTAAAAAATAATAATTTCTCTCAAATGAAATTTTGCACTATTAGTCCCTTTACAATAATCAATTTAACAAAATCTTTTTTTTTAATCTTACCAACTGGATCCTTCTAATTTTCAGATCTCCTACTCACCATGTGATTCTAATGTTTTATACTTTCTGTAACAGTCCCATGAAATTTTTAATTGGTTTCTTTCCTTTTCTTTTTACCTTAATGCTACTGCTGGGTCTTTTGAAGTTAACTGATTTCCAAAAAAGAAAAACTGAACACCGAAGCTCTTATTTACTTGGAGCACTTTGATCTTTCTGGGTTAGCTGTTCTAAGAAAAAATACTGAATTCCAAGCCACATGTAGAAACAGTGGCTCTTGCTTGGTAGCAGGGGTTACCTTAGAAACACAGATTGTATTCAAGTAAACAGGAGCATGGAGAAAGAACATTGCTCAACATTGGGACCAAAGCAATCTTATTTTAATACTTGTAAATAAGCTATTTCATGAATAGAAATCGAAGACTTCTGACTTTTTTAAAATACGTGTATCAGATCATGAGTTTATATTTAATGTTATTTTCTCTTTTATTAATATTGTTGCTGAGGCTAGGCGCGGTGGCTCATGCCTGTAATCCTAACACTCTGGGAGGCCACGGCAGGTGGATTGCTCGAGGTCAGGAGTTCAAAACCAGCCTGAGCAAGAGTGAGACCCCGTCTCTACTATAAACAGAAAGAAATTAATTGGCCAATTAATATATATACTATACATATATATATATATATATATATGAAATTAGCCAGGCATGGTGGCACGTGCCTATAGTTCCAGCTACTCAGCAAGCTAGGCAGTAGGATTGCTTGAGCCCAGGAGTTTGAAGTTGCTGTGAGCTAGGCTAACGCCACGGCACTCTAGCCTGGGCAACAAACAAAGTGAGACTCTCTCTTAAAAAAAGAAAAAAAACAATATTGTTGCTGAAAAACTCTATAATACACAAATAGTCTGTGAAACTTGTATGTAAGGATCTTAGGTTCATTTATGCCTGAGATGGAGAATCAAATGTCATTAGAAAATTTTAGCTGGATTTTTTGGAGGGTGGGGACAGAATTAATCCAAAATACTTTTAATTGTCAGTTTAAATATTTTCTAAACGTTTGATTCTTTCACATAATTAGATCAGTAACTTTCTTTGGTCCCACTGTCTTTTTGTTTCGTTTGTTTTTAATTACTATTCACTAACAATCCTTCAATTTTGTTATATTTTCAATGTAAGTTAATATGTCTTTTGGAATGTTATATTCATTGCTTTCCTTGTGGGATTATTATTCTTATTATTCCTTTTATTGAAAGGCTTCCATCAATATTTTAAATTATTTTCTTATATATTAGAATAAGTATATTATTGTTTGTATCTACTTGAAACCTTAATGATCTTCATGGTCTTGGACAACTTCTAGTTTTTTTGAAGTAACCATTTATGTTCATGTTTACGTAGGTTGCATTTAGGCAAAATTGTCCAGTGGTGCAAAGACCCTTTAGATACAGTGGAAAATAAACATAAAAAAATGCCATGTATTAGGCCGGGCGCGGTGGCTCACGCCTGTAATCCTAGCTCTTGGGAGGCCGAGGCGGGCGGATTGCTCAAGGTCAGGAGTTCAAAACCAGCTCTGAGCAAGAGCGAGACCCCGTCTCTACTATAAATAGAAAGAAATTAATTGGCCAACTGATATATATATATAAAAAAAATTAGCCGGGCATGTGGCGCATGCCTGTAGTCCCAGCTACGCGGGAGGCTGAGGCAGAAGGATCACTCGAGCCCAGGAGTTTGAGGTTGCTGTGAGCTAGGCTGGACGCATGGCACTCATCTAGCCTGGACAACAAAGCGAGACTCTGTCTCAAAAAAAAAAAAAAAAAAAAAATGCCATGTATTAAAATATCAACTTTTAGACTTGACTATCTCTAACAACTTGAACTTATTAAAAAAAAACCCAATTTTGCTATATTGTATAGATTTGGTCTGAGGTTTTAAACATCTGTTATACTGTAAGACAAACATTCTGTGTAAGGAAAATAAATATTTGCTAATCTAATTTAAAAAATAATTTTTTTCTATAGTACACTGAACATTTTAGTGCTGGTAAATAATTTATATTTTTTCCCTTAAATCCTAACATAGGAAATAAACACTTATATTTATTTTAGAGGAAAAAGATGAACATCAAATATAACTGACACATCAGCTAAAGAAATATAAAACATATTCTCATCCAGATCTGTACCTGCATGGAAAGGTTGACCTGGTGAATTTGTCTTTCCTGTTTGATGTCTATAGTCTCATGCTAGGTTCCCTACAAGATAAATGAAAGGCTGTTTTGACTGCTCTTGTTTTTTCTGGATGCTTTCTTGTGTCATACAGGTGTTGTATAAAGAAAACGTTGGAAAAGGATTCCAATCCCATCACTCCAGAGATGGAGAGAGTCAAACACAATCAAGAAAACTTTAGTTCGGTATTTACAAAAAATTTCCCTTTTATTTTAAAAATGTCTTAAAAAGATTAATGGCTAGGTTTTAAAATCTAATCAACTACCCCATAAAAAAATTTGACTCGTGTTGTTCCCAACTTAATGCTGCCATTTTCTATGAATTGGTTTCCCTGTTTTGGTTAAATATTAATATAATCATCTGACTTAATTTTAAAAAGTGTCCCAATATTATATTCCAGCTTTTAAAACATAACATTCCCAGTGTCTAAGCATCTACATTATCCTGCTTTGGCAAATTGATCTGAACCTAGAGCTTAAAAAATTTATTGTGCAAAGATCCTATTGTTGGCCTCATTTCCTATTTTAACCTTCTCTGTCTCTACTGGAATTTGTATAGATATTTTGAAGTTTCTCCTTTTTTAGCATCTTGTCATTGCTCTCCATTTGCCTTAAACATAATTCTTCCCAATATGTTCACCCAAGCTAAAAATTAAATACTTCGACTTCTTTGAAAGTGAACAAAAGAAGATTTGTATGTATGTATCTTTATATATAAAGTGTTTGTAAAACCCAGATATCCTTACGTGATGCATTAATGAGCATTTTCAAATCAAAAAATAACTTCCTTCGTT